GAAGGACACACAGATCAGATCCTGGTGCGTGTGACCGACGAGGTGATGCTCAGGAGGATTGCATTGATGCGATGCACAGGACATCTCCATCGAGACCGGAACAGGCCGGGTTTCGGTGGTTTCGCGGCGAGAGAGGGAGATTATTTGGAGCTCTTTTTTGTTGTGTTGACGATGGATGGCGAGACCCCGCGGAAGTGCGTGTATCACATCACGGTAAAAAGGTTACAGTAGAGTCGAAACGCGTGACAAAAGCCGCTCTACGCCCGTTACCTGGCATGGACAAGATCGGCAACGCTTGGTACTAAGAAGAAACAAGAACAGAGTCTACTCGGAGATTCGCAATGCCTTAAGCTTACCTTGTAAAGATGCCCATCCTTGCCGGTCACAGAAAAGAGAGGAATCCAACGTTTTTTTTTCTTGTGTTGCCCAGTGTGTGTGCCTGGCAAACGTCATCTTGGCATCAACCAACCAAAGCCTATTCCCACGCAATTACATGTAGACCCCAGTCACCAGGTGTCCGTCCATCACGGAGCCGTGCGTGCCGAAGTTGGTGATGTGCACGATGGCGTCGATCAGAAAAGCATGATAGCAAAAGGGTTGTTGCCTTGACGTGATGGATGGGCTTTTTTGTCCCTTTCCGTTATTAGAAACTTTGAGGTTAATGACGACGACTGGGGGTGTAATATGCGGTGGCCGTGTAGGATTAAGTGCTGACCATGTTTCGAACTGAGCCAACAGATGATCCTCCAAGGCTGAGATGACAGCGCGGGTTGGGGCTCATTTGGGAGGGCAAGAAGGGTATGCATAGGCGGGATAGATCTGTCATCAGCGAATTTGAGAGAGAAGAAAAAAAAAAAGTGAGGTTACATTGGGGAAGCTGACGATCTGCGTGACGACAAACATTTTTTACCTTGTCTCAGCTGGGTTGCCTTGTGCGAGGGCATGGGGGATGGGGGCTGAAGAAGGGGGGGGGGCGCAGAGAGCCATCTGTATCCAGGCATCATCTTGCGAGAAGGATTTTCCCACTCATTGCTGATGTGTTTGAACAGGCGCGCGTGTGCACAAAGTACCACCACTTGACGATAAAATATCCACCATGTTGATGTTGTTGGGCCACCGTTGGACGTTGTTTTTGAAGAGCAACAATAACACACAGGGCACTTTTGTGGAGCAATTTTCCTTTACGAGCAAGCCAAACAGAGATAGACTTCTTCCTCCTTCTCCTGATGCAAAATAAAAATACCATGACATTCTCGCGTGAGCCAAGAGCTTGGCTATTGCTTGGCCCTTTCTTGGTCGCCGCTCGCAAACCTGTGCCAGATTTGAACCCCCCGATTGTCCCTAGACTCGGCAGCCACGGCACTTGGTGCCAAGACCCTGGGGTGGGCGAGGCGTGTGTGTCGTATACAGCCGCATCATCCGTCAAAAGATTGTCAGCCAGGAAAAAAAAAGAGTTGTCATTGATTGATTTGTGGACCAATTGCTTTTCAAAAAAACATTGCGTAGCTGAGGAATCTTGTAACCATCATCGTGAGACTTCTTTTGTAGAGTTTTGTCAACAAGTTGGCTTCGACTTTGTTGGCGGCCTCCCTGCTCGTCTAGACGAGGAAGAAGAAAAGCTTCCCCCCATCTGCATCGTCAGTTGCAGCAAGCCCGCAGACGCCCTATGCAGAGTAAGGGGAGGGGCCGAAAGTTCCGTCGTTTCTATTCAACGTGGTCTCTTTCTTTCTCTTTTTTTTTTTTTAATAACGCTCGACGAGAGATGCAGCAAGCCTTGAAACGTAGTCGTGTACCATTTTACGGAGTATTTTACGGGTGCTAATGTTGACACCTGGGTGGTCTGGTATTTGGTACACATTATAGAGTACGATATGGGCAAAGGAACATTTTTAATAAACCCGATCAAGATCGGATCTGCCTTGGATCTTTTGTCTCTTATCCAGATTACTCTACTGTACTCCGTACTATTTAAACAATCAACGTGTACTCAAAAAAGGTGCTGAGAATAGCCTCAGTAGCGCGGCCAATGTACGCGCGCTCAGAATTGCGCATCCCCATCCCCAAAAAAATCCACACTAAGCAAGATCAGCAGCCAAGCTTTTCTAACCCTCACGCCCCCCCTAATCCCCTGTGCGGCGATTTCCAGTTTTGTGTGTTCTGGGCCCTGGACTCACTCCCCCTTGGCTTTGCTCTGCTCTAAACCAACAGCAGCGAAGAAAAGAGTCCAAATAAGCTTGGGAAGGATCACTGGATTCCTGATATGCTTACTCTCTGCAGGGTCAGGAGAGGCAAAGCAGCAGCAGAAAGGCAAATGTAAAATAAGGTACGGATGGGGACCTTGTTATTTTTATTTTGGGTCGTATTATGCTGGTGATGACCTCGTGTCTTGTTTCGAGTGCCACCCGCTAGGCAGTCTCTTTTTGCAGATGCTCGTGATTGATTTGTAGATAGGTAATGGGATGAGAGAGGATTGGCTACCTTGGAGGGCGGTTTCGTTCTTCATCTTGGCGCAGGCTGTCATTTTCCGCTCCTGATGCACATGCTCTCTGCAGCGTCTGCAAAAATCCCTGACCGCTTCGTCTGGGTGATACATTTAGAGAGCGAGAGAGACGCCGGCTAACGGCTTCATTGACGCTGTCTTGTAGTCGGCCGTAAGCAATTCGAGTTTCAGAGGCGGCTCCTCTGCGTCCAAGACCCATATGTTTGGAATTATTACAGTGCACAGCCGGTCCGGCGTTGGTTGGGTCCTGGCCTGTTTGCTTGCGCACACTCGCACTCGTTTCCTCTCACGATCCCCTCCCCGACCAGCCTAGAACTCTTTACGTGTAGTCAATTTCATCCGAAACGCCCTGGCGATAATCCAGTTTCCACCACCGGCAACTTTCTTCCGACATCGAGAGAATCTTTGTCGCTTCGAGGGACCCCTTTTTTCTTCGGCACTCGTCTTGCCGTTTTAGCGATACCTTATCCGCAGGGCAAGCGCAGGCGCCTTTTTTCCCTCGTTCCCCTCTCTCCGAGAGAAACAGCTTGCAACATTACACCTCGCAATACAATACCGTATCGTCAGCACATCCTAATCAAGGCCTAGCACCTCCTAAAGATCGAACGAACGGACGGGCGGACCGAAAAGACGACATAGGTTAAAAACGCCCTCAATAACGCCTCCCCCACGATAAATCCAGCTAGCCCAACCCATCTCATCTCGACGGTGCTAGAGGTTCCAGACTCGCTGCAGTGCAGGGCCTTGCAACGCCATCTCGTTCGACGGTAAGCTTCTTTGTCTTTTGCGCCGGCGCTCTTCCGTTCTGGGGCTACAGACCATCATATCACATTGGATCACGACATCTCCTCCGATTACCTCTTGACATCCTTTTGCCCACATTCCCGTGCCCTGCCCTAGACCTGACCCGATTGCCGTGCTTGCGTTGCGTGCCCCATCATCAGGCTCTTCGCCCACTCGCGCCTATCACGACCTCGCTCTCGTACCTTTCGTACTGTCCCCTGTCCTGCCGCAGCGTCATCTTTCCCTACGGCCCCCTGGCGGTGGGTCAGCTTCAAAAGCTTGTCCTGACCAACCTTGGACGCTCTCGTCTCACCCCCTCTAGACCGACTCCCCCGTCCCCTTCCCTTGGCTTGCTCCTTCACACCCCTCCTACTGTGCCGTCCTCCGTGCTTCTCCACACGGCCGGCCATGCTCGTCGCCGAGTTATCCACCACGGTTTTGCGCCTCCAAGTCTCTGGTTCCCTTTTCTGACTTGCCTTTGCAACCTTATCTTGCTCTTTGGCCCCTCCCTGCTTCCGCTTCCCGTCTTGTCCGAGGCCACGGTTCATCAAACCCTGCTGACCCGTTTCTGTTCTGACCTCTGGAAAGGCTTGCTTCTTCTTCGTCTCTCCTCAACTTGACTCTCGCCTCTTGCAGCAGTCTCTCCGTTCCACTACATACTTTGACGACAAACGCACGCAACCGCTCTTCAGTCGACAGGATAGGTACGTTTGCTCGTCTCCCGTCTCAGATCTCGTGTCTTCCTTGGCTTTGGCACTCGGTGCTTCCGGCGCAATACCTCCAAGGTGAGGCGGTTTGGTGCATGGATCAAGTGTCCTGGATTCACCCGTGGGACCGTCGTGCTTCGTTCGGTCAATCCACTTTGGAAGAGCCGCAATCGTTGGGTCAGATCCCCTCTGCTTGGCTTGAGTGAGTTGAGCAACGAGAGCACCGCATGTCCCGGGAGCTGATCGCCTCGAGCTGGACCTGAACCTCTTCCTGTTGGGTGGTTCTTACGAGGTCATGATGCACATCGCCAAGCGGCAACACTCAATCTCAGGGAAATTTTAGTCGAGTGGATCCCCCACTGAATCGGCTCCGACGGCATTCTCCCGCCAGGGAATCGAGGCTCTGACCCCTGGATGTGGACTTGGGTGTGTCACTCTGCCGTTATATGCGTTGGCTTGCCGCCCATTGCCTGTTTGTATCAGCATTATATATCATGACTGGTGCTCTTTGCCTCTTGTCCCCGGTCCCTTGCTCTTTTTGCTTTCTATTCATCTTTCTTGGCAATCCTTCTACACTGCTACAGTCACCTGTCGCATTCACATCAACTAACATAGCATCCACTTAGTCTCACCACTATCTATTCGGCAAACCCGACCATCGCTAGAATTCATCACGTTGCCACTATTGCTAGAACCTCTCTGGAACCCTAAGCTGTCATCACCGCCAAGGAACTGAACAACAAGCCCGCTACTAGAGGTGGATACGTGGGCATAGTTCCGCACATCCTTCGGCCCTTGTGGATCACGCCTCAATTGCATAATCACACACGCCTTGGCCCGTTTAGATCTGGTGGGGCACCGCGTGGAATCAAGAGCTTGGTTCTCAAGAGGCCCTTCTTTATAAGGACGCTGAGAACCTCGCAAGACCCTGGATCCGTCTACTCAATCATCTTAACCTACCGCCCTCGCGCGGATACTTCAACTACCTCAAAGCGTTACACATCATCACAATGGAGACGTACCACGGCTACGTGCGGACACCCGCCGACGCTATCCGGCTGTTTGAAGCCTGTCGATTAGGCATTCTTCCCCGTGTGCAACGACGACTGTCCGAGAAGGAGAGACAGTCGATTCGATCTGGATCTGTTTTTGTCTGGGACGAACGGGAAGCTGGCATGAGACGATGGACCGATGGCAAGTCGTGGAGCGCAAGCCGAGTCTCGGGGAGCTTCCTGACTTACCGTGAGATGGAGGGCAAGCGAGGTGGTGGTTTCTCTGCCAGCCGACGAGGAGCTGGCAAGACTCCTGACTCTGGACGCGGTAGCGACGAGGACCAGGATGATGGAGAACCCGAGGGATACCGATACAAGGCCGATGGACTTATGAAGCAATCGTTCAGCATCACCACCTCCAACGGACAACACCTTCACCTCATCTCATACTACTCCCGCCCTCAGCCTGGCCAGCCTGAGCTTCAGCAACCGACCAACGACCCAGCACTTCGAGGCATCGTTCCTCTCAAGGGCATGTACCCCGAGTCCAGCATGGGAGAGACCAACAGCACACCGGCTCTCACTCGTGCTCCTATGCAGCAGCCTCCCTTCATGGTCGCTCCTCAGCACCCTCAGCAACCCTATGCTCCGTACGGTCAACCAGGCTATGGATGGCCTCCTTCACCTGTGGCCACTCCCCCTTACAGCCATTACGCTGCTCCGTACCCCCCCAGCGCACACCACCAAGTGCCGCCGCCTCACGTCACCCAGGCGGCTCTCCCTCCTCCGCAATACGCCCAGGCTCCCGTCTATGAGCAACGCACTACCCTTCCTCCTCCCCATGTCTCCAAACCCGCCTACTCGCAGAACCCTTCGCCCCACTACACGCATACCGCCCTTCCTCGAGCTCACGACTCACCACGGGAGCAGCATCTTCAGGCAACCGCCCAGAGCGTCATGGTCGATCCTCGTGTGAGCACTTCCCGCACACACCAAGTTGCGCTCCCAGGTCTGGGTGCCGTTACAAACGGACCTCCCGGATCCTCGCTCGCGGCGATGAGCACTCCTCCCAACCGGGCACTGAGCGTCAGCCCACCGAGAAGCTCGCATTCGGAAGCTCCTATCCCTTCAACAAACAAGGCAAGCCTGTCGGCGCTTCTGCATCCCACGCCAGCTACCAGTGAGGCTAGTAGCGCCAAGCCCGGCAGTGCAAGCAGCAGCCCTCGAGCGACTGGGTCGTGTGGGCTGGAGAAGGGTGGCGTCAGCGAGGACGCAAGGGCCTTGAGAATGCTGGACCGCAAGTTTTGCATCTAGAAGAACGACGGAGCTTCACGAGGGGGGCGCCAGTAAACTGGCATATTTTTCAAGATATGAACCCAAGGAAGGGTATCATAGTGACACCATGTTGTGTGTCTAGGCGAACCGGGCATGGGGTTGGCTTTGTTTTTGTTGGCGTTTCGCCATATGCATTGTAACGGCGTCTTGATTTTCTACAGGGCAGCAGCCAAGGGGGCTTGCTGCGGATACATTCAGCGGGTATTCATCACGACTGGCGATGGGAATGGCTGGTTTGGTGTTTACGGGCCAGGTAACAGACGATCATGGCTGTCATGTTTTCACACACTGGTATTGTACATAGCTATCTAGCAATGCCAAGAACCTAGGGACAAATTGTCCACTATGTCTAATTTTGGTTTACACGTAGCGTGAGGTTGCGCACAAGGTTCCCATTAACCTTGACTAAGTGCCGAATCGCGTGAACAAGGCGTCCGTAGGAGTTAGGGGTGGTACCGAGGGTAAGGTTAACCGTTGTTGTCGTATTGGATAGGCAGTCAGCTTGGCAAGGGATCAGATGCTTGACGTATCCCTTTAGCCTATACGCGAGGGAATAACTAGAGGAGACTCTCTAGAGTTTCCATTGTGACCCGTGGCTTGTGGTCTACCATGAATGATGTCTCTTCCCGTAGGAGGATAGTACATGCTGATGAGGCTGCCAATAGACCAGATAGAGTGTAACCGCCCTCGCATATCCATCCGAAACAAATACGCCTTCCATCCGCAGAGCGCATTCGCATCCATAGGACGCCCGCATTCCCGATTATCCGTGCCTCACCACTCAGCGCGGAGCGGCGACCTAGAACCGGGGCCGCGTCATCGTCGCCCATCATGCCGAGAAGCCGGTCAGGGTGTGTGTACACGGATAGGCAGCGGAACAAAAAAGGGGGGTATGGGTTATTGAAATGTCGTCAGCGCGATGCGTATTCATGTTTAGGCTTCAGGATAGAAGAGGTTATTTTGGGAATGGTGATCTGGGGTGTTTTGAAACTTGGCGGGGTGGGTTGGTTACGTGTTGTGGTGAGGCTGGCTGATGAGGCTTTGAGGCTGAATATTCGGATGGATTGAGTGAAGGGAGAATGGAATGAGGCGTGGCGTTTACCCAATGGACTTGTTTTATTGTCAAGGGGGGCTGAGGCTATTCCTAGGCCACTCCTGGTATATGGCCGTTCTGGCTTGGAGGGTTGTGGTTGGAGTTATCAATAGTAAGCATTCCCATGGTAAGAATAAAGTGTGGAATATATGATCTGGAGAGATACGTGGTTCTGCGTTTCAACATGCCTTTGAGTTTAAAACTCTTGGTGCAAATCGACAGTTCCTTTCCGGTGAAGCTCTTCAAGATGCACAATAGAAGACTTGGAAGCTTCCAATCTTGGCATAATTGAACGACACTCTGATGCTGGAAAAACCAAGCCGCCCAGCGAACTAAGAATCAATTGAATAACTTGTATATATATTCTAGAAGTAATTAAACAATGAATCTTACAATCTGGGTGATGAATTGCCTGTGACGGATGAGGTGTTGTTGATTGTCGCGTGTAAGTCGGGGAATAAATCTTCCGGCTCCGCGATTTGACAGCTCTGGCGCGCTTCACCAAGGCAAGGATTGGGAAGCTCTCCACGCGACGACTTTAGCTATTGTCATTTTCCTTTGTTGGCCGGCATCGACGAGCCTATGATGTCTATTCAATAGTCGCGATCCAAACCATCGTAAAACCCGGTCTCTACTTGCATTCTTTATTGAACTGGGCAACATCATGCTGTGGCGATCAATCTAAATCATTGACATCCTCCCTTTGATGACTTTTGCGACGCCGCGCCCACCATGTTCACCTTTTGCCCCCTCCAGGGCGCCCTCTCCGAGTCGCCCGCTTCGCAGTCCCTTCTTGAGCTTGATGGAGGCGTGAAGGTGCTGGTTGATCTGGGATGGGATGAATCATTCGACGCTGGAAAACTGAAGGAGATTGAGAAGTAGGTGTTGCTGCGCTCGCCGTTACGAGGTGACCATGGCTAACAAGATGTGCATCTAGACAAGTCACGACTCTCTCGCTCATTCTCGTTACGCATGCGACTGCATCTCATCTTGCTGCCTACGCACACTGCTGCAAGAATATTCCACAGTTTACGCGAATCCCCGTATATGCGACACGGCCCGTCATCGACCTTGGCCGCACCCTTATTCAAGACCTTTACAACTCGAGCCCTGCGGCAGCGACGACGATCCCACAGAGTTCACTATCAGAGACTGCCTTCTCTTTCGCTCAGACCGCTACGACAGCGCAAAACCTCCTACTTCAGTCCCCGACCAACGAAGATATTGCGCGATACTTTTCTCTAATCCAACCGCTTAAATACTCGCAGCCACATCAACCTCTTCCTTCACCCTTCTCACCACCGCTAAACGGCTTGACGATTACTGCATACAACTCTGGACATACCCTCGGTGGTACAATATGGCATATCCAGCACGGTCTGGAGTCGATCGTGTACGCTGTGGACTGGAACCAAGCGCGTGAGAATGTGTTTGCTGGTGCGGCTTGGCTGGGAGGCGCTGGAGGCGGCGGTGCTGAGGTCATTGAGCAGCTACGGAAGCCAACTGCGCTGATCTGTAGCAGTCGTGGCGCCGACAGGACTGCCCAGGCTGGTGGTCGTGCCAAGCGAGACGAGCAGTTGATTGATACCATCAAGGCATGTGTGACACGAGGAGGCACGGTTCTTATCCCTGTGGACTCGAGTGCTAGAGTTCTAGAACTATCATACCTGCTGGAACATGCGTGGCGGACAGATGCTGCCTCTGAGGATGGCGTACTCAAGGCAGCCAAGCTATACTTGGCTGGCCGCAACATGTCAAGCACAATGCGGTATGCGCGGAGTATGCTTGAGTGGATGGACGATACCATCGTTCAGGAATTCGAGGCCTTTGCTGAGGGCCAGAGAAAGGTCAACGGCGCAGGTGACAAGAAGGAGGGAGGCCCATTCGATTTCAAATACTTACGGTTGCTTGAGAGAAAGGCCCAGATTGTGCGACTACTGAGCCGAGGCTTTGAGAACGTCGAGACAGAGGGACGAGTGATTCTGGCGAGCGACAGCAGCATTGAGTGGGGATTCTCTAAAGACTTGATCAAGGGGCTGGCTAGAGACTCAAGGAACTTGGTCATCCTGACAGATAAGCCAGGTCTGTCAAAAGACGACAAGCCATCGATTGCGAGGACGCTCTGGGACTGGTGGAAGGAACGCAAGGATGGTGTTTCTGTGGAGCAGACCAGCAGCGGAGACAGCATCGAGCTTGTGTATGCTGGTGGACGAGAGCTGGAGATTCGTGAGGCTCAACGACAGGCACTGGAGGGTGACGAGTTGGCAGTCTACCAACAATGGCTGGCAACTCAGAGACAACTCCAGGCGACACAACAAAGCGGTGGCGCGGCCGGACTTGAGGCGTCAGCTGATGTCGTTGACGATGCTTCGTCGGAATCATCATCTGACTCTGAAGACGAGGATGGTGAGCAACAAGGCAAGGCGCTAAATGTTTCGACAACGATCGGACAAGCTGGCCGGAAGCACGTTGTTCTCAAGGATGAGGACCTCGGAATCAACGTGCTCATCAAGAAGAAGGGCGTTCACGACTTTGACTCTCGAGGAAAGAAGGGCAGAGAGCGAACGTTCCCGATCGCGATCCGTAGGAAGCGTCATGATGACTTTGGAGAGCTCATTCGACCCGAGGATTATCTTCGCGCAGAGGAGAAGGAAGAGGATGGCCAGGATAACGCCAACATGGAGGCTGCAGACGACAAGCTCGGCAAGAAGCGCAGATGGGACGACGTGGCAAAGAATGGAGTTGGAGCCAACAAGCGTCAACAGACCACAAGGGCTGGTTCTGTTGATGATGCTGAACCTGGCGCAGGCGACGGCTTCGTACCCGATGAACTCGACAATGTGGAGGATATCGAACCTGAGGAGCCAACAGGGCCATGCAAGCTCTCATATCAGACCGAGACCATCACAGCCAACCTACGCATCGCCTATGTCGACTTTAGTGGCCTACACGACAAGCGAAGTCTCAACATGCTGATCCCGTTGATCAAGCCCCGGAAGCTCATCCTAGTTGGCGGTGGACGAGAGGAGACACTCGCCCTGGCTGAAGATTGCCGTCGAGCTCTTGGAGGTGATGCCGCAGCCGGCGATGGATCAAGTGAGCGTACTGTCGATGTGTATACACCTGAAATAGGCACTCTGGTGGATGCCAGCGTCGACACCAACGCCTGGGTCGTCAAGCTCGCCGACTCTCTCGTCAAGAAGATCAAGTGGCAGAATGTCCGCGGTTTGGGCATCGTCACCATCACTGGCCAACTTCTGGCTACCAAGCTCGACGACGCTCCAGCAGGAGACCAAGATGCAGCCAACAAGCGTCAGAAGACGGAGGAGAGCTCAACAACAGCCCTCAGCACCGTCGTGGCGTCTCCCATGCCTACTCTCGACGTCCTCCCCGCCAACCTTGTCTCGGCTGTGCGATCTGCCGCCCAGCCGCTACACGTGGGTGACCTACGTCTGGCAGATCTACGACGTGCTATGCAGTCTGCCGGACACACGGCCGAGTTCCGCGGCGAGGGTACACTCGTCGTCGACGGAACCGTGGCAGTCCGCAAGACGGCGGCAGGACGTGTCGAGGTAGAGAGCGTGGGTATGCCCACTGCTCGCCGAAGCACGTTCTACGAGGTACGCAAGGTGATTTACGACAACCTGGCTGTCGTCACTGGTGCATAGAGGCACACAGCGACATGATGGACTGGGATACTTTGTAGACGCTCAGAAAAAACAAAGGGGGCATAGTCGATGGGATAACAACGGTTTTTTTTTCTTTTTTTTTTCTTGTACGTTACAAAAAGACGAAGGTGTATTTCTCTTTTCGGGACCTGGAGTACGTTGGAGAGGAAATATGCTCTTGGAGATTGGGGGAGGGGATTAAAGATGAGGTAGATAAATGATAATCCAACAACGGGTCTTATGAGATGGACTTGGCTCTATAGGGTGAACTTGAGTATGTGTGTTTGGTTGCTGACAGACGCCTGTTCATGAATAGGGGCTCACGTATTGGCCCTGGTATGGTAGAGTACACACGACATATGGCTAGCAAGTCATGTCTACTTATTCCTTCATTGACAAGACTTGGCAAGATGCATTCAAATAGTTCCATCACAATATATTACAAGCGAGAAGCCTTGTAGTGCAACTCTGAGTTTGTCTTTCGTATAATGATACGCCTCAACGCCTGGCCGTACAAGTTTCTATCCCAAGATACCCAGCATTCTCTCTTTGACCCAATCCCATCTCTTTCCCCCCCTTTTCTAAACTCTCAAACTCATCTTACAGGTTGCATAGGCGCCATCTCATACTCTCCATTCCCCGGTACAGCCATCTCCTCCTCATCCCTCGGCTGCTCCGTAACGGTGGCTCCTCCAGCGGTGGTAGCAGGAGCACCAGCAGCGGGGGCAGATTCAGGACCCGTGGCTGCTAAGATTCTACGACCGCCAAAGAAGACGGGTTGCAGCTCTCGGTACCGACAGCCCCAGATGCCGAGACCAACCGAGAGGGCGGCCGAGGCGAGCATGGTGAACCACCACATGGCGTGGCGGGGAAGACGGCCGCTGTAGAGTGTTGCGACGACGAGGTGGAGGAAGTGGACGGTGAGGGCAAAGTCGGGGACGAGTTTGGATCGAGCGACGAGTGCGACCATGGCGACGGATCTGTTCCATTATTAGCAAACTGTATGTGTAGGAAAGGGAGAGAAGCTCACATGCATAGTCCTCCATCTAGCAACAGCACAAACGCCATGAGCCATCCGTGCGTGGTATCCCCCCTAACACCCTCCCATCCAAACAACAGCGTGAAGCTGAACCCAGTACCTGCGACGAGCGCAGTAAAGACGAGCAGGACCAGCGCGGAGAAGTAGTAGATGACTTGTAGTGTCGCGATCTGCGTCGCGATCTTGAGTGGTGCCAGTTCCGCCAGGGCGCCCGCGCGGGGGGGCTTGCGGCGTCGCGCCATTCTTAATTTCTTCGAGAGTCCTTTGTGTGGGTTTGAAGTTGGTGGTCGCGTGTGATGAAGTCGTTTGGTATATCAAAGTTGGTTTCTAGTTAGAGCTTGGATTTAACAAGCCCCTGTCGATCTCGCCTTTCCTACGTTCTCTGAGTAAAAAAAAAACTCCCCACTCTAGAGAACGAAAAAGAAACACTGTAAATTAAGGAAAGACGAGTATTAAATCGAAAATACGTAGAATCACGCGAAATGAGAAAAGAGGTTGGATCGAGGTTGGGATGTGTAAGGAAGGGACATGTTTCCTTCTGATTGAGGTCACGCACCAGCCACAGCCACAACTAGGCTTCAAGCTTTCCCCATGCATTAAGCCTCTTATGGTTCACCGCTTTTGAATTCTGCCGCTCCGACTGAGCCGGCTCTCGTCATAGGTTGATTGATGCATGTGCTCATGAGATTTTGAACTCCAGTTCATCCCACCACAGCCAAGAGCTTGCAGCATCACACTCTTTAAGATACACTCGAGCTTCAACACCAATCAACCTCTCCTCGATCAATTGATCCTCTTACACCACCAACACAATGGGCTTCTGGCCCTTCTCAAGCGACACCCGCGGCGACGCAATCCGCTCCGGAGCCGCCATCCCCAACCGACAAGAGCGCAAAGCCTGCTGGGCCGCCCGGGACGCCTACTTTGCCTGCCTCGACGCCAACAACATCATCGACGCCACCAAGGATGCCTCTGCCGCGAAAAAGGCATGCCCCGTCCAGAACGAAGACTTTGAGCGGGACTGCGCTGCAGCTTGGGTAAAGTACTTTAAGCAGTGGCGCGTCGCAGACATTCAGAAGAAGAGGAGGCTTGACGAGTTGAGGGCTCAGGGTGCCCAGGAGATGACTGTTACTACGAGCTTTGCTCCCGAGGGTGGTGCTGGTGAGAAGGGCAAGGGTGTTGAGGATATTCAGGATATGTTGGACAGGAAGAAGGGGAGGTAAAAAAACGAGATGGATAGAGTAAGAGCCAAGTTGGAACCAAGAAACACCACAAGGCCTTTAAGAAAATGTATTTATACCATTGTACACTAACATGTCAACACCAGCTCACAAAAAACTTCATGTACATACAACAAAAAATGTACTACTACACTACAGTTACTGTTACTTCAGCTACCTTCCAGGCTGATTGATATAAACGCGAGTCTTATCCTACCCTATCTATCTATCCCTACTACCTAATCTCCCCCGCCTGCAAAAGCCCTCCCAGCTTGATACAACCCAAAAGAGAATGAGTATACGACGCAAAAAGGAATGAAGTCGAATAAAGAGGTTATAAGAAGTGAAGACTGATGATCAAGAAAACTGAAGAGAAAAAAAACGACGAGTAAAAACAAACAAACTGTAAGCGTGCTCACTGTGGTGGTATCATCCATGTTCTTCTTTTTGTTAACAAAAAAACAACCCATATCTGCACATTCTCTCCCTCTCCGGATGCCCCTGAATACAGGTCGGCCTTTTTAACGTGCAATGTCCTTCCTCCTCGCCTCTCCCTTCTCCCTCATTCTCTCCTCTCCTCTCCGCTCCCTCATCGACAAAGGAAAAGGAAATAATAAAACGGAAAGATGAAGCTGCTTTCATGAGCGTAGCTTGGTATGCCAAAAATTGTCCAAAGGGAAATAATAGTTTGTGGTAGCAGGGAGGCAAGGAAAGAAAGAAACCAAAACAAAAGAGGTGCCGCCGTATGTCTCGCCTTTCTAATGCATCGTTTGTGGTATGGTGTGGTGTGTTGTGTTGTGGTTGTGGTAGATAGATGATGATTCCGTCTCTCGTCAAGCTTCTGCGCTTGCGTCGTTCGCTTTCTTTCTTAATCATAAGCCGGCCGTCTTTTCCTCCGAGCTGGGTTGCCACATTTGACCATGGTAGCAATCTATGCCACCATTCTCACTCCGCTGTCGTTCGTCTCCTCCTTTCTTGGGAGCGGCGGCAGTTCCTTGTCAAGGCTATCGCGGCCCATCTTGGTTCGCAGCATCGAGACATGGTCAACAGGTCCGGTGCTGTGGTTCATCCCGGCATATCCGCTGTCGGCGCTGTCCGGCTTCTGATACCCCGACTTGGGTGGTGTAGGAGGGGGTGCCCTTGTCGGAGGTAGACTCTTGTTCATATCCTTGGGTGGCGTCTCGGGTCGGCTGTCATCTCGGCCATTCTCGCCTGCTTCCTCAACAACCGGCAGGATGGGCTCATGCTGCATCGAGTCACGCGCATCACCCCTGGAGCCAGCAGTCGTCAGGACTCGGTCAGGCACCTGGTTCTCTGTGTGTCCGTGCCTTTCTGCCCGCTCAGCTTCCCTACTTGCCTTTTCTACCGTCTCTTGAGCTTCCGGAGAGCGACAAGGAGGCGGGGGAGGAACATGAGTCGGCATGGGTGGGATGGCTTGCGACGACCTACGACGCGAATTCCAGCTCGACACCCTCTCGCCCGATCTTTGCGCCTCAATCATTTCCTGATCTCTCCTCTCAGCCTCGCGATGAGCCTCCTCAGATGACATGGTCACCCCTTCGATGAAATGGTAGAACCGATCACCATATTGGGCAGGTGGTAGTGCCGAGATCTGTGACCTGTCGCTCGACAAGCCCTTCCAGAAGTGCTCAATCTTCTTGATTATTCCATACTGTATCTCATGTTAGTCTCACCCTTGCGAATGCCAAGCTCAATACTCACGTGAGTCAGGCAGTCGATGACTCCCAGGTAGTAAATCTCATCCGCTGGGCTGTTGTCTTCGTGGGTTGCCCTGAATCCACCATCATCCTGGTTGAACACGAACCCGGATCGGTTGTGACCCTCCTCCAGCTCATCCGGCATCTTGTTTGCCGATTGACCCATGGGTACTGGCCGCTCCTGACGGATCATCTGCCGTAGTTCCCTGGCCTTTCGTGCATTCTCCAACTTGGACGGCGTGCGGAGGAGGACCGACGCAGGGTCGTCATCAGGGGCCTTCTCACCACCAGGATTGAAGACCTGCAACGTCTTGTCACGTAGATTCTCCTCATTGCCCCGCGAGACATCATGAATGCCAACCAGCAGCGAGTAATCCATGATGTGAAGGCGCTTCAGTAGAACAACATCCCTCTGAAGTTGTTCCAAGAACATTTGTTTCTTCCGGATGCCTAGCTCCAGGCTCCGCTGCCGCCTCATCCAGTTCAGGTCCTTCAAGGTCGCACGGGGGTTCTTCTCCAAGTCCTCCTCTCTGTAGTCTCGGCCAATAGTGGATCCCTTCAGGTCAAAAGTGGTGTGAATGTCCCGGTGTGGTGGGAACAGGTTGTTCATCACCACAAAGTGGATCTTCTTGCCATAAGGCATCTTGACTCGGTGCAGACCGTAAAACTGCGAGAGAAGTGTGTTGGGGTTCTCTTTGACGTGCTCGTAGTATTCCTTCAAGATCTTTCGGAGAAACTTGTGCTCGGCGTGGTGGATCGTCTTAATGATGTACTTATAATCTCGTGAAAAGTAGAAAAAACTGCCACTCTTGCCGGGAGAACCAAGCTCCGACAAGATATACTTGCCCGTGAGGGACATGAGATAATCGGCAGGGTCCAGGCGGAACAGTGAACGTAGGCGACGGAAAACCCAAGGGGCGTAGTCCTTGAACTTGAAGTCATACTTGGCTGATGGAACCAGCTCATTACCGGCACTGTTGACGTCAGCATATCGCAGAGGTTAGTGTCAAGAGACAACCTACATATCAAATGTCGACTTCTGCTTAGTCTCAAAGTCGGCATCAGTCAATTCTCGGTCGAGCTTTGCGTTCGTCCGCGAGACTGATACTCGGATACCTGTCAACATGTTGTAGGCCGTGACCCAGTTGGCGTGGGTCTCGTCCACCTTGGTGCCAACAATGACGCGTTCGTCATCCTCCTCTTCCTTCTTCCTCCGCTTGCTGGCCCGCTTTGCCCGTACTGCTTCTGTCCATCGGAGGGCGTCCTCGTCTGGAATGATCTCATCTCGGGGTCCGTCCGACTGCATCGATCTGGTTGGTCTTCGACCCAAGCTCAGAGATGGCCGTCGGCCACCAGTCGCAGGAGCGCCGGTCGGAGAGAAGCGGCCACTGGCCTGTGCCGTATCCAGGCCATCCTTGGAGCCTCGACCAGGTGTATGCTTTGGCACGTCGAGTGTGTTTCTCTGCTTGAGGCCGCCTGGGCCGGGAGCCTGAAGGAGTCCTGGCGACGAACCTACAGTGTTACCAACGTAGACGGGCGGGGATGACAACCGGTGAGCAGTGGTTGGCAATGCTGTTTGTGATTGGGAGCCACGCGGCTCAGGGGGAGGTGGAGGGGCTGTGGTCGGGGCATCGAGGCTCCTGCTCGGGGGCTTTTCATAGGGCTCCTCGGCTGGGGGCTCAGAAGGTAGAGGTTTTGATAGTGTGGTGGGATACTGATGGCCGTTGCCATTAGTATCGGCCGAGGATCGATATGAGCGGTCGGGTAGAGTCGCGGTGCCATTGGTCATGGGCTTTTGCCGGTAGACGTCGGTTTCGTCATCTTGGCGAGGAGGATAGATGGCAGTAACAGACTGGCCGTTAGAGATGGAGCTCATGCTCGTCGGCCTCGTGCCGTTGCCATTCATAGGCGTCGGCGTGGGCTCAGAGGTGTCGGAGGCGTGAGTGGATGAGATGGAGCTCTCGTCGAAGCTCTCATTGATGGTGTCGGATCGGGTGTGGCGGATGGAACCCCCATTCACCCTCTCCTTGGTGGTCGCGAGGCCGAACTGGTTCGTGGGGTCAAGGTTGACGATGTCGGGGTTGTTGGAGAAGATGGCCGAATTGTCCTCGTTGTTGAGAAACGATGGCATTTCGAGCGGGGAGTCGAATGAACTCGCTGGAGGCCAAGACCAGCGAGCGCTGACGCGGTTAGATGCTACTTGTGTGAAGCGATGCTGGATGAATCCTGGCTCGTGATCGGGCAGGTGAGGTGTCACGTTTGTCGTCGAGATGTTGTCGCCGTCAAGGTCGTCGTTGTCGGAGGCAATATCTCGCTCGGTTTCGGTTTGGTCCCTTGGATCCCAAGCTCTCAGTTGATACAACAGTCGAAATGCAAGAATGAGCAAGGCAAGGTGCGAGAAGAGGGAAATTGGGTCGAGTCTCTGCTGGGCGGGCGCACAGGGTTCCTTGGCGGGTCGACCAATAGGGCGGAGCTAGGCAGGGACGTTGCGCTGGAGAGGGGGTCAAGGTCGAAGCGAAAGCCAGCCCAGGAGGCGACAAGGAAAAGGATAAAATCGAGAGGCGCAGGCGTGATTCGGTGACGGAGGGAGGGGGGTTGTCGTTGGATGAAGATGATGGGGGGAAGAGAGGATGGAACTGGTTCGTATACGGAGTTCCCAAGTAACGTACAATCGGGGGGTTAAGCTGGGAGAGGTGAGGTAGGTAGGTAGGTGAGGTAGGTAGGTAGGTGAGAGAAGGTAGGTAGAGGTGGTGAGGCTGGGAAATGGAAGCGCTGGCTGCCCGGGCAGGGAAAAAATGACGGGACGGGACCTGGAAGTTGCCAGTGCCAGTGCAAGCAGCCCAGCAGCTCCTGCCTTCCCTGGCATGTACCTAAAACTGGAAATGAGGCGCGTCGGGGGTGTACCCAGGGGAGGGAAGGGGGGAGAGGGAGGGGCGGATGGCCCGGGGATGGATGGAGGATGCCCTGAGCCGTGCGTGGGGCCCTTCTTTTTTCCACTGGACGCAGCGTAATTCAGGGCACCCGCACTCTCGAAGCGCTGAGTTTCTGTTGCATCGCAGGGCGCTCAGCCAACTTGGGCTGGGTCCAGTCCTGTCCCGCCAAGAAAATGGGTTAGCTTGCGTGGCAGAATGTCTTTTGCCAACCCCGGCGAGCGTGGTCTTGAAGGACTTGAAGGCTTGGCCTGGTCTTGGCCACGGGCTTAGCAAGCCGAAAGTTGATGCTCCCACGCTTGGCTTGACTTTTTGACCTGACGGCGTCTTTTTTCGTAGCGCCCTCTAGGTCGATTGCATGTGTGTGCCGTCCCGTCAGCACCAGGAACGCCATGAATTCGTATAATAGGTAGGTATTGAGAAGGACTGCATGTGCGTGGTTACAGCTCACATCTGGAGCATGGCCTGTTCCATCTGGCTCGTACAGTCTGTCATACGGATCAAACAGGATCCTTGCCAATGCTGTGAGGTGAGGTAGTCATGTATGGATACGTAGCCAAGGTACCTGTATCATCCAGCGCCCGTCTCATTCCAGGCCCTCGTTCCAGACAGAAGCCAAGCAGAATTTCTGGGTAAGGGGTTTCAAACTTCGGCCTCACTCTTTTCACCAGGACATGAGACTTGAACAAAATATCACGAGAATTATTCGAATTCGTTCTCGATATCGATTTCGAATAATTTGACACACAATGCTCATCCATCAGCTTCGCCTCCGATCCAAATCCCCACCATCTCCCATGTATGGAATCACCCCAGGCACCGCGCCCGTCCTGCTAAGCCACGGGGGGGATCATGTAGGACCCGCCCGGCGGTCGGCTCCAGCTGACGGACATTACATTAGCTGTGTTGATGTTGTCTCGCCATTTACTTGGCTGGACAAGAGAGAAAGACTTCCGGGCGCAGTGTTTTGTCCTACCTTACGCGCCGTCTTTTTTTCTATTCTCGTCACCCCATAAATTGGATGAGATAATGCATAAACAAGTGAAAGTCGTAGGGAGAATTGATCGACAGTCCCCTGTTTTGGCGGCCATGCTGATTGACAGAAGATCATTCTCGTTTTTTCCAAGTCTTTTCTTGTTCCAAGACATTTAGACCCCCTGACTACTTTTTCTTTCTTCACCGCTAGCATATTCCGTCATGGATGCCCTAGGTACCGTTATGACACCCCAAGTGCTTGGCTTGGGGTTCCATGGGTTTGTGTTGATTACTTCATGTGCCCAATTCGCGATATTGCATTGGTCCTTGGCACCACCACACCACAAGAGACAGAGAGACCTTACTATCTCTCTGTCGCTACCTACCAACTATCCGTACATCCGCAATGGTTAGGTCTTTGTTCACCTATCCTCCTGTCAAAAACTGACCCTGGCCCATGACCCTGCCATTGATGGCATGTCATGACCAAGGCCAAGCCCGTCACACAACCGACACTCTACACGACCTGTTGCTACGGTCGATACGCGGAGAACATCCCCGGTCACTATCGTCTCTCCCATAGCAACACGGCGCCTTATTTTCCCCCCGATTAATCATTTAGTTTCCCCCCCGCACATAGTTTCCTTTGGCTGCCTCTTTTGCTTTCTTTTTTCCCATCTTTTACCCCTGGCCTGTGTTAAGCTATCTCCGATCCGTCGTCGAGCACGGATCTCTCGGGGTCCGCGAGGAATGCGGTCTTCCGTGACAAGGTGTTCGTCTCACAAAAAAAGGTGTCTCCACCTGTTGCATGATGGAGGACACGGGATTAAAAACAAGACGTTGCTGCTTAATTGTCCGAGTTCAGCATGTCAGAGAGGAAAGGGGGAAACACGCAGTGAGCCGCAGATCGTGGACATGCCTTCGGGAAGCACTGCCATCCCGAGACCAAAGATCATTGAGCCGCTAGCTACAGTAGTGCCCTATCAGCTGGCATAAAATGAATTCGTGGCTGAGTCAGTCAGATCTACAAAGCAACATGCATGCACATAATACATAATTCTCACGACAGCCTCACGCTCGCTCGTATCGGATCCTTTGACTTTGCAGCGTTGCAAAGGGTCCACAGGCAGATTGTCAAAGGCCATTGCTCATAAAGGGGGTGCCTTCCATACAATGTAAGTAAACAAATTATTGTAGACTCTTACATTACCTACTTGAAAACACTTGGACTACATGCAATTTGGCTCTTCGACCTCATGTCAGCTTTCTTCGCCATCCCCTTTCGCTAGCATCACAGCTGGGACAGCCTCCCCTCTTGCGTGGCTTTGATCCTTCACACTACACTGTGTAACAACACCTTCAGTCCAGGCAATGTACGTCACATGTCAAGTTCAAGCACTACGATTTCATCCATCATCGACATGGGCATCATGTACACACTTGAGACATCAACATTGAACATCAAGATGCCATCTGTCAGCTTCCCAGCAACGCGTCAGCACTCAGTCTTCAACATGACACTTCACATGAGAGAGAAAATGGAATCTTCCATTGCTATGCTCAGATAGACCATCTGCCTCACCGGCCCCAGCCATGCCGTCACCAAGATGCAACAACCCGTGCATCCTGCAGACATTAACCAAGCCGGTTCGAAAGTCATATAGTCCATCCAGTGTCCCTCCCTTAGATTTTTTTGGTTTGTTCTTCTTTTTTCGTCGTTTTCGTCAGCTTGCTTGCTGCTCACCAGCAGCAACCTCCCTGGCTCCATCCTCGACCTCGTCGCGAGGAGAACAGTCCGAATCGAGGCCGTATCTTGTCTCCAGATGGCCCAGGGAGTATCAGGTGTAAAGATGATTCCCAAAAGGTATCATCAAGAAACATCCCCCAACCCCCAATACTTCTAGCAGAGCCCACGTCCCATCTCATACGAGGTCCGTTCGTCTAACGCAGATTTGTCGTCAGGGTATCATTCCCCCATGCCTTCCGCAGAGGTGCCGTTCAACCCACAAGACCTCCACAGAAAACCACAGCCCTCAAATGCAAACCGGGGGCAACGCCATCCTGCACAAAATGCCTGGAACGCCCCGAGTCTCAAAAAGCCCTCCGGTCCCTTCTTCCCACACCGTGGCCGTACCCAGCCCCAAAGCAGGTATGTCTACCGTAGTCGATGCCCAAAGAACACCTTTTCCTTTGCATCTTCCCGTCCCGCTTTCCCTTCGTCATCCGTAGATATCATGAACCAAGCCGAACAGAAGTCAAAGCCGATGGGTATCGTACAGACCGACAAGTTGAGTTGTTGTTGTTTGTTTGTGTGTGTAGTCGCAAAAGCAGAAGCTGATCTACCGGTCCCATAGTGTGTGGACCGCCGAGTCTGTATCGCAAGTGTGATGATGCCTGAAAAGGGCAGATGAAAGAGTGTTGAGTCGTTGTGCGCCATCAGCGATGAAATCCGTTCCGCCGTTCCATCCATTCGCCAGAAATGTGCGAATAATGTACAATCCAACCATAAAAAACAGCCCAATACGAGAAAATCATGTCGAAATATCAACCGTTACCCCGTCTCCCCACCTAACGCCATGCATATGTGTGTGATATTAGGTTTGGGCTTCACGGGGCGGGCCGCGACCTCGTCCGCCTGCGCCTTGGCCGCCACGACCGCGATATCCACGGCCTCGGCCACGACCCCGTCCGCCCGAGAAGTGCTGGTTGTTGTGCTGGGCGTTCTGGCTCTGCCAGTTACCCTGGCCCTGTTGAGGCAGACCAGCCTGCTGTGCCTGCTGGGGCTGGAATGGTTGCTGTTGCTGCGGCTGCTGAACCAGCCCAGCGGGTTGTTGACCCCTCTGGAGGTTGGAGATGGGTCGAGGAATAGACTCGGGGTTCTCGTAAACGTAGAGAGACTTGTCGATGCTGGCAGGGATGGGCTGAATCTCAGTACCCAGATCCCTTTCAATGTTGTAGAGGTTGAAACGGTCGTCCCAGTTAATCAGGTTAATAGCCAGACCCAGGTGGCCATAACGGCCGGATCGACCAATGCGGTGCAGATACGTCTCTGCATTCTTTGGGAAATCAAAGTTGATGACGACATTAACCGCCTGGATATCAATACCTCGGGTGAGCAAGTCGGAGCAAACAAGGTTTCGGCAGACACCGTTTCGGAAATCGTGGAAAACACGGTTTCGAGCATGCTGCTGCATCTTTGCGTGACTGTAGAAGCAAGAGTAACCTAGCTCAGTGATCTTCTTGGCAAGCAGCTCGACTCGGTTGGTCGAGTTGCAGAAAATAATGGACTGGTTGATTTGGAGCTTGGAGAAGAGGGTGTTCAAGCAGTGGACCTTTTGCTTCTCTTCGACAAAGGCGTAATATTGGGTGATACCCCTCAGGGTGAGCTCGTCCATGAGGTTGATCTCATATGGGCTGACCATGTTCTTGTCGGAAAAGTCCTTGACAGACAGAGGGAAGGTGGCGGAGAAAAGCATGACCTGGCGGTCCTTGGGGTGGAATTGGAGCAGTTGTTCGATGACGGGAGTGAACTCAATGGAGAGAAGCTTGTCGGCTTCGTCCATGATGAACATGGGGCACTCGCTGAGGTCGGCAACGTTCTTGCCAGCAAGGTCAAGAATTCGGCCGGGGGTGCCGACGACGATGTGGACGGGATCCTGCAGACGGATAATGTCATCTCGAAGACCGGTACCACCAGTCGTGACCATGACATTGACGCCGAGGTGCTTGCCGAGGGTCTTGCAGACTTGCGAGGTCTGCATGGCAAGCTCACGTGTGGGGACAAGGATGAGGCATTGGATCTTGGAGACCTTGGGGTTGATGCGCTCCAACGCAGGGATGACAAAGGCAGCCGTCTTGCCAGTGCCGTTCTTTGCTCGTGCAAGGATATCTCGTCCAGTTAATGCGACAGGGATAGCCTCTTCTTGAATTGGGGAGGGCTTTTCGAAACCAGCTTCGAAGATTCCCATGAGCAGGTCTCGCTTCAGGGCAAAGTTCTCAAACTCGAGGCCCTTTGTGTTTGTGACATCCTGAGAGGCGCCAGGTCAGAATGCGGGGGGGACCATGCGCCAAAGGGGAGTCGGGTGCATACCTCTGTTTGTTGTCGGTTATCCTTGGCGGGGAGGTTCAAGCTCTTCTTCCAGTCGTCATTTCCAGTGGGCAGGCCATCACTGCTGGGGTCAGCGCAAGCTCACAAACGAGGGCCGCGAGGGCGGCGCAGCGGACCTGATTTGGGTAGCTTTCAGCTTGTCTGCTAGCTGATCCGCCATTGCGCTAGTGGGATCCGTCTACGGATCCAGGGAGAGTGAGGAGGAGGATATTATATGCAAAACAGCACAGAGGTTGACCTCTCAAAGGTGCTGGTGGCGCGAGGGGAGGCAGCAGTTGAGGAGCTGCGAGGGTTGATTTGGTGTCGTGTGGGGGGAGGTCCGGTTGCACTACCCGGGGAATGGAATCGAAGCGGCTTTCGGGGAGGGAGAGAGATTCGGTATTGTTTCTTTCGCTCGTGTCAGGCGCGCAGCCGAGATCGCGTGGGTATTCGTGGTCGTGGAGGGAAGATTGTTGTGAGTTTGGTACGTGGTTTTTGAAGAAGGGGAGAGAAGTTGTGAGGCAGGCTCAGGTTTAGAGTTTGAAGGTGAAGGTGACGCTGGTGTGTGCCTCATGGCGGCGGAAGGGCCCTGCATTTCCTGGGTCACGTGTTTTTCCAGCGGCGGGGCAGCCCGGTTTTGGTCGTAGTCGTGGCCATGGTCGACTCACTGACCTGAGGTGAGTAGGTGGGCAGGTTAGGCTTGGCAGATCGATCAGCTGGTCGGAACTTGCCAAGGGCTGAATTGGTTGAAGGAGGCTGCCGAGGCAGATATTCTATACAAGGAGTTGGTGGCGTGTTCGCAAAAGCAGAGGAGAAACTCTATTCGGTAAAAGCCATGATATGGAAACTCATTGAGTAGGGGAATGAGCTGCTCGAGGTGCAATTCGCCCTCTTGAAGCTACCCCCAGTGGTTGCAAAGCTCTTCAATCTCAGTATACGACTTATGCTCCTCGATCTCTACCCATATTCTGGCCAAAGATCATCCCCAGTCTTGGCAGCCGTCCACAAACAGTTCGCATCACGGCTTCTAACATCATGACGTGAGAGGGGCCAACCAGGGCCCCTGGAATTAACTTCTTGATCTCGCTTGACCAGGGCAGTTATGCCTTCACTTCAACAATACGTAGCTGTCATGCCACAAATCCTGTTTTCATTGGCTCGAATAAAAGTAACCATTCTTCGCTCTAACTGGGCCACATTGTATCTTGATATGGCTGGCTATCCAAACTCCAGTATAGTAATCGTACAAAACCCAATTATAAACTTCCTGCAGCTTCATCATAAGCATCTTAAAGCTTCATACCCATGGCCTTCGCCACTCTCAAGCTCTGCCTCATACTCAGGTCCAGCATAATCTCTTCGCTACCACCGGGGATAGCATATGCCCTCACATCACGGTACAGTCTCTCGACCTTGGCGCCCTGGCCGCCGCGCGAGTAGCTCAGACCACCAAAGATCTGACTGGCCTCGCGGGCGCAGAACTCAAAGGTCAAGGTCGACTGGGCCTTGAGGCCAGCGATGGGACCTCCCAGCCGCAGCATGGCCTCGGTCTCACCCATGCGCTCGCACTGGTAGATGAGGTTCTCGAGCCAGTTGTAAGAGGCCTCGATCTGTCGAGCCATGTGCGCAAGCTTCATCCGGATCACGGGGTGCTCGATGAGCTTCTTGCCAAAGGTGCGTCGCTTGTTGGCGTACTTGACCGACTCCTCGTAGCAGACACGAGAGAAGCGGAGGGACTGGATGATGATGCCCATACGCTCGTGGTTAAAGTTGGTCATGATGACTAGAGCCGTTAGTATAAGTACAGTCTTGAGACTCGGTTAGAGAGCTTACCTCGGAAACCCTTGTTCTCCTTGCCGAGCAGGTTCTCAACGGGGACCTTGACATCCTCAAACGTGATGTACGTTGTACCAGAAGAATGCACACCCTGGCAGTTCATGCGTCGTGTGGTGACACCCTCGCCGCGCTCAATGAGAAGCAATGACACGCCATTCATGCCATTCTCACCCGTCCGGACAGCGGTGGTGAAGTAGTCACACCAGATACCGTTGGTGATCCACTTCTTCTCACCGTTGACGATGTAGTGTTTTCCATCCTCGCTCAGCTTGGCCTCGCAAGTCAGGTTGGCGACATCACTACCAGCATCCGGCTCAGTGATGGCAAGACAGATGCGCTTGTCTCCGTTCAGAATACCAGGCATGATGCGGTCCTTGAGCTTCTTGGAGCCAAACTTGATGACAGGGGGGCAGCCGATGCCGAAGCCTCCGATGACGTTCCACACGAAGCCGCCGGATCCGGTGCGCGACAGCTCGTCGGTGATGATCATCTCGTGGAACAGATCCCACTTCTCAGGGGGAACCGACTTGGTGCCTTGGGGCACGTAGTTGGTAGGGTACTTGACGCCGAGCAGACCGGCGAGGTAGCCCCGGCGGCCCATCTCCTTGTAGATCTCCTCGGGAACCTGCTTGGCCTCGTCCCACTCGGTGACATTGGGCTCGATCTCGGCGTCTATCCATTCACGGACCTCAGCGCGAAGGGCAGCATGAGTCTCGTTGAAGTAGGGAGAGTGGTACTGTTCAAGTCAGCATTGGCTCGACACCCGGTCAAGGTGCAACTCACGTTCTGGTACCAGCTGGGATCGCCAAAGGGAATCTGATCTCCATAAGGCTCAAGGGCATCAGGCTCCTCACTGCTAGAAGCTTCCTTCTCAGCAGCAGCAACAGCCTTGGGTGTAGCCACAGGAGCGGGAGCGGGCTTGGGCTCGGCCTTGGGTTCGGGAGCCTTGGGCTTTGTATCGAGGGATCCGACCTGAAGTTGCTTCTGGTACTTCTTCAGGATGCTCTCGTTGTGGTACTTCCAGAACTGCTTGGACGCGTCCTTGCCGGCGACGCGCTGAAGAATCTTCTTGCCGCCTAGCTAAACGTTAGAGAAACGGTTCATGCACGCGTCTGTGGAGTGCAGGTCGCAACTGTTCGTGGCGTCTGGAGGCGCAACGTAGAGTTAATGGAATCTTTGCTCACCTGGGTGGTCATCTTGAAACTTGGTCACGTCGTAGACATCGCCATCGACAACAATATACAAGTCTCCGGGCTTGTTATGCGACGCAACGTCGCCCTTGGTAAATACTTGGGCCATCTTGAAACTCTTTTCAGGCGTTGATAATGTTTGACGTGAGAAAATGTGAGATTCCCAGGGTTAATCTTACAGGGAAAGGCGCCAAGAAAGTCTAGAGGTACACAATAGAGAGAGGGAAAAGAAAGAAGAAGAGGAATCAAGAGATCTTGCCAGGATGGTTTTATCTTTCCCCACGATCCATCCCCCTTTTAAATTCAGTTCGGCAAAAACGTACACAGTCGACAATCACATGTTGTCCGGAGTGTGCCTCCACCCCCAGAATAACCCCGTCTAGGTTTACATTTCCCCATACTTGGGGTCTCTTTCACAGGCTGACCTCTCCCTCTTCTGCAGAGCAGGTCATGCATGAGTCGTTCGCGGCACTTCTAGATGCGGTCATGGTCATGTGCCCTGCGCCTCGCTCTGGCTGAGACAAGAGAAAGCATGTGAAAGCCAAAGACAGCGCCGCGCCGCGCAGCAAAAAAGAACAAAAGTCAACCTGCTTACTAGCGCCGAGAACCCTCGTGGCGACCCTGGGGTGTGTGTCTGTTGATGTCATGATAGGACTGTGTGGGGATGCCGAGGTTCGCTCTCCCTGTCCAATCATACGCTGACAATTGCCAAAGTCTCCCCGAGGCTCGTTCCACGACTCGCTTGCTCCTCCACAGGATTTCGGGCGCCATGTGTAAACGAGGCCAGGGACCGAGATTGGGGATGCGGAGAAGATGCAGGGTCACTCAGTGAAGCTCGGGAATGCGTGATTTTGGTCAGCAAAGAAACCTGGGGAAGATGAATATCCACCATTAGTAGGGTCATCATCTTTTGAATAGCGTCAATTCGACACACGAGCCGTCCATGGCAAAAGCATAATAATAGCTAAGCAGCTATGGAGGCCTTCTTCTCTTAATCCCAGATAAATGCACACCAAGATAGCAATTGACCTCGATCATCACGCAGGATGTATCCGTAGCCTCACTCCACGCGCCAAAACTCCGATCCCGATCCCGGCCAAACCAGGCCTCTACTTTTTCAGTCCTTTCGTCCAGTCCAGCGCATTACTTCTCACCGCTCTCGAGTCAGGCACCTGCTTATGCGGCTCCGCGGGGCTTCGACTTGGCCGCCGCCTTGTCCTTCTTCTCTTGCTTGAGTTTCTTCTTCTTTTCCTCGTTCTTCTCTTCCAGCTTCCGCTTGTGCGCTGCCTTTTGCGCATCCGTCTTGGGAACCGGCTTGAAGAAGCCCTCTAGACGAGCTTGTTGTGAGCTCTTGAGGTTCTTCTCCAGACGCGCGCCTCCGCTGCGGACACGATCCTCCGAGAAGCCCTTCTCCGTAACGAGGAATTGCACCAGACCCTCCATGTCTGGCTTCTCCCACTTGACGTCGCATTCGGGGTCGTCGGCCTTTCTCACATCGGGCTCGAAGAACAGATCCCGCGCATCCTTGTAGGGCCAGTCTTCGGGAAGCACATACTTCTTCTTGGGGTCCTTCTCCATCGCCTCGACAATCTTCTCCAATGAACCGTGATCACGGATCAGCTTGAGGGCAGTGGTAGGGCCGACCTTGGGGATAGGATCGAGATAATCGCAGCCGAGAAGGATACAGAGATCCACAAACTAGGCAAAACAGTCAGTAAAAGGAGTGGTTCAGGGGGGGTGATGCGACTTACCTGCTTGCGCTCCATACCAAGTCCCTCAAGAACCTTCTCGAGATGAATTTCTTGGATAGGCTCCTTTCGCTGCTCACTGAATGTGAGGTGGCGCAACAGAATTGGAGAGTTGAAGCATAGAGTATCCATATCCTCACTGGCCGCCGCATACACCTTGCCAGCCTGCGCCAACACAGCACATTGGGCCTCAGCCTCGGTGGGCGCGATGATGTAAGGGATACCCATGAGCTTCAGCAGGCGTTGGCACTCGGCGTTGTGCTCTCGGGTGACACGAACAGTTCGTCGGGAGAACTTCTCAATATCCTCGGCTGTGCCCGTCTCCTTGGCTTCCTCGAGGCCCTCAGTGGCTTCTTGCTTACGCTGGAAACGCTTCGCCAGCTCGCCAGACTTGAGCTTAGGGGGCGCACCATCGAAGACGTATAGAGGCTTAATGCCGTTGTCGACCATGCGGAGAGTGCGGTAGAACATGCCCATCAGATGCGACGTCGTTTCGCCGCTGTCGTTCATGAGCTGCTGACCATCGGATCGTACGGCGATGAGGAAACTGTAGATGCTCATCGAGGCATCCTTCAAAAGTCAACATTAGGATTTCATCACGCCTGGAGAACGTGTCGACTCACGATGGCGACCTTTCGGCCAAACTGATTCTTGATCTCACCCTCCTTGATCGCATCTGGAGCTTCCTCCTTGATGATCTGAAAGAGCTGCTTAATACCCATCTTGGCGACTTTCTTCTCTGTGTATGTGTGTTGGGTTGGTAAGAGAGAAGAGAGAGGTGAGTGTTGCCTGGGGGTGAAAAGACGAATAAGGAGGGAAGGGGCGCAAGTGGGAGGAAACTTCAATTGTAAGGAGGAAGGAACTTGACGCGTGCGGGAACGTCATGACGCGCCCTGTCGCGCCGAAATTGACAGGGATCTTAATTGACCCCACACCGTGACGTCCGCGCTCTGCACGTACATTACTACGAAGTATTCTGCGTCCTTCATGTTGTCAATTCACAATTATTCCTCTCTAGATAAGTCGCTCATATTTTCCACTTAGCGAGGGCTACCACCGATTTTGCTGTATGCGGATGGTCTGTACCAAGCACTCGCTCTCGTAGGACAACGCAGCTTCGCATCAGATCTAAAGCATCTCTGGTACGGCCCTGGCCTCTCCAGGTGAGGGCCAGATTGTGCATGCCAATCAACGTATCGGGATGCTCCTTTCCTAGCACTCTCTTCGCCGTCTCTATCACTCCCACCTGTAACTCCTCTGCCTCCTTCCATCGACCTTGGTTGCTGAATGTCGACGCCAGGTTAATCTTGCTCGCCAGCGTATCGGGATGCTCCTCTCCTAGCACTCTCTTCCTTATCTCTATCACTCCTACCTGTAGCTCTTCTGCCTCCTTCCATCGACCTTGGTTGCTGAATGTCGACGCCAGGTTATTCTTGCTCGCCAGCGTATCGGGATGTTCCTCTCCTAGCACTCTCTTCCTCGTCTCCATCGCTCCTACCTGTAGCCCTTCCGCCTCCTTCAATCGGCCTTGGTTCCAGAATGTCAACGCCAGGCTGTCCATGCTCGCCAGGGTGTCTGGATGCTCGTCTCCTAACATGACCTTACTAAACTTGAATGTTCGTAGGTGCAGCTTCTCAGCCTGAGCATAGAATCCTTGGCAGGTCAAAACTCGTCCAAGGAGATCTAAGGCATCAAGCGTCTCCATGCCATTGTTTCCGCTCGCACTTCGGCGACCTTCTACCAATCTGCGAGCCATTTCCTCGGCGGATTTGTATCTTCCTTGGGTCACCAGCAAATTGCCTAGTGTAAATAATATGTCCAGGGTCCTAGAATCGCTGGTCCCGAACATAGTCTCCGCCTTAGACATTTCTTCTCGCAGACGCTCTTCGTCCGTTTGTTTGTACCGATACTGCAGAGAATATGTTGCAGTATCCAGTTGGCCTTGAAAGGCCCATGGAGTAGGAGGAGAGCCCGAAAGGAGGCTTGGAAGAGGTCGATAGATAGGGGCCGGGCTTTGTCCAACAAAAGTACCGCTCTGAGGCTGAGCTATGCTCCATACGGAGAGGGCAGGAGAAGAAATCGCAGGACTCTGGGCGATGGACATAATGCCTTCCGGTGAGAATTTCGGACTTTGTGCTGAGTATGCGGGACTAGAGGCCAAGGAACCGCGTTCAGAAATAGTTCGACAGCACACATCGGATGGGGTGGCTTCAGCATGTCAGCCGTCGTATGCAGGCAATATTCGTCACACGTTGACTTACATGCCACGGGACTAGGAGCATACAAGAGATCTTGAGGGACCTTATGACTCTTCATCCATCGGTCAATCTTATGTTGTTCCACCGTCCTGTCTCGGACCGTGAAGGCTAGCTCCCTTTTGTCGCTATCAGCGAGCTTCCTTTGTTGTTGTTTCCTGACAATTGCCTCCATCTCCACTCGCTTGATGTTCTTGTCCTTCCCCCATTGGCTTATGCGTGTTCGATACTGACGTATCCTGTAAAGCACACATCAGTACAGTTTTCAAGTTGTTTCGCTTTACCTTGGAAAGAACCCCGTACTCAGCAGTAAACCCAAACTCCTCCTCAATCTTCTTCTTAACCATCCCCAGTGATAGCTTCTGCGTAACATGAAGCTCGAGGATTCGAGCTTTGTATGGCTCCCAAGCCTCGGCGCGCAGGGTCGGGGCCTTTTTCTTTCGACGCTTGGGGGGTGGGCCCATGGAAGTTGCGGGCATGGTTTGGGTATCGCCAATATGGCCAATATCACCAAAATAACCTGCATTCTGGGGCGCGTGGGTGGGATATCCTTCAGGCAGATTGGGTGGATGCAACACGTGGTTTTGGTCTGTCATAAACTGCCCATACGGCGCTTGCAACTGTGAAGCCGAGCCGTCGAGCGCTGGGTGAACGCCATGGAACTGGTAAGCTTGCTGTTCGATGGGATTGGGCTCCCTGAAGAAGGCTGGAGTAGTGGTCGAAAGATCCATGTTGATATCTGGATCTCTTCGCGACTCGGCTATGCCAGCAAGATACCAGCAAGAAAAAGCGGATGGACCTGCTAGAGAGGAAATAGAAAGGATGGAGGGGAGGGAAAGTGATGCTGCATGTTGGAGAGGACTTGGTGTGAACATATACTGCAAAGCGCCTGAGGAAGCAGGCACACGACTGGAGCACAAAAGTCCTATCTTTGGTCGCAGGAGTAGGCCAGCAAACAGAGTGCAAGGGTCTGGGCATAAGCCTCATTACGGGGGGCTTGAAAGCATTTTGCAAAACTACTATTTCGCTGCGAGGCAGGGGCGCATGCAAAACTACTATTCCTGCACCCTGGTCTTATGCAGCCTTTTGACCAAACAAAACTACTATTATACGCCACATCAATCAACTCCCACCCAGTGAATTGTCCATACCGCTCTCTTCCCTTACCGACTGTGGGGCCAAGACGGTTTATGTGCGCGTTTGTTTCTCTGCCCTGAGGCGTTCCCAGCCGCAATAGAAGCTTCACTCAAAAGTACTATTCTGCGCTCAAGGCATACCATGCCAGCATTCAACGGTCATGGACGACCTGGACAATGGGTTTTTGATGCAGAGAAAGTCATCCTGACTTACCGCTATTGAAAAACTCCTAAATGAAGTCATATTAAAAGGGCTGTGTCCTCGCTGTTATGCGAGACTTGTACTCAAACCCGGTACAAGACATTTTACAGCAATTAATTCTATTGTCACTGTCAACGCACACGGACACGACAAATCTCATTCCCAGATACCACACCATGGCTCAAGCAATGCTGTCTGCTGAAGTCATTATTTCTATTACATTCGGCATCCTTCAGTTAATTGTCGGACTTATTTCTCTCTGGCAGCAGCGCCACCTTCGCTGGACGACTGGTAAGCTCTCCTTCTCTCCGAGGTAATTACTGAGGGCTAATACAATGACAGATTCGAGGCCTGAAAGAAGATACACTTTCTGAGAGCGCAGAGAGGCCTGCTTACTTGGTGGGGGTTTGACAAGACTGGAGGCAGCCTGGTTGATGGACCTAGTCACAGCGCACAGCAGATATTAAACAAATGTATCGACGCTCACCACTCCCAGCCCAGGCCATAACATCCCCCACTAATCTCAGAGCCTCCCATCATCCTCGAGGCAAGCCCCGAGTCAAGAATGCCCCTCGGCCAGCAGATAACAGGATACACACTGGGAAGCCGGGAGATGTGTGCACAAGGCACATAATCCACTTCCCTAACCCACCTCATTGGATGGCGTCGACAAAAGTACTGAGTACTTGTTTGTTGATATACCGCTCGGAATACAAAGCAGTCAAGGATGGGTCTCTCCTTGCGCTCCACCTTGCCGTGCGGAATAGCCAAAGGCTATACATAGAAATCACTGAGATGAAGAGCACATCACGTTTGGAACATGGACTGCATCCTTGGCTGGTCCTATATGTCGTGTGGTTGTGTTGGGTATCGTACATTTTCGTCCCCAATCTTCATTATTTCATCCTCGATATCTGCTCGCTTGTCAGTTCTTCAGTCGCTCCAACCATCCTTCATGATCTCCGTCGACCTCCGTTCATGCTGTCGAGGGTCTTGTCAATCTCCATAATATCCAACATCTCAACCTCCACGTCTCGCTTTGTAAAGTCATCCGTCTCGTCTGCCGCGTCATTCAAGGTGTCCATAAAGTCGAAGCCAACACGGGGCCGTGATGGTGCCCGGTTATTCGACACAAGATCACCGGTGATGTCATGTTGTCCAGAGGCAGACCGTAGTCGCAGTGTCCCAGACTTGACGGTGCTGAGGTTGTAGGTCGCCTTGGCTGGCCTTCCTGGCTGGCCATGCACGATGATGGCATCTGACTTCTTAGAAAACAATCCTCGTCTTCGTGTGTTGACAACTGCGCCAATCTTCTTTCCCGGTCCGTCATCTCCCTCTCGGACGATGACAATTCTGGAATCACCGACAATCAATACATCGGCAGGGAGGTCTCCGTCCTGGATGGCGGTATGATTGGCGTCTACCACCAGACCAACTCCATTGCACCTCTCGCCCAAAAGACCAGTGGACAGATCCAGGAGCTTGATCATCCTAGTAGGTTGTGCTCCGCTAAAAATGTCTACACCAGCGCCAGTTCCTCTACGAAGCTGGGAGTCCCAAAATCGCAAAATACCAGGAATGACGCACACGTGTTCCAGGCCACCAACCCAGAGCACGACTGTCTCGTCTTGGACGGCATTTCCGGTTGTTGGTAGAGCCGCTACCGTGATACCGCCCTGGATCGTAGCTAGGCGATCAAGAGTGATGGCAGAGCTGAGGGAAGCCGTAGCTTGACGTCGGGTGTGTGGGGTCATAGGTGCAAACTCCCCAGTGCTGCTCTCCTTGTTCTGCATAGTAACACTGCGGAGCGAGCTTGTTCCCTCCACATATCCAGACACATTGAAAGCTGACAGTGCGGCTCCCCGAACTCCAGACTTCAGCTTGCTTGAGAGGATAGCACCCGATCCAGCAGGGCTAACACCGTCAATGTCCCAAATTCCCCACATGCCATCAGCAAGGAGAGCCAATACAGCGCGGCCGTGTGCTATCCAAGCGGCGTCGAGAATAGGCTTCCTTGTTGCCGAAGGGCGAGCAAAAGGCTGGTACAGAGACAACAACCAAGAGCCCTGGCCTGGTAGTGGTCCAGTCGCATCCAGGTCGTTTAGAGAAGCAAGCGCAAAATCATAGATCCGCACGCCTTGCACCGCGGAGACTGTGAGCAGCTGTGTTGTGTGCGTGGGGTTGAAGGATATGCTCTTGAGGGGATTGGGCAAGTATTCGGTCTGGAACGGTTCAAGGGCTCTTGTGGGCTTGTCCTTGGGGTTCAGGGGCACATCCCAGAGACGGAGAACGCCCGAGGCCTCTCGCGAGTGTGAAGCGACGACTGCGTGTGCCTTTGTTCCCGGTCGTTCAGTGGCCGTGGGCATGATCAGGTTGATGGCGATGCCCTCACTGTGCTTGCTCTGACCTCCGAGCAGGATGAGCGACTCGCCCCAAGCTCCAGAACCAGCATTGCCTGCCAAGAGATCATTCCTAAGCTCCGGTCTCGCCTTGCTCTCTGGAGAAGGGGGGGTGAGAGGAAGTGTGATGACGTAGACGTCATTGGTAACGCATGAGACAGCAAAGACCATCTTCTCGGTCAAGACTTTGGCTCCTCCCCAGGCGGCGTCTTCAGCAGGTGCTAGGGTCATGGGCATCACCGCAACCTTCAACACCGACGTCCCAAGAGCCAGGTCGAGTGTCTGTACGATCTCAGGGTAGGGACCATCCTCAATCTCGTCCTCGAACTCGGGCTTGTCCTCAAATTGGGGCGCTGTCTTGGACTTGGCTGGCGGTTCCTCGTCGTCCGAGTCGATAATCATGATAGAGTCCTCGCCTGTTCCATTCTGCTTCTCGTTCTCTTTCTCGGGCACCTTCTTAGCGGCCTTGAATCGCTTGCCGCCTCGCCAGGCGACGGTCACACCGTTTTCGTGGCCGTATATGAGGATAGTCGCGCCCTGGGGAGACTGGACGGGGTATGTTTGCACATCGTTGACACGTCGCGAGAGATTGTATCTGTGGGGGTCAGCTGGCGCTTTGGATATTGTCCTATTAATGGGAGGGTGTCTTACGTGAACTGGGTGTTTTGCGCCGTGCGACGGATTCGGGGAGCTGTGATGGAGCTCATCGTGCAGCTGAGCTTTGGGCGAACAGCCCTGTGAAGAAGTATCAGGGCTATATGTCGATGAGTAGAAGCCTCTAGGATTATTGGAGGTCGATTTCTGGGTTAGGGTGGGTGATGGCGCAGATTGAATAGTGTTGTGATGCTTGAGCTGGTGCCTTCCAACTGTTTGGAGCCAGGAACTTTTCCAACGCGACAAGATCGCGCCAAGCTCCCAGCTCTATGGTCACGTGGTTAGCGCAACCTCCAACGACAACTCAATTCGACTACCCTAGACGCCTCATATGTCAAGTCGGTGCTTGTCTTTTGCATCGTTCACAATTCATATTGATCTTGTGGTGATTGATCATCTTAATCTTTGTTTATTCTTCGTGTTGGCGATAGATTTTTAATTTGTGCGCTGTGATGTAGTGGTTGATACGAATAACACCGACAAATTCCCAACGTTTGAGTCTCAGGCAAGCATAGGATGAAACCACTCACCAAGCTAGAACCAGAGAAAAACACATCAAATATTGCCATGTTAGACGTAACTTTACAGAGCAGTCGTCCACGTAACAGGGGACTCATATACTCTTAAACTACCAGGGTTAGTCGTAAAAAAAAAGGGCCGCCGAAGGAGCAACAGTCAAACAACGGCCAAGCAACAAAGCTTATCTTGCAGGTTGAAGACGTAATCCTAGACGTAATTGTAGACCATCGAAACCAAGAGAGCAAGCAACTCTCGGTCTAAGTACACAATCTACAAGTGGTGTCGTAAGAGGATACGGGAAGCTTTGGCGGTTTGCTCGTTCTACTCCCTGTTGTGCTCACTCTCACCAAGCCTCATCGAAAACTTACTACGGACGGACGTCTGAGGAACACAAGGTAGGTCGAGAACAAACAAGACGGACAAACCTCAAACCCGACAGAAACAGGAGCTGGGCGGAACTGGAAAAACCGCAGCGATGATACTATCTCAAACCGACCTATTGATGATACCGTAGGAACGTCAAGGGGCAACGAGCTCGAACGCGGTCCCGGCATGTGGCTGGTTTCACTAGGAGCTCAACATCGTCCGATCATCGAAGAAACTAAACTCGTGAGACCACATCCAAAGAACCAGCTTTTCAAGTCTCAAGTGGTGGTGTTTCGATTACTACGCGCAATCCTACATACAGAAAACACCATGACCACCTCCATCGGTCAATGATTCGGAAGAAGAAACAACGATCAAGTAAAAAAAGGTTAAATAGAGCGACGATAGGATATCCCACACCATCAATAAACCAGCCCCCTCTTCGTCGTGATATCTCCGCCAGGGCTGGCAAAATCTCCCCTGCGTCCGTCCTGCTGCATCTATGTGACACCTCGCTCGCTAGCACCCCGCCCAAATATCCCAAGAGGACCCGGTTGCCCTCTAATTTTTAGACCTGCTTCCCATCCTACTCGCTAGATAGATGGAGAATTTGTACAGAGGAGACCTCGGACTCCCAGTCGTAAAGAGAAAAAAGAAACAGACGTGCCGATTACACGTGAGGGTATGGTTGCCGCCGTGATGCTCTTACCCGGAGATGATTTCTGCGGAGGGTGCTGGAGAATGACGGTGGCATACTGGGGATAATTGCTGCGGCGTTGCTCTCATCTTCCCCAGTCGACTGCTCGAATCAAAGTTTGAAGCTGAAAAGTGACAAGTGAGGGAGTGGACGGCGTAGGGAGAGCCGATGTGCCATGGAGCGTGTTTGATCAAATCCAGTCGTTATTTCCGCACAGGCAAAAGAGAATAAAAAGGTCTAACCCTACGCCCAGAAAAGAGTCAAACGCCGCCAGATCGTCGGGGGAAATCGATCGACCAATAGACATGAGCTATCATCCCAAAAACGCCGTGAATGCCGATGGTGAGGTGGATGGGGAGTGTTTGGCTGATAAGCCTCGAAGAATTTTGGAATTCGCTCATGCATTGGTGACCTGGTCATGTTAGTTGAGATGTTCAAATGAGTTTAGTCATATCTCATAAACTTACCCGAAGGATCCTTCGAGAGTAGTCTTGGTTGTCAGCGATGCTGCCATCACTGAGTCGTCGGTGAGCCATGACAGGATCGAGGCGAGAGTCGGTCATGGAGATGCTGCCGCTGCTCCCAGGAGGCTTGGAGCCGTTGATGAATGCGTTCACAGCAGCGTTTCTGCGATGCTCCTCCTCGATCTCAGCGTTTCGTCGACGGCGGACAAAGAAGATGGCACCACCAGCAATAGCACCAACCACCACCACACCCACAACGACACCTGCAGCAATGGCGGCCACATTGGGACCGTCCTTCTTCTTGTTGTCGTCGTCGCCGGCAGTGCTAGAATCGGAGGGGGCAGTGACATCATCGGTGTGTGTCACGACAGCAGTGCTCTCAGCGGCGGTGCTCTCGGCCGCCTTGGTTGATGAGGGAGCAGCACTGGTAGTCGTCTCTTCTGGCACATAATCATCCACGGCAATCTCCAGACCGGTGTTGAAGACCGAGTAGTAGGTCTTGAGGGCACCACAAGCCTCTTGGGGGTAGGCTGGGCATGGGAAGTTGCAAAACGAGTCCTTGACCAGATCGTCCTCGGGAGGATAAACCATGCCGCAATAACACTTATCGGCCTTCATGGCTGACACATACATGCCAGCGTCTTTGCAAATATCACCACAGTAGCCGCTGGTGACCTTTGCTCCTGATGCCTCCACGGTAAAGTTGGCTCCAGATGAGAAGCATCCATGCGAGGTCAACTGGTTAATGACGGGAGTGACGGCAGGCGTTTGCACTCCGGTCTTAGCGTAGACTCCGAGGAAGTTGGCAGCGGCCAGGAAGGCCAACGAAACAGTTGTTGTGGTCTTCATTGTTGTTGGTTGTGTATCGAATATAGAGCGAGCGTGAGCGAGGTTTGGGTTGGTTTGATTAATCCGCTTATTACGGTAGCGGGCCTCGAATCAGATCAACTGGAATTGAGGCTTGTCTGATCCAAAGCTGAGGGTTTTCTTTTTGGTTGGTGTTACTCCAGGCTGGTCCAAAGATGCGGTGAATCGCCACGATTTGATGTTGGTCGAAATATCTCGATTAACAGTGAGCCAAGTCGATGACGCGAACGGGAGTCGTCGATATTAAACGAGATGCTGTGAATCCTTTGCTGATTGGATATTAAGGTCACAGACGATGGTCGACGAGTCGAGCGAACAAATGTCGTCGGTCGGAAGAGGAGATGGATCGAGAAGAAAGGAGGCGAGAGATGATCGGATCGTGTCGTAGGTGTCGTGGAACCAGACAAGGTGGTAGAACAAAGAAGCTTAAGGGCAACGAGACGAGACGCCCTTGAACAACGAGAACCGAAAGAAAAAAGACTCAACGATGGAAAGGAGACGAAGGCAGCATTGGTCACCACAATACGCTCCAAAGGTGAAAGAAGATCAAACGCTTTGCGTGTGGGGGGAGGTGAAGGAGGGACTGGAACGAACGAGCGGCGGGAGGGAGTGGCTTGTTTTGTTGAAAGGGGAGATGGCGAGAAACGGAGTGAGAGAGGAGAAAGGCAGCGACGGGACTCGACCACCAGAAGCGAAGCGAGAAGGAGACGGAGCGGAGGGACTTGGCTTGGCTTGGAAGGGAAGTGGGCAGGGAAGGGACTTGGAAGGGCAGAGAGAGCAGGGGAGACGAGGAGCCAGGAACAGGAGTCAGAGCGAGCCCAGGCCTGGGATTACAACGAGTGAGCGGCAGAAGAGCGCGAGACCCCCGTGAGAGAGCAGGGATCAGGGGGGTATGCACAGGGGGGATTCAGAGGGTCACAGGGGAATGCCTAGCCAGTGGAGTTGGCATCAGGGAATCAGCAGGGATTTGGGCACCATTTTGGGACCATATTTTGGGTGGTGGTGGTGGAGCTGCAGGGGGTGGTTCCTGTTTAATTGCACAAGAGAGCACAAAATCATGCACGGCATTCGACCTGCGCTGCACTGCACTGAACTTGCACTGCTCGTCCGTCGCCCGCCGCTGTCCGCTCCATCCATCCCCAAAAGCGCCGAAAACACCGCCAATGGGATGCCGACTGTTCACGGCTTCAGCTTGTTGGGCGGCGAATCATGCACCACCTCGATGCGCACAGCACAAGTTTGTGCGAGCAGCTTGGCTCTTGCACAAAATGCAAACGACGTGACTGACCACCTCACACCCCGACACGAGGTACCTCCCGTGCGCTCAACGCCGCGACACACGACACAGAAGACGAAACCACACCACGGAAAACCTTCACACAAGACTCGACGGTACCTATACGGCCCGGGACACGGGCGACACCAAAAGAAATCACCACAATCGCCCAGTGGCTGGATCTGGAAACACAGGGCGTCAGCTAGAGCCTCAGAGCCTCAGCGAATCGATGAATCGATGCACATCAGCACGCCCGAGAGAGCCGCCCTGTGTCCCCTTGAACAAACGTCTCGGGTCTCATTGATGCCTCGTTCCTGAGCCTGGCGGTTGACCATCATGCCCATCCACCATCCATCTCCCTCGACCCTCGAATCAATCCCCCACCGCTTCCATCCCCTGGGCTCATTCAACACCCCTCCATCCCTGGCCGCCGCGGCGCTGTGCGCCGGGGGTAACGCTGGAGGCGCTGGGACCGCTGAAGCCGCCTGCAAGCCACCTCAGCCAATGCCTCGAGTTGGGACCGTGGAATGTGCTGCCGCTATTGGAACATGCGGGCCACGTCAAGCTTCGGGATCCTCAAAAGGCAACCATGGTTCTGGTCTCGATACGTTGAGAAAAGCTTTTCGGTGATGTCTTTGCGATTTTGGGGAGGACGGTGGGAGATTGAGTTTCTGCCATGCGAGCTGTTCGCCTTCTTCCCCTTCATTTCCATCTTGGGTCTTCTCCGCGGCCTGGTGCAAACCTTGTGCATCGAGTTCATGTCCACTTTGTGCCCAGACATTCAGGAACAGCATAGCCTGGGATACGTACCTCACCCTCCTCGACCCAAACTGGACGTGAATGCTGCAGATCATGTCCAAAGCTGGTCCTGTGCCGCGAAACTCAACCTCTCGGCGCCAACGCTCGTTGATCAAATCAATTTACCCGTCCCAACCGCAAGCAAATCACGCGTGCGGCGTCAACAAACCTCGGCGGTTGAGCGGGAAAAGTCAGAACGTGATAAGGTCTTTTTGTTCTGGATGGTCTCGAAAGGTTCGCTCTCGCGTTGGAAGTCGGCTTGCGACGACCGAGATGGCTGAAGCTTGACATCCCATGTTCAGTTCAGAGTGGAGATTTCGAGGCCCATCTCGACCTTCATTTGCACGTCAATGCACGCCCACGGCGCAATCCTCGTCTCGAGCCTTTCATAAAATGTCACACCCTTTGTGCAGATTTGTGCATGCCATGCCCCCATGGCGGATCAGCAAAAACCCCAACAGGGCGCGCGTCAGCCATCACCACGCCGCAATGGCCGTCTCGATCCACGTGTCTGACGAGGCTTGCTGTTACGGGGGATGCATCAGGTCCATGGAACGAGCAATACGGCTTGCAGGACGACGACGTGCGTGCGTAGGAAGCGCTTACACCTATAACAGCTGAAGTATGCGTGGCAGAGTTTGCAAGAGAGGTAATACTGCAACTGCAAGGACCTCGCTGGCACAATGGGATGAACCGGCGAGTAGTGATTCTGGTGTTGGTGGTCTCGCTATCTCGGTGTCTCTGAGTCTCCACCTCGGCAACTCGATCGAGGATCGAGGCATGCAGTCTTCCGTACGGAGTAGAGTACGGAGCAGCCAGTTATGATCATAAAGCAGGCTTTGTTCGGGGTGGATTATCCACGGCTGCTGGGTCTGGGTCTGACGGCCATCGGAGTTGCATCAACCAGATCACGCCAAGCACGACCCCGAGCGACACCCAACCTCTCGGTATCTAGCCCTGCACAGAAACGAGATTGCTCAGGGCTACGCCTCGAACTGACAGCAACGGGTGCATCTCTTGCTGGCTCCTATCGAAGCTGAGAGAATGTTCATCATTCATTCCCGTGTCGCGCCCATCAGCAGCGATGCGTGACGGCGGTCGCAGAGTTGAAACAGCGACTAGAAACGCCGCCTCCCACACAATCTCGTTGGCCGCTGTCACCCACCCAAACGGCTCCGTTGTCAGAGGTTTAGACTTTTCCAACTGCCAAGACGATTGCCGGCGCCTGTATCCCGCAGCGTAGAGCGTCCCGTAGAGTTTGGGATTGCTGACGGAGGCAGCTGAATCGAATCGACTCGGCAGGAGAATTGAATAGAACCGATCTTATGGAAGAGGACCGTCTGAGCTGAATCAGGTCCGCCGCCCCGACCGACCGATCCATCACTTGCTTTTCAGAGGGGCCGCCGCGGTTCCCGAGCCCACTTGGTCTGAAGGAGTGGCCGGTAGCCACATGGCGGCTTGCATAACTCTGGACAACTCTGGATAGGGTTAGGTCTTGCACCACGGACCAGGCACTAATCGCACAATTCCCTGTTTTGTGTTTTTCTTCCATTAAAGCGCGCGTATAAGGTTAATCACCTTACGCGTTCATGGCAGGTGAAGAGGATTGGTTCCTACATTAGCGACGGCACTTGCCCTTTCTGTCGAGAGACTGACAAAGGCAAAGCGATTCTTGATTTGCTGCCCACCCCTCAGATGACACATGTGGGTCAAGTCTGCGTGTTTGATACGAGGCCGCGAAGCCATTCGCAACTCGATTTGCTGCCGGAGTTCCGGAGGGTAAGAATACGTACTCTGTGGGAGGGTCGAGAAAACCTGGCAGATGCACAGCATTGAATGGCCAACCACTTGCCAGAGAGGGGGAAAAAAAAAAAAAAAGAAAGAAGAAGCGGTCGAATCTTGTGCCTGGCGTACCCGAATGTTCAATGCAAGGAGTGTCGTGAATTCAAGGAACAAGGAAGACGAAACCAGGTGCAAGGAACGAGCGGCTCAACTACTTGTCAAAGCTTCCAAACAAGCTCCAGGCGTCCCTCTGGCAAGGCAGATTTTCTTCTTTTACAGAAGGACAGAGAGAGATTCAGCCCCCTCGGTGGCACCCCCATGGTCCCTTTCTAGATCACCCATTGCTTGGTTGACCACTCCCCTATGTAAGGACCACATCTCTCCCCAGCCAGCACCCATTCATTCCCCTCAACTGCGACCGCCCCAAGACATGGATCAGTACCGTTGCATTCCCCCCATTTCACGGGCATTTTCTCCAAGCTTTGAGGGGAGGGGGACTAAACCCTCGTGGATTACCGTTTAGTTGAGATTCAAGGACCCCGTGGATAGCTTCTAACAAGCCAGACCCGGTGGCATGACACCAAAGTAAATTTGGGTTGGCGATTATTTCCTTCTGGAGCACAGAGGGTAATATATCTGGCTGGCGGCCGGCATCTTCACCCAAACTATTGGGCACCGCAATTATCCGTTTCTTTTTTGCATCCATTGATACCGACCGCTATGTGGTGGAGAGGCCTGCCTGGCTTATGTCCAGGGGACCGGATCTTGAGCCGTTGAGCCAAGACTACCACTGTCATCTCAACACCGTTGCATTACATCGTAGATTGCCCATCGGGAATCAGGACGCTGACGGGTTTCACCATGGGATATGGTTGTTCCGTCTATTTACTTTGTTCCATACCCGTTAAAACCAGCCTCATCAACAACAACACAGAAATACATATCTGCATAGATACGGGATACTCTTTGTACTTACAGCGGACAATCTTCCCCTGTCCTAGACACTTGCGGTGTCACCGGCTCGACGTGGCTTTCGTCCCGAACCACCCGCCCAGACCGTCCTGTGTACCTTTTTGTCGTTCGTTTTGTCGTCTCATATAGAATGGCTGGGGATGGTCGTTTCCATAACCACCGTCAGTTCAAACAAACACATTCACTTTTTCAAGGTCGCACTCTTTCATCTTTCAATTCCACGTCCTGAGGCACCAGGCACCTTCATCTTGTTTAGGAAGTCGAGACACTTTCTCCCCCCATGTGCCCCAGTTTATCGAGATTACAATGGCTGTGCCACGTTTTTGAGCACAATTCACCCTCCACTTTCATCTTCATTATTGAGACTATGAATTAATCGTATAACTTTCCCCCTGCACAATCAACTCATCAGACCCTTTTTTCCTTGTTTTCCACCCCTTCCGGCCCGGCGCTGGTGGCCGTTCGCCGGGACGCGGTCCGTCCATTCGCTGGTCTTACCAAACCTTGCCTGTGGTCCCTTTTCTTCACTTCCGCTGGTCGTCGGCGGCGGCGGCGCGGGAGAGATTGATCAACCGTTGAAGGCTATTTTTGGCGTCTCTCAATCTTAAAAAGATTCACAATCATTGGGTTTGCTCTACCGGATGTGCTGGGGGGAAAAACTTCAATGGTAGGCTTGAAAAATGTCACCGGGCCACGCCAGCCTGAGTAATCGAGATGAGATGGCTTCGGTGTTCAGGCTTGCTTGGTTCCCTTCTGATCTGCGGGACTCTATCGCCCATGGTCTCCATTCACCGACGACGGCCTAGGTCCCGAGTTTCTGGTCTCGTTCCAAGGCGTGAGCTTCAACTTCCAAGTTTCTCGTTCCACCTGCAGAGATGATCATCTCTGCAGCCCTTGCCACCATCAACCACTAGACCCCATATTCTGCATCATGAGCTCTTTCACTTGGTCTCCCTGCATTCCACGGCAGTGCTGGAAATAGTATATTCTCCCCCGTCATGCCAGTCACTCAAGACAAGGCGTGCGTGCGTGTGCGTGCGTCTGCCCCCTTCGCGCCCGTCTGTGTCTCATTTGCTGTGGAGTTCATGTGCACGCGCCCCCCCGCTGTGCAATATCGACAACGTTTGGGATATTGATTATCGATGAGGCGAAAAAAAAGAACAAGACTATTGATATTGCGGATTTCGATATCCCATACTACTCCCTGGCATATCGCTAGTTGGATAAAAGGGAGGTTGAGGGCGGATAGGCTGAGGGGACTGGATGATGGGACTCGAGGTCCAAGATGCGCTCGCCTGAGTCTGCTCCATTGTTACTCTATCGGTCGCTCTGCGCTTCATGGTGGCTTTCTTGCCCGGTAGATGGACCTCTGATTGCTCTGTATCTTGTCGTTGGTTCCTATGTTGAGATTCCCTTCGTTCTGGCCCTCTCCAGCATCCGAATATGCTGAGTAGGCGTTAGATTCGTATCCTGAGGGAGAATGGCAGGTATTCAAGACTCACCCGAAGAATATCAACAGTAGCCCGCCAATGACGCCCGATCCGATTCCAGCACCAACTCTTTGTCTCGAATCTAGGTCTAGGTGACGGTTAACTCCAATGACGGGAGCCGTGGGAAAGATATCTCATCACTTACCATGTTCCCAACCAATCCCGGGACTGCCGTCGTCATCGTCGTTGTTATCATCACCACCACTAGTCTTGGTAGGTTCAATGGGACCACCGGTCGAGTGGCCTACATCATCTGTAGTCGTACCGGCCCCCGTCGTTGTTTCTGTGGCTACCGTTGACGTGGCTCGCGACTCTCCGCAGACGTATGCCTTTGCTGAAAGATCGGGCCAGGTCCAAGTCTGGCATCTTGAAAGTGAACCTTCGGTGCTGCAGTAGTCATCAAGTCAATGGCTATTCATGAAACTTGGAAGAGATAATCACCATTCCAGAGTGAACCTCCCGGATGCAGTGCCTGATTCAATGCATGTTGTTCGGATCGGACATTCGTTGTCATCACAGCAGCCGAAATAGGGACCATTCCGACCAGAGACGTGAAGAAGGCCACAAGATGAGGAGCATGTCACTGCATCGTAGGGGTCTGATGTTCGCCTGTCAGTTGTGTTTTCGTGATCCTCAGTTTCAGTGAGTTGAAAGGAGCCACATGCCACCGTTGATATATCCGCATGTGCGGGGGTCCACGCTTGTCGTGGCGCTGGTTGTAACAGAGCGAAAGGAACCATCTTCATCGTCAATTCCCACGGTTATTGTTGTTTGTGCTACAGCCTCAAAGGCGATGCTGGCGATAAAAGCGAGGCAAAACACATTCCCCCACATGCTGGGCAACGTGCTTGAAGGGGATTCAATCAACTGCCTCCATGCAACAAAATCGCACGTCGGGCTCGTTTCTCTTATCTGGCAAACATGAAGTGTCGGGGACTACTCAAAGCCCGGTCGGCAACTTTCGATCACATTATCATGGCGTGGCGAGGGTAAAGGGGGGGAATAAGGTCGCAGTGACATACATGGTTGCTTTTCAGCTTTCAGCTGTGGCTGAGCAATATTCTTGGCGATGTCGGCAGAGATGGCATGTGGACAATCATATAAGAACAGACCCGTTACTAGACGGATTGCTTCATAAAGAACGGAAAACCTATCAAATCTACCTGGAACTAACCTCCGGGTTCGACGATCGACGAGATGGCGCCCAATTGCGACGCGCTGGCACAGTTGGATGACTTCTCCGGCTACGTGGATATTCTCCGCGTCGAGACAGAATTTGACGAAACAAGGCTTGAGGTCTGCAAGAGTGAGATCTGCATTGCCGTCTATGGGACGGGTAACCCCGACATATCGGGCATTGGAGTTTGTGATTCACTTTGACCGTGACTGAACGCTCACTCACACGCAGTAGGTTGCGACCGCCTATATCCTCGAGTTTGCCCTCAGCGCCTTGTTGTCCCTGGCCGCTATTAGGCTCAGGAACTCCCGGTCTGGGACTGCAGCATATAGGTGGAAGGAGATAATCCAGTGCGGCCTCGACTCATTCTTTTCCTCGGCGGCGTACTTTGCCCTGGCAATCCAGCTCGCAACCATCATCGTGCTTGTACGCAAGGACTATGGCATTAGCAACGCTGACCTGGGTGCTATCGAAGCCCGCATCGCCCAGTCCGTCTCTGTCGTGAGCATGATACCGCTTCTATACCCAGCTGCTCTGCTGGAGCCAGGGCTAGAGGATCGCGATGAGAACCGGGATGTCAGGCACAACTCCAGACTGCTGTTGCTGAGCGTGACGTTGGCTCTCTCATTCTTCCCTTTCCTTTCGAGGTGTATGCATGCGTTCGGTCCGAGCCCCATTGGAGATGGCTCCAACTCAGAGGTTAGCGATGAGAACTGGGCCAAGGTTGCGAGCATGTGTTTTCCCGGGGGCTTCGCGGATCTCAAGGATGATATGACTTGGAAGGCTCTTCCAGGGCTGGAGTTGACTGCCAGCTTGATCACGTACTTGTTTGCTTTCTGGCTACTATCCGGCCTCCCAAACACACGCTACATCCCCAACAAAGACACAAAGGGTCATAGGGGGGTCGAGAAGATTCTTTCCTCGAGGGAGAGAGTGACCAAGTGGTTTGAGCATAGGAGGCGCTACGCGATAGTACCACTCCTTGCACTTATCGGCTTCACGATACCGCTGATAGTGATGATTTTCACATTGAGGGACTTGCAAAAGGAGCTGTCCGATTATATGAATCACACATATGAGGGGGATGATTGGGGATTTGGGCAGATTGTCTCTATCGTGTTGTTTGTTCCTGTCGGCGTGGACATGGCCTACTGGTGGAGGTTTGGGTCATCATATGAACGATGAGGGCAGAGGTGTTTCCAATAGTCCTTTTGTTCAATTATTTAACAACCTTCTGTTCAATATGACTAGTTGAGCTTCCTCTCCCTCTGCCATGTTCTCGATTATCTAACTGCGAACAATTGTTAGCCTCACCAGCCAGGGGTAATTGTCCAGGCCATGGTTCGGATTCTTTGAGGCAATCCTCGGATCTTAGCCCGCGATTCTCTGCTAACAAATTGGTTCTCATTGAGATGCTGTGATCCAGACTGAACAACGAGGGAGACAGATGACCATGAACCCTAACACTAAACCATACAATGATGATAGTGGGCTCATTACAACGGGGTTGGCCGGGATATGGAATCACGCCGGCCTTCATGTCCAGGTTTCATCGAGCATTGGAGCTTCCCTCGGGCTCCGCCAGGTATGGGGACAATGCCGGAGATCATGGGCCTCGGCGAGAGGTTAGATGATATCCAGGCTCAGATAATTAAAAAGTCTCTCCGAAATGGGAACTATACTATAGTGACCTCTATGGTGCCGTTTCGGCAAGCGAAAAGTAAATATCGGCCAGTCAGATAACCATGACCATCATGCGGCAGATACAATCTTTCACTAACCAACTACTTCAAGAAACGCATACCTCTCGGGACTTAGGGCGTATTACATTCACGTAGTTTCTCGGTATAATTGATCTCACTAAATCGTTGTATTAGATAAATGCGTACATTGACGAGTTCTAGTCGGGTGTATATGTTGCTCTGTGTGCATCTGCTGTGGGCATCGCAGAGGCTGGATGGCATGTCTCTACTACCCTCAATGCATACACTGTTTTAGTTAGACTTGTATCAGGAATGCCAGAGTTTGGTACTCCTTATTGTGTCCCAATCAGACGGTAGCCCGAGATTGACGAAGTCTTGAGTTGTTGGCTGCATTAACTCGCTCTCACAGGCAGCATTGCTTAAGATCGCATCCTAGCCAATAGGTAGGAAAAATCTTGATCGTAAGAAAATACATAGGATGAGCGAATATACGGGTATACCGACAGGTCTATCCCCTCGATCGGCTTGCACCTGGAGGCTGAGTTGTCTGTCTTGAACATTTGCTCTTTCGGGCGGATAGGGGTATTCTCCCGGATGACTCAACCCAAATAAACAAGATGTAAGACTCTGAGTTCATTGCACCGGTGGTATAGGTACCCCAGAGGCTCATCCGACCCAATCCGGGGGTCCGTCATGTGTAGAATCATGAGGCAGACATCCACGGCTGTGTGACGCCCATCCATGGGCTCCATACCATCACAAGGGGGGTGCGGGCAATTAAAAAGGACCCTGCTGAAACTCCGACCTGATTCAGGTTTTCTTGGGCTTCTAAAACTGCCTTTCAATACCCAGCAGTGATGCGGAAAGGGACTTACTGGGCCGCTGTTTGGCAAACCACATGGTATCCGCTCTGTGTCTATGGCTTGGGATCATAGAATGCCTCACTTCACAGAAAACCCCAAGGGCGGACCACGCCAATCTGTGAAAGGTAGCAACTGAGGATGGCAGCCACCCGTTTTACATGCTGAACGCGACTCCCATGTGTAGGGCCTAAAGTGCTCACTTGATCCAAGCGATTGAAGCCACTGGTTCCTACAGGTAGTCCTCGTGGCTATGTTTTGAGACTCCGGTACAGATTTCGAGATTGGAAAACATTCTCTCTGTGCTGTTTTGTCCCTCGGGACTGGGTAAATGGTGTTTTGAAGGTGCTCTTCGCCCACTAGGGCGGTATCGAGGTCGGGAACGACAGTGTTGATGAACATTGCAGAAGAATTATGATGTATCCATACCACGTATACAGGGTTAAGGACCGGAGTAGGCCTTATGTTGCTCTATGGTACGTACTCGCGGGATGATTAGACGGTCAACTCTGTGCTCATGTTCTCGTTCGCAGTGGTTTGTCGGACGGAAGACGTCGGCGCCGCCTAGTTCCTCGGTTTCCTGGCTTTTACATTCGGGGGCTGTGGTGAAGTTTCCATTCATCGAGTCTGGCGTGATGACGATGCATCCTCGAGAGTATGTGGTCTTGAAGTCATTCTTGGAAGCATGGGCAGTGCCTGTTTAAGAAGAACTGGGGAATGCTGAACTCGCCCAAGTTGGAGAGGACAATGGAATTTAAGCAAAAGGAAGATTAAGATTAAACTATAAACAATGGGTTCGGATGCATCCGTCCTTTATTACTTCTTGTTTTCGTGATGCGGCATGAGCCGGTTTTGGAACGAGAATGATATAGGGTATTTCGCACGGGAGTAGTGATGCTCTGTACTGTGCTCCATGCCCGGTCTTCAACACCGGTATGGATCCTAAGTAAATGTCTATATGTGCCTAAGAAGTGAAATGACGAGTAGTTTTGGACGTTTAGGGCTGTCTATGACATAGTTATTGGCTGTGTCTTTGTCAGTTTCAGTCTTCACGGTGCCGCCCGACCGAGTCATGGAAGCTCCTTTGTCAGAACATGAATATCCGTAATCATGCACAAAAGACAAAGACATTTGAAACCGGAGTAGTGGACGATCAGTATGCGGAACTGTTTCACATGTTGAAGGATAACTATACTGCGTTTATGCAGTCGGTAACTCGTACAGTCAACGAGCTCGTTGCCTTATCGTCTTATGAGACTGTCATTAGTCATCAAAGAGAACAGTGACCAGATGCCATGACAACATGGATGAGGCGTTCAAGTTCTAGGCCCCAGCGTTTGTTGTTGTTTTCGTTCCTGGTTCTGAGACGCTTGTCCGCGATAAGATGAGACGGCGCTTGAGCGATGCACGGCGGGAAAGCCGCATGATGCCTAAGGCGGAAAGGCGTCAATGGTCATGGTTGCCGAGCAGGGAAGTGGAGTCGGGTTCGGCGATATGGTGCGTCATTGCGAGGCGAGTCACAAGATCATTCGCAGGGACCGGCTGCCATTCATTGGGGGGAGGGAAGGTCCGGAAGGCGCAAGGTGCAAGGTACCTTGCCTTACGAATCCAGGCAGGTGCGACTAGCGGAGGTCACCCAGGTCACCCACCCAGCCGCCGAAACAGGCCGCGAACACGCAATAAGCTCTCCCCCAGCTCCGTCATTCCCTTACCTTACCTCTCCGCTTCCACTGCTTCATAACCAACCATCTTATCTCTCCATCTGCATCCCCATTCTCATTCATCACCATCGAGCTCGCCATCGAACCCGCCGTCGGATTGTCGTCGAGTTCTACAGCTCCATCCTCTTAGTACCTCTATCGTACTCTTGGTCGCATCCTCGACCGATTGCCTATCATGAAGAGCGCTCTTCTTGCCGCCGCCGCGCTTCTGGGCTCCGCCCAGGCCGGTGTTCACAAGATGAAGATCCAGAAGGTTCCTCTGGCTGAGCAGCTGGTACGACCATTCCACGATGTACACTGATTCTGTCGAGCTTGCTGACCACGGCATAGGCTACCACCTCGATCGAGACTCACATCCAGAACCTCGGTCAGAAGTACCTGGGCTCTGCCCGCCCCAAGAACCAGGCCGACTATGCCTTCAGCACCGAAGCTATCAACGTCGAGGGCGGCCACCCCGTTCCCATCTCCAACTTCATGAACGCCCAGTGTAAGCTTCCAAGATCATATGATGATGACCAAGACTGACCCAACCCCTAGACTTCTCCGAGATCACCATCGGTAACCCTCCCCAGAGCTTCAAGGTCGTCCTCGACACCGGCAGCTCCAACCTCTGGGTTCCTTCCCAGGAGTGTGGCAGCATCGCCTGCTACCTTCACTCTAAGTACGACTCCTCTGCCTCGTCCACCTACAAGCAGAACGGCAGTGAATTCGAGATCCACTACGGATCCGGTAGCCTGTCGGGTTTCATCTCCAACGATGATGTCTCTATCGGTGACCTCAAGATCAAGGGCCAGGACTTTGCCGAGGCTACCAAGGAGCCCGGTCTGGCTTTCGCCTTCGGTCGCTTCGATGGTATCCTGGGTCTGGGCTATGACACCATCTCTGTCAACCACATCGTTCCCCCCTTCTACCAGATGGTCAACCAGAAGCTCCTGGACGACCCCGTCTTTGCCTTCTACCTGGCTGACCAGGAGGGCGAGAGCGAGGTTGTCTTTGGTGGTGTTGACAAGTCCCACTACGAGGGCGATATTGAGTACATTCCTCTCCGCCGCAAGGCTTACTGGGAGGTCGACCTCGACGCCATTGCTCTCGGCGACGAGGTTGCTGAGCAGGAGAACACTGGTGCCATTCTTGACACCGGTACCTCCCTGAACGTCCTCCCCAGCGCTCTGGCTGAGCTCCTGAACAAGGAGATTGGTGCCAAGAAGGGCTACAACGGCCAGTACACTGTTGAGTGCGACAAGCGCCAGACCCTTCCCGATATTACCTTCACCCTCGCCGGATCCAACTACAGCCTCCCCGCCACCGACTACATCCTTGAGGTCTCTGGCAGCTGCATCTCTACCTTCCAGGGCATGGACTTCCCCGAGCCTGTGGGTCCCCTTGTTATTCTTGGTGATGCTTTCCTCCGACGGTACTACTCTGTCTACGACCTCGGCAAGAATGCCGTTGGTCTGGCCCGCTCCAAGTAAGCGACGATTATTTATGGATGAATTATCAGATAGCGCATGAGTATGTATCACGGACTTGGTTTTGCTTAAGACTGGGATGGATCGCTTTGATTATTACAGCAGACATGAGGAGCAGAGTATGAGATGGTGCAAATGTCTCATCACGATGCTCAGTAATATGAACATGTTTATTTTTGACCTGACGACCAAGCGATTCAAACTTGACTGTGACCTTGTGTAACAGTGGCGAGGGTGATGCATTGAAGCTTCCAGTTGTGTGTAATTGCGTGTACCATTCATGATGATTGCGCTAGACCTGCAGCCACCTTGGTGGGCTTTGAAGGTGAACAATAGCTCGAGGAAGTGTCATATTCATTACTGAACTCGTGATACCTAAGTAGAGAGAGCGTAAATCAATGAGAATCGACCATGGTCAATTTTTAAGCAAATGAATCATGTCCAGGCGTGGTGACACCCAGCTCATTGTTGGTGATGCCGTTGATGAAGCTGCGGAAGCTGGTTGGACTGGCGGAGCTGAGTCACGTGCATGGCTCATTAGCCTCCTCCCCCAAAGGGCGCTACCTATTGTGGGTCCTGGTCAGCGAGAAGTTAGTACTTGGCGATCGAGACACATTCTTCCCCCAGCGCAGCAACTCCATTCTTGCCAGGAGTCGGATCGAGATATTTCCTCGAGGCTGTTTGTCGCGTAATTTGCCAAATCGTGGATGCACCTCCTGATTGCACGATTGCGGCGCGTCTTTTGGATGAGGACGCTCGATTCACGCTGCCTCGACGAAGCCTTCTAAGCGTTGGAGTTGCACCAGCACCAGCGAGCGACCCGTTTCTGCCATCCACCACCGCTGCCAGCTACCGCGTGTCGCGACAGGGACGAGGCGCGGCCAACGCCAACGCCCCGACGACGACCGTCTCCAGCAGCGCAGCCATCATGACCACGCCCAACATGGCGCAGTCCACGACCGTCCAGGCGAACGGCGTCTCCGTGTCTCCCACCCCCGAGACTGCCCAACCCGTCGCCCCGGGAAAGCGAAAACGCGACATTGACGACGACCGAGATGATGAGGATGGTCCTGACGAGCAAAAGCCCGCCATCACCAATGGCGAAACTAAAAAAGACCAGAAGGAATTGATCCGGTCTTTTGTTGATGTCCTGACCAGGTAGGCCATCTTTTTCCATGACTACGGCTGCGCTGCGACCTTTTTGTCGATGCGAATGGCCCCGTCTCTGATGAAGGCTAACCATCCCCGACAGCTTCGATACCACCCCTTCCATCATGAAGCGCCCCCTGCCCGAAGCCTCCGACGATGATGAGCCCCGAACAAAGCGCCAGAAGTCGACCATCGCCGACAAGGCGACGGCAAATGCGTACGATAATCTCGACCAAGTCGCCGACGACCTCGTGTCTGTAATCCAAGCATCCCTCAAGGAGCCCAAGGTTGAATCTGCCGAGGGCAAGAGGGAGCTTCTGGACGAGACAACAAGGGCGCAAATCGCCGAGTTTAAGGACAAGGCGTTCCAACTTCTTCGTCGGGAAAAGGCCTATCCCAAGGCCACCGCAGAGCCGCTCCCTGTCGAGGCAAATCTTCCCTCCTCTCCCCAGAAGGGCGAACTGGTTCTCTCTATCCTGGGATATGCGCCGCAAGAGAGGCGTCTGTTTTCCAGTCTTCCTCTTTCCGATGAGACCAATTTGCGTGATTTGAACCTCCCTCAAGGCGTGGCATTGACTCACATTATGCCAACGACTCCCCATGAACGAACACAGACTCTCGGTGATCTATTCTCATCCCCTCGCTCCCTACCGCCACTGCAACCACCTAAGCAGCCAAAAACGCAGGCCAAGGGTAACACCCTCGACTTCTACCGTCCCGAATTGACAGACACCTGCAAGTACCGGAGCAACACGTACTTTACGACCAAGTTGACATCCGGATACTACCTCGACTACAGCAATGCTACCCCATCGTCGCAGACAATTCCAAAGCAACGAGAGCGCGCGCAGAGTCTTGCTGGAAAGAGGCCTTCATCTACCGAACTGGAACTGTCCGAGGTGGAGTCGCTTTTCCGAGGAGCCTTTTCGAGTTTCGCGCCGTGCAAGGACGACTCGGGGGCGATTGTGCCGTCTAGTGTCGCTGGTCGAATGTGGTGGCAGCGGGCAGGCCACCGACAATTCCAAAACATGATCGAAGTCGAGTACTATGCTGATGAGGAGGACAGCAAAGAGGCAGATGACAAAGCCAAGGCCATGGAGATTGACGAAAAGGCTATTCAGGAAGCCATCGACAACTGGGATGATTCGATCGTTGATCCGTCACTGGAAGAGGCTCTGGGCTCGAAGAGAGCGGATGAGGAGAAGGAAGTCGACGAGATCCTTGAAGAGGTCAGCGACATGATTGAGACACTGGCCTCGTACCAGCGGATTCGCAACCTCAATCTCCCCAACTCGCAAAACCGTTCCTCGAGCGACCCAGTCACAGGCGATATGCTGGCTACCCCTGGACCGACTCCCTCAGAAGGCGAGCAAGCCACCTACCAGATGCTCAAAGCGCAACTTGCGCTTATTATCAAGACACTGCCTCCGTATGCGGTAGCCAAGCTGAATGGTGACCAACTGGAGGATCTTCTCATCAGCACCAAGGTGCAGGTCCAGACGGACCAGTACAAGGGCGTCATGGAAGAGGATGACGCTGCTGTTCAGGCCCGTCTTAGAGCGCAACAACAACAGGCAGCGGCGCAAGCTAGTGCCCGCCCGCCACCACAGCGTACACCCAGCATGTCGTCTGTTTCTTATGGACATCACCCACCCGCAAACGCATACGCCACCCCTACCCGACCTCCTGCGATCCAGCAGCAGTATTACCGGCCAGGTCCTACGCCGGGTTTCCAGCCCCAGCAAAGATCAATGCCGCCTTCACAACCTCGACCTCCTCAGCCAGCTCCATACAATCGACCCAACGGCTACCCGGCCCAGTATGCGACTCAAGTGGCTAAAGCGCAGACTCCATATGGCCACCAGAACATGCCTCAGTATGCGACTCAACAAAGGCCCCCATACGGCCAAATGCCACCGCAGCAGGGAACACCGGCCGCCCGATACCCGTTCCAGCCAGGCTACCCGCAGCAACAGGCTGGAACACCCGCGCAACCCACCTTTGGGGCTTTCCCGAACGGCCAAGCTATGCCGCAGAGAACTATGTCTCCACAGGTGCCACATAGGCAAGCTTATAGCCCCTCGCCTAACATGCAACCAGCTGCTCGTTATGGCACGCCGAACCAGGCTATGGGCAATCAAATGAATAGGTACCCGAGCAATCCCCCACAGCCAGGAACGCCAACTCAGAACCCTGGTCTTACAGGATACCACACCGTGATCCCTGAAGCTCAACAGCAGAGGATCCTTGAGCAAGCGAAGGCCCGCCTCGCCGCTCAAGAACGATCGACCATGTTTGCGGACAAGATTGCCCAGCCCGGCACTCAAGGGTTTGTAGGTGGAGGAGGAATGGCACCCCAAGGGACGATGGATGCGAACAGGCTTGCTGCGGCCCGGGCAAGTATGGCAGCTCAGCAGAAGCCAGGGACTCCAACTCCTCAACGGGCAGGGATGAATGGAACCCCGGGACCACATATCCCGCACAAGGTGACGCCCGTACCGGTCCCACCGATCCCCGGGATGCAGAGGAAGCCCTCGACATGAAGCGACATGTTTTGCGGATCGGATTCGTTGGAAAAAACCGTTCGTATGGAGCATTGAGTGCGGCGCCCAGTGTTGAATCTGGGACGACGGAGAGCAGCGTGAGACGGACTGGGCTGGGCGTTTAGAGGTGGATTCTCGAAATGTGTTTATTAGTCTTTGGGGAGTTGGCTTTTTTTGTAACCAGGGAAAAGGGACGTGAAACCACTACAAAGGAGATGTGATCACAAGGGGAGGTGTTTTTTTTCCGTCAAAGTTGTTGACATGGATGAACTGGGAAGCCCTGGTTGTGTAATTCAAGCCGCCAGATGGGATGAAATGGCGCGTGTATGCAGATGAAATAAGCGACGATGGGTTGCCATTGTCAAGTATGCTGTCAAGGTACTTACTTGTAGTGTGAGGTGTAGTAAAGTATGTGAGAATACTTTGTGAAGTGCGGATGCTCAATAGATACCGTGATGGGTTCATGTGAATGAGTGTAGTGAATTTGCTGGAAGAGTCAGGGCTGCAAGTTTGGGGAGCGGATGTTTGGTATGGGGGTGCCTTGGTAGCCCGAATTCCACCAATATCTCTGTCGTATTCTATAAGAATCAGCTCGTTGTAAGAGAGAACGATCTGACCAAGGCGTGAATGTGCTTACTTGATTCCTACACTCGATGAATATGTGAGATCTTGGAGTCTATTTGCCTGGCTGACCGACTTGAGATTGGACTCCAAGTTCAAGTGATGACAGGCTTGAAGAGTGACACAGGAAAAGTGAATGAGTGAGTTGATTGTAATCTACAGAGCAGAGGGGTATCTATCATGGCAGCCCAAATGTTCGTCTCTTTCCCACATAAACCCATATACATACAATTTTGTTTTCATCTAGTCGTACAAACACATAGCCCTCTTGGTTCATGGCACATGCTTTGGCAGATCCGCAGCCATCTCACGCTCCTGCATCCACTCAAGGACGATGCGACGGAGCTCAAAGACAACTTCAACTGCGATGAGAAGGATGATGATCAGCTCCAGGCGAGTACCGTGCTGCTCGTTCGATATCTCACGCAGAACGCTGGCAATCTCGGCAGCATAATCCATCTTCTGGTTTAGTGCACGGATGCGCACGTTTACATCGAGGGCACGGCCAACTTGTTCGTAGTACCCCTCTAGGCCGAGCTCGGAGCTGGTATCCCAGAAGATATCAGGGAGCGAGTCGGTTAGTTCGGAGTAGTGGTTAAGGCGGGCTCGCAAGCTGAGCAGCTCACCCGTCTTTTGAAGGATAAAGCGGCGACCAAGAGGGACGCCTGCGCCCTGAGAGAGGATTTCGGGGATGTTGCGTGTACTCTCAAAGTAGCTGGTAAGAGCTGTCTCGAGGACAGCCAGCTTGGTGCTACGAGCGAGACCCGAGGAAAAGGCAACCTTTGCCAGAGTGGTGTCCAGCGTATCGTTATCCTTATTCTCCTTGCGGGTTCCCAGCACAATCACATCACCCTTGAGGACACTCGTCTCTCGGTTTGTGTCGGTGGTGAACTCTAGATCCTCGAATTCGCGGGACTCGATAGGGTGTGCTTCTTCGGCGGCGCGCATGATCTGCTTGGTGACGACGTCGGGAGGCAGCGACCATGTCACAATCGTGCCGGAAGGAAAGACAAAGATGTCCCCACCGTTGACTCCTCTTGCGTGGAGCACCTCGTTGGCGTCGAATCCCGTACCATCCGGATCGATTGCGAAGCCGTGGGAGGAAAGAATCTCGAGGACTAGAGGCATTTTGAATGATTCGGAAACGCACGTTGCGCTGACCACGTTGGAGGGCTCATCGCTCGGGCTGCCCGGGGTGGAGGCGCCTCGCTTTGGCTGCTGGGCGATGATGGCGACGCGCCGGAGAGAATTCTTGGCTGTAGCTGCTCGTGTCGGCTTTCTCTTTGCGGCTGCGGGAGTCTGGTCGTCCCTGGCTAGCTCCGAAGCTGAGCGGGAGTCGTCATTGGCCTGGGAGAGGAAGGGATTCGAGGTGAAGAAGCTGCGCTTGCGTGGGAAGCTCGCCGGCGCCGTCAAGTGGAATGACCGATGAGCCAGCGGCCGTGGGCCGGCGACGGAAGTATGTATGAGGCGCACAGCATTGAGGGTGATCCGTTGCGGGGAATTCCTCATGATGCCATAAACGAGGTCGCCATAGAAAGCGAGGGACGAGTAGGTAAATATTTACAACTCGGGATGTTCAAGACCGACGAATCTCGAGAGCCCGGCTTAAAGTCGACGACATCCGGAAGCGGGACCGAAAGTGCCTTAGGTAAGATTCGGCCGCCCGCATGCAATGCATGTGACATCTCACCTGATTCTCCTCAACAGAAGCTAGCCCATTTTGGGTAACCTTCTTGACACCCATGACGAAGTCCCACCAGGAGAGATCTCTAGGGGAGACCAAAAGACAGACCGTTAATTACGCTTCTCAACGCCGACGACTTAAAAACGAAAGACACCCCTTTCACCTCGTCCTTCAACACTCCCTCGAGCCATCTCCCGTCCTCCCCCCGAAGCCCCCTTCCGGTTCCGCTGACTCGCTCTGCGGATCGATCTCTCTCATCTTTTCTCCCCCTCCTTCGCTCATACACAAAAAATACCCCACCATCACCATGGATGTGAACCCCAAGTACGACCACTACGACTTCCCTACCCAGGGACCCGAGAAGCAAGATGGCCACGCTGGCTACCTCACAGAGGAGCAGATCGCCAAGGTGCACCAGTTTCGGATGCTCCTCGAGGCCGAGGGCGTGACTGAACGATTGGACACTCTGACTCTGGTATGAGAAGCTTCCCGCTATGACACGCAAGCAGTGGCCGCCACCACAGCTCCGGATGCGCTCTGCAAGGAATGCAACTTGCTGACATTGCCCCTCTACAGCTTCGATTCCTCCGAGCGCGCAAGTTTGACGTCGAGCTCTCAAAAGCCATGTGAGACTCCCTCTTTGGCGGTGGAACGAGAATATGCGCTGGTCGCGACAGGGGGGCTGACCGCCACTAGGTTCTTGGACACTGAGAAATGGCGAAAGGAGACCAAGCTGGACGAGACCGTTCCTACCTGGGACTACCCCGAGAAGGCTGAGATTAGCAAGTACTACACTCAGTTCTACCACAAGACCGACAAGGTATGATGCTGTCCCGGTGTTGGGGAGAGTTATCATGAGGATACATGCTGATGCTTTTTTCTTCACCTGCAGGATGGCCGACCCATCTACATCGAGACCCTCGGCGGCATTGACTTGACTGCCATGTACAAGATCACCACCGCCGAGCGTATGCTTCAGAACCTTGCTGTCGAGTACGAGCGCGTCGCCGACCCCCGTCTCCCTGCCTGCTCCCGCAAGGCTGGCCATCTCCTTGAGACCTGCTGCACCATCATGGACCTCAAGGGTGTCTCCATCGGCAAGGTTCCCCAGGTGTACTCCTATGTCAAGCAGGCTTCCGTCATCTCTCAGAACTACTACCCTGAGCGCCTGGGCAAGCTTTACATGATCAACGCTCCCTGGGGCTTCTCCACCGTCTGGAGCATCGTCAAGGGCTGGCTCGACCCCGTTACCGTGTCCAAGATTAACATTCTGGGCTCGGGCTACAAGAGCGAGCTCCTCAAGCAGATTGAGGCCGAGAACCTGCCCAAGCAGTTTGGCGGCTCCTGCGAGTGCCAGGGCGGTTGCGAGAACAGCGACGCCGGCCCTTGGCACGACCCCCAGTGGGCGCGTCCCGCCTGGTGGGAGAAGAACCAGGATGACAAGGTTATTGAGAACAAGGGCTCCGAGATTGAGGCTCCCGCGGGCGAGAAGGCCCCCGAGGTTGCCCCCATCGCTGAGAAGGACGAGGCTGCCCAGCCTGCGCCTGCTGCTGCTTAAAGGAGTGAGTGAATGTGTTTTGAGGGTGGCTGTCCATCATTGATAGACGGAACGTTCTTCTGCGTCTTGATATAGACCGGATTTTTTCTCTCGTTTTTTTACGATGCGTTTTTTCAACAAACCGGGGTTTGAGGGGTTGATGCCAGAGCGGGATTACAAGGATAAAAACACGGAGGAACGGGAGGGCAAAGGGTGGGAGCGTGTTGTTGAAGTTGAAGTTGTTGTTGCGGGAAGCAGAGAGACAACCATGGCCGTGTTATTTGTTCAGCTTGATTGACTGTAACTCAGTTGCAGCCTATTCTTGTTTCTAGACTTTCCCTGGAGAGAGAGATGCTTGTGTTCCCTGGCCCCTTATTATTCCTCCTCATGATGACTGCGTTAGTTCTCTCAACAAAATAGAAGCAGTTCTGAACTTGTGTATGTGTGATCAAAGATGATTGGTATTGTGCTCTGCTGTTCGTGATCCAAGACTCCTAAACTCCATAATTTGCTCCTCATATCATGTTTCCGCCCTGGGTATATTCAACTTTATCGGCCTTGTGTAACGACGTATTCGCCTGCGACGCGCGCTCTCTCCATCCTGGCCACGACGGAGGGCATCTCGCGTTTCAGCCGACCCAACCCCTCGACAGCCTTACGGAACCCAGCCTCGACGCTCTCCTGCCTCTCAAGTGTCTTGATGTCAATGTCTACATCCGCAGCTTCGGCAGCGACCTGTTTCTTCCGCGCCTCGAGCAGCTCATCGTCGCGCTTTAGACTGTCGCGTAGTTGTTCGGCTTGGTTTGCCGCTGCAGTGGCGGGTACGGAGCGCTTGAGGGCTGCCACGTCCTCGAGGAGCTTCTCTTCTTGGGTGATGAGGTCTGCGACGCGACGGCGTTTTCGCGTGTCGAAAGGCTCGTAGACGGGTTCGGGTTCGGCGTCGGAGCCGGAGAGGAAGGATTCAGAGGACACAGGGAGGCCGTTTATCGAGAGGTTCGGGGCTGCGATGGAGAAGGTCTTGTCGATGTACTATAGAGGTTAGGAGGGATTGATCCCGTAATTGCGTTAAGAGAGGTGTTTTTACCTCATTGACGAGTGCTTCAATCTGGTTTCGTAGCTCATCTTCGCCGTCATTGCCCTCTACTACCGGGAAAGCCTCGTTAAGGCGCTCTGCAGCTGCGCGACGGACGTTTGCGATGAGGTAGGCCAAATCGTCTGGGCTCTGCAGTTCAATCTTGCGCTGAACCTGCGAAACAACAGATTCAGAGTCCATGGTGGGCGACCTGTCTTTTAAAGGGTGCGAGTGTCGAGGTCTATCAAGGTGTAGTTTGTCTTTGTGCCCCGCGGCTGGCGCATTGATTGTTTACTTTGAAGCGCCAGCAACTGGGGCTTATCTTATCGCAGGGTTCAGTGTAAACGGTCAAGTTACAGATTGGCGACAGTATTTTACGGAGGTTCAATAAAGATACAGATTTTGCCAAGGTTGCTTTGACCCTTATCCATGCGATTCATCATCGACACCGCCGTTTTTCCCCCTCTCATCATGTTGGCGACTCATCTCTCGCATTGGATGTGAGTGTCGGCCGTTATTTAGAACCCGTCACCGCCAACTCATCGGGACCCCTTCCGCCCACTTGCCGTTTTCACCACCACCACCACCACCATAGGTATTCTCTCAAGCTATCCACACCGCCTCCTTTGACGCCGAGCCGACTACCTATCGAAAAGGAACCGCGCCGCTTAGCCACAGGAAGAAATGATGTACCTGACCGCTAATGCTAGGCTGATCCACAGTTGATAGGCGTGGCTCTTGGCTATTGCACGGGTTTGAGGAGCTGAGATGCCCGCCTTGGGGCCTCGACCTGGCCTATTTTGAGGTTTGACAGCTGGGATTGAACTCCATTCTTGATGATTGTTTGGATAGTGAGGCTCTGGAATGATCATCTTATCATTACATGGGACGACAGCGAGGACAACAACTCATGCAGCCAGGAGGCGTTAGGCATATGCCTTTATCCAAGTCATTCAAGTTCGGTAATTCAGTTTGCCAACATTCAGCTGTCATAGATTCATGACCATCTAAACAAAAACATGCCATCTAGCTAATCTCAGCCTTGCAGATCTGCAATAACCTCACGCACAGCACGGCCAAGCACCGCCCAGATAGGCTCAGGATCAACCGACACTCCAGCGTCCATGTGGTTGTTCACAATCGCCACTGACAATCTATCACGAAGGTCGGCCCAAACGATGGATCCTCCTGCTCCTGGGCTGTAGATGATGTCGTCGTGATCACCCACCAGGGGATCAGACATGCCCTCCTGTCTGACCCAGAACCCAGAAGCTCCGAAAGGCACTGGGCCGGTAAAGATCTCATCTATGTCATGGACGCCCTCTCGTGGCCTTGAAAACGTCTTGACGCGCTCCGGAGATAGTATTCTCACACTATCCAACTCTCCGCCTTCTGCAAGCATGGAGAATATCCGAGCCAGTGACGCTGAGTTGGTCACGGCCCCTGCGCCTGGGTCCACGGCCTGCAGCATGCTTCTGAGGTTATGCTGCCTAGGACCCGGGAATACAGGCAAGGGATTGACGTTGTACTTGTCAACGATGGTTTCCTGATTCTTGCCGTACAAGGTGGCGACCCTGTCGAGCTCAGAGTCTGGCACGCCGTAGAAGATGCTTTTATCGACGCCCAGCCGCTCAAAGATCTCTTGCTTGACAAATTGGCCGAAAGGGCGATGCTCGGGATCAGTCCTGCGGACTATTTCTCCGAGAATCCAACCGTAGACCAACACATGGTAGGCGTTGGACTTGCCCGGTGGGAAGATGGGTGTGTAGTTGGCGATGCGTTCTGTCATCCACTCCCAATCTCCCATGAGCTCAGGAGTCACGTCCGCTGGCATCTGAGGGATTCCGGAGCGGTGCGAGAGAGCCTGTTCAACCGTGATGGCTTCCTTGCCATTGGCGGCGAACTCGGGCCAGTGCTTGGCGATGGGATCATCGAGATGGAGAAGCCCTTTCTCAGCTTGGATGTGAACAGCCAGTGCCGTGATGCCCTTTGTTGTTGAAAAGACAGGAAAGATGGTGTCTTTATCAACCAAGCGGTTCTTCTCCACGTTGGCGTATCCCGCAGTACCTTCAATGACGGGTTTGCCTCGGTAGTAGGCCGTCACAGATACGCCTGTAACTCCACGGTCGAGAATTGTCTGCAACGCCTTGGCGATGCGAGGATCAGAGGCAGAGATGTGGGACGACATGTTTTTTGCTTTGATTTGAAAGTGAGGCTATCGTGAAGAGGGGGGAGACAGACGATGTCGGTTTGACATCTCGTGGTTAAGATGTGGTATATAGGCTAAATGAGTGCATAGCCAGCTGCACATGTGCAGCGAGCCCCACTGATGTTGTGTCTCTTTTTCCGAGATATTGAATATGATGTTCACGGGTGCAGAATTGTAGTTAAACGGGTATGTGAACTGTTTGGGTTTTGCGTCGGAGATTGTTGAGCAGTGGTACAGACGTTGTGGTTGACGAACCTGACTTTAGGTGCCCTCCAAGATATTGGGGATGCCTACTTCAGCTCCGGCTATTTCGCCCATATAGAATTTCCCTCAAGCTTTGGGATGCTATCGTAAATTACTCAATGTGTTTCAAGAGGGCTGTGAACGCAGACGAGATGACCATGGTGCAACTCGGCACTATGGGAGCTGATGTCTGGCACACTCGCTTTGCCATGTGATTTACTAACCAGAATACCCTTGGCAAATCCTCTTACACATGAAGTGGTTCTCTAATGGTCATGACATTGGTGATCTTAGAGGAGACTTGGATAATTCAAAGTTAAGCAAAGCATCTATCAACTGTCTTTTGAGGATCCTTTGTCATCATGCTGAAAGAAATATTATCAAGTCTATATCCTCGGAATTAGGTTACTTTGACATCATGCATCTACCCATAAATGCAACAGTACGCTATACTGCGATATAAGAACCCTCCTCTTCACGCCATGCTGCTGCTGCTTGCAGAATAACAACATCCTATCCATCGGAGCACCCGAAAGTTCCAGCTCAACCTCATTCAACCTGCGTGACTCTGGCAGTAGTGGTAACGCCAAGTCCTGCGGTCGCGGAAGAGTCTCGACGTCAAAGTCATCTCCCAGATCGAGACCTTGGTAAAAGTCACCTTCCTCCATCTCCATGACCTTTCTAGCGACGCAGGCTGCTATGGTTGAATCCCAGATACCTTCTCTGTGACCGCTGCATGGTAGGAGCCTGATCGCTTGTAGTCTGATGCGGTGGACGCGGCACTTGACGGCTGTGAAGTAGAGCGGTGCGATCCAGCCCATGTCGATGATGGATCTGGGCATGTACATGAGATCCCAGTTGAGTGAAAAATCCTCGGTTTCTGCGGATACCACCCATAATCTTGTCAATTGCGTGATCAACAAGAGGAACTGGTCTATGTAGGCGTCGTATATGGATTCATCGCTGTGCAGACATGTATCTGCCATGATGGTTGCCATGGTGTGGTTGACGCGGATGACCTGGTAGGCTTTTACTAGATCGCTGGATCCTTCGCATGGCTGGATTTTGTTAAAGGCTTCAAACATGTTTAGCCATTGGGCTAGCTTTGCCTTTATGAGCTGCTGAGAAGTGTGTTCTCTTGCTGTGATGGGATGTTGGCGGGCTTGTTGTGTGAGATGAAAAATATTGTTGAGAATCGGCTCCATCTGTCTCCAGGCGTCGCTAAGTGAGCGGATATGGCCAGTCGGTGTCCTTTGCGGGTCAAAAGCTGGTTGGAGGATGATGCATGGGTGCTGGTAGAGGTGTCTGAAAAGCTCTACCTGTATATGTAGTCGTGAGAAGGCTTCAACAATCCAATCATCTGTTGGATCATGGCATTGTTTCAGAGTGATAATGCCAGAGCTTGAGTCAGACTGTCCTTGTAGGTGTCCCAAGATTTCAAGTCCGTTTTTGAGGTGAAGCTGTGCAGTCTTGAAGTGACCTCGAAGAAACTCCATACAGACAAAGACGATACAGGCGATGAGAGCGATGCGACATGATGCTCTGTCCTTTGTTGAGAAGTGTGGTTGGAGGTGACTTATTGCCTTGACGTAATGTTGCAGCGTAAACTGTTCCTGCTCATTTCTTAGAGCATCTTGACGACTTTTCTGCAGACCTACTCCGATGGCATCTCCTTTGTGAACGGAGCTCAAGGCGAGGATGGCGTTCAAGACGGCGGGCTCGGATGACCCAGCCTGAAAGACGAGGGTATTCCAGAAACTTGACGTGAATGTGCCCGGTAGCTTTGACGCTGTCCTACACTTGAACCAGTCAAAGTAAATCTTTTGCTGAGGACTTAAACTCAAGGCGAGATTTGGTTGGATAGGGCGAGATATTGGCGTGACTGGGTAGATAGGGACGCGTGCGTCTTTGGTCTTGGACTCAAAGAGACCCCCTTGTCTCTGGACGCCACGCGCGTTTCCTCCACCCCAGATTCCGTAGCCGTCGCATACGCGGCCTGTTGAGGTACATCTGCGACAAGCAGGACGACCTTCATCACACTTGACTTTGCGGACTCTTTTTACTCCAGTCAGTTTGAGCCAATTAATCCCGAGGGGGGAACTCACTTGCAGGTTTTACACCCCGACTTGACCTTGGACCGGGGCTTGCGGTTAGACGGTGCTAGAGGTGGTGTAACCTGAGAGGACATTGTGGATAATCTCTTATATTCGCTGGCTCGGAAAGATGGCCATTTCTTTGGATTGGCGAGAGAAAGGGGAAAAAAAGAGACGTCAGCAGTTGAATCGTCAGCCCGTGATTGCCGCAGGGATCGATCGGCACGGTTCTTGACCCATTGGGCTGCTCGGAAATGGCGCATCGTGATTGGTCAGCTTCCACTTGGAGCGTTGACAACCACTTGGGAGCATGAGTCTCAGGCTTCTTTTTGTGTAATTGACGGAGTTAATCATGGCTCATGGAGTTTAGACGGGGTTCGGATTTTTTTTTGAGCCCGCGTGTACAGTGATAGGGACTATATAAGTGTTGAATGTCTTTTGTAGAAGGTGAATGACAAGATCAGCAGCTTCTCGACACTTTCACATTAACTGAAACTCAAGTACTCTTTCAAAATGTCTACCAAGTCCTCTCACCTCGTTCCTCTCGGAAAAAACGGTCCGCTGGTTCCCCAGCTGGGATTCGGTCTCATGGGTTTGTCCTATGGTACCTACGGCTCCGTTCCCAGTGACGAAGAGAGATTTGCTCTCCTCGATCATGCCCATGAAGTTGGATCGACCTTCTGGGACAGCGCCGAGTAAGTAAAAGCGACGAACTACCTGAGAATATTAAGCTGACTTGAATAGCCTCTACGGTGACTGTGAAGAGCTCATCGGAAAGTGGTTCAAGCGCACAGGAAAGAGAGACGACATCTTTCTCGCGACAAAGTTTGGTTTCGTCAAGGGGAGCAAGACTTTTGAGCTCAACACCTCGTACGAGTATGCCAAAAAGGCTTGTGCTGAGAGTCTGAGACTTTTGGATGTTGACTACATCGATCTCTGTAAGTCAACTCCCACAGGCCATGAGAGTGGTATAAGCTGACATTGCCAGACTACGTGCACCATCCTAACCCCGAGACACCCATTGAACAGACGATGAGAGCTCTGAAAGAGCTGCGAGAGTAAGTTTTAATGTCCATTCACCATGCTCGTTTAGAGTCCTGACCGTCTATAGTGAGGGAAAAATCAAGCACATCGGGTTGTCGGCCGTCACTTCAACTACCCTCCGCAGAGCCATCAAGATCGCTCCCGTCGCCGCCGTGCAGATCGCATACTCTCCCTTTGAGCTCGAAGGCGAGGGAGCTGAAGGAACTCACATTATCAATACGTGCCGCGAGCTCGGCATCGCTGTGGTGGCAGCCATGCCCCTTGGCAGAGGTCTTCTCACCACCAACTTTGTCGAGGGAACGGCTGCCGGAGACGAAAAGGACGTAAGATGGAAGTCAATTCCCCGCTTCGGTGAAGAGAACCGTGAGAAGAACATGCAGATCGTCGGCCAGTTCAAGGCTTTGGCTGATAAGAAGGGCGTCACGACTGCTCAGCTGGCCCCAGCTTGGTTGCTGAAGCAGGGCAGCGATGTGATTCCTATCCCCGGGACAAAGAGGGTCAAGTACTTTGATGAGAACTGGGCTTCGCTGGATGTTGAGCTTTCTGATGAGGAAGAAGCCGAGATCAGACGCTTTGTGAAGCAGGCTGATATTGCTGGAGGTGCCCGGCCTCCTGCGTTCGAGGACTGGAATTTTAGAGACACCAAGGAGGAGGCCTGATTGAGGGAACGGGTAATTGAAATGTTGACTTGGTAAGAAACACAAGTTAGGTAGATAATTAAGTGTAATGCCCAATTATCCTTAGCAGGTCTTTATAAATCGTCTAGAATCCAACACATAGCAGCCTCAGTGAACCGGAATAACCCAAGTGAATGAACTTCTCCAACACTCTGAAACTCATCCAATTATCATGCAAAGACTGGTATGAGGCAGTGACAATTTATTCAATTCTTTCGCCTAGACTCATCAACTATAATCACAAGTCTACTGACCCCCTTCCGCCTCCTCCTCATCCGAATCGAGCGGATTGATGCCGTACTTTGCCGTCTGGGTCAACAACTCGTACATGTCAAAGAGGTCGATGGCACCAAGCCTCTCCAACTCTTCGACAACATCGATCACGTAGTCAGCACTGGGACATTCTCGATGGGCGCAATTAGGGATCTTGACGGCCATACAGGCATCTATGATTCTCGCGGCGGTTCGGTGTGGGATCCTGCGTTCCTTGAAGGTGATTGTCTCGACGTAGTTGGGAAGTTCTGTCGGGTTGTGATAATGTACGTCGACACTCAACTCGGGCTCGGGCCCGGGTGAGACGTACAAGACTTGGCTGTGCCACATGTCGGTTGTATGGTTACGCATCGCAAAGGTCCACTGACACTTTCCTCCTGGTGCTTCTGGCTCGAGCATGATGACGAGGAAGGCGATAGAGGAAAAAGCCGGGGCATTTTCGTCGATGCCAAAGTTGAGGTTCTCTCGAGGGATTGGTATGTGCTCAGCCCGGGAAGGCCTGGGCGTGTCAGGTATCAAATCAGCGGGCGGGGGTCCATAGATGTGAGATAGAAAGCGCTCTGAGAACTCGGTTTCCAACTAGACGTCGAGTTCGTACTGAAGCTGCCTCTTCTAGTTGTAGGGCTCATCGGCGTCCTCGGTGTCGTCCTAGTCTTCACCGTCTTCACCGTCTTCATCTGGGTCGTATCCCTCAGCTTCATCCTCGTCTTCATCTGGCTGGTTTTCATCGGTATCCATGCCCTCGAAGAGATGTTCTGCGGACTCGGTATCCATGTTGTCTGGCTGATGCTCTTCGGTGTTCGGTTGATGCTCCTTGGTGTCTGGTTGATCATTCTTGGGTGTGCCTTGCAAAGACATTCTTCGCATCGAGCCTTCCGGTATCATGATGCCAGGGATGCAGTGATGTTGTCTGGAAAGTCGATGCTGTTGGAGGATGGTGTATGATGTGGTGTGGATGGATGTTGCTTTTGTGACTGGTTTAAGTTGGGAGGATCTGGATCGATTTGGGAGTGAAATAGGCTGGTGGAAATCATGTGATGTTATTCAGTGTCAAAGCGAAACTGGAAAGAGCGTGGTTGTTGTATTTATTGTTGGCAACTAGCATCAGCTTCCTTCTTCCTTCCGTTGAGAATACATCTTCTTCCTTAATGGTCTTTGCGGTGCTCCGTAGCAACTTTAACGCCAAACGCCAAGAAATGAAACCTTGGCGATGGCCTCTGCTTTATACAAACAGAGCGATAGCCTGGGTTTTGAGTGGGTGGAGCTGCTACCCCTTGGCATCTCGGATAATCTCGTTTACCTCGTTTAACCTCGTTTAGGTGTGTGAAACCTCACTCGTTCAATGCAGCTCGCTCCCTCGGATACAACTTGCTTCCTCTTGCACTCGGTTCTCGTTCTCTCTTGTTATTGTTACTGTCACTTGTGGCTTGAGCAAGCGCTACCCCGCCGAATAGCCTTTGCTCTTCCTCGTATGCAAAGAACGTCCCCATGAGTCCCCTGGACGAAACGGCCGAGTATTACTTGCCAAAGCAACGCAAGCCACACAAGCAACACACCAAGTCAAAGTATGGCTGCTTTGAGTGTAAAAGACGACGAGTCAAAGTATGTTTCTGTTATTTTTATTCATTTTTAATGTCCCCTGTTACTATTGAGTCCTTCTCTGTCTCATAAGTTCGTGAGCTCACATCGTCCATTAGTGTGGCGAAGAAAAGCCATACTGTAGTCACTGTGTTCGGCGTCGTATGAGATGTAAATATCCCGACAGACCGCCGCCCCTAGAGCCTCCATCGCCATCGAGCCAGGCCGACTCAACTCCAGACTTGAATCAACAACACGGTTTGACGGGTTTGAACTCAAACTACAGAACAGTCCTTGTCGGATGTACCTCTCAGAACTCGTCGCGATCGGACTATTGTATCCACGACATGGCCCTCCTCCATCACTGGACTATTGCGACAAGCCTCGAGCTATTCAAGGGTGATGACAAACACAACTTCTGGCAGATCATGGTCCCACAGACGGGATATGAGCACCCATTCGTCATGAACGCCATTCTCAGCCTGGCTGCATTGCATCGAGCATATCTCATTCGACCAGACAGCCATCATCACATGGCAGACGCCGCCGTTCACCATTCAAATGCTCTAAGAGGGTTTCAAGAAGCCCTGAGCCATGTGAGTGACGAGAACAGCGAGGCCTTGTTTATCTGGTCAACTCTTAACTTGCTGTACGTGTTTGGCATCTCGGGGAGACTGAGTGACGGTCTGGATCCTCATCCTAACTCCCTGAGCCGCAAAGACCGTATGCTCGGAGTTGAATGGATACCCATGGTCACTGGCATTCGAACTGTGGTGAAGCCAAACCACAAGACCCTAAAAGCCGGTCGACTTGGAAAGTTCATGACCGTCGGCAACTGGTGGGAAATGGATCCAGACGCAAACCCCAACTCTGAAGACCAGCATCTCTGTGATCTGCGGAGTTGTTGGCATGGTTCTCCCGATGCACCGACCTACCAAGAGGCCCTGAGGATACTCAGGAAGTGCAGGCTGTTCATGGCCCGGTTCTCGGGCGACGGAGTCGATCCGCTTGAAGAGGCTGGATTCAGCCGGCTTTGGTCAGGGCCATTGCTCTTTATCATTTTTGCTCCCCAAGCCTACTTGACTCTTTTGCATCAAAGACAGCCCCCAGCCCTGATCCTGTTTGCATTTTTCGGTGCACTGTTACACGAACTGGATGATTACTGGTTCCTGGAGGGGTGGGGGAGGGATATTGTCGAGGTTATTGACGACCTGTTGGGGAGTTACTGGAGACCCTGGATTGCATGGCCTACAAAGGTTGTCGGCTTGTGCTAAATATGAATAGAAGCTGGCGCTGATGATGATAAATGGGCATTGATTAATTCATGCAAGTTCGCTGTCTACACTCTATATACCCTCGCCACTGCGTCCACACAACTAACAAATACGATTATCCACCATATCTATCACATGTATAAAGCTAAGATTTACCCCTTGAGCCCTTGTTATTAAGCTACGGCAACAGAGTCCATCTTGTAGTTGGGCGAGTTCCGACCTAGGTAAACCATGATCTCGGCCGGATGCCTCCAGTTAAACAGCGCCATGACCAAGAACATCAAGACAGAGTCAAAGACGTACATGTAGGGCTCGTGGCTGAGGAGATACCCGTCGAAACCCTGTATGTACTCGATGGCTCTGAAAACCGATCGAACCATGATGAAAACGCTTCCGATATATAGAGCCATCATGTGCTTCTTCCAGGGTGCCCCTCCTAGTGAGCGAACGGTAGGAGCTCTTCGGATGGATAGATCGAATGATACTGCCATGACCATGAAGACGCCGAAGCAAATGAGCTGAACGAAGAGACCGCCGACAACGATCTTGGATCCGTTGTCCAGGGCTTCGAGTGAACCGCCAGCTTGTAGACCAGCTCCTATAACCGATTGTCAGTGTTGAGACATCAAGACGCAAGGCATCCGGCTTACCCGCTCCTTGGAGCATAAAGGAAAAGACGTCGCCAATGACAAAGATCTTGGTCAACCACCGTAAGGGAATCTTGACGTGCCCTTCTCCGTCCACCATGGCGATGATCCTCCCAAGTTCCATATAAATCGTGGCGGCGAAGAGGGCGGGTGCGACGAGCAGGAGAGTCGCCTGCATGATAAAGGGACCGAGTGTCCAGTTGGGGCTTTGAGTGCCTGATTTGCAACGAGCGGCGTATCCGACAACCTCGACTGTTGGCTGTGGTTAGCTTGTGGTTGCCAGGGAGGGCGAGATGTGACTTGCAGATGCCACCAATGGCCAGCGGGAGCATGAACCAACATCGCGGTCGAATTAATTGCCAGAAGTGAAATGCGGTTGTCGCAAGGAATAGTAGCAGGAAGATTACAGCGCCCGGTATCGTCGGATCGTAGTGGTACAGCTTGAACCCGCTTGAGGTGTCGGAGGCTCGGTCTTGGAGGAACATGGCGTCGTAATTTTAAGAGACAAAAGACAGAAAGAAAACACAAATAATAATGAACGACTTGAACAAGTAAAGAACGACTATTTAGAAAAGAATGGGACTCGAGAGGTTAAGTCTTGACATGAGATTGCTGCCATGGGGTTGATAGACTTTATACCCCCATACTGTACTCCGTACCCCAGAAAGGGATGCGGCTGAAGATGCGGAACGAGATGCGTAAGACGTCGCTTTCCTTCTTCATTGGTTCAGGTGAAGAAATCACAGTCACTGCTGCGCCCAGTGGGGATGCTGTCTATCCTCGGATTCGGAACGCGTAGTCGCTTAATCCGAGTGTAGGGGAACGTGCGATCCGGGCCTCGTTTAGAAATACGCGTGTTCAGGTTGGAATCTGGGTTGAAACGAGATCTGTGCACATCTTTGTGAAAGGGTTTGAAGTTGATCAAGTTCGACCAAAAGGGAGATGTATTGTTGCTCGCAACAACGGCGCCGGAAGAAGTGGTTGACTGCGAATTGTCTGTTTAAACGCCTTTGTTGACGTTTTCCTTAACAAGGCTGTTCTTGATGAACCTAGGCAAGCTGATCTTGGACGAGCTTTTGAATAGTTTGAACAAGAGGGTAGAACACGACTTCACGCAGCCATGTCTTTGTTCAAAAGAGTGAAAGCCATTGTAACAACAGAAATGAACTCGCGCATTAAGAGGATATTCTATGAGACTCTGTAGTATATAATGAGCAGCTTCTCAGAGGTAAGAATGAATTTCTTGACTCGCAGCATCAAACACACAACAGCAATCACTACCATAACAACGATCCTACTTCAGCTTGAAGTAGACTTGCTTGCACTCTTCTCAAAACCTCAACGGCAAACTTTCTTAAGTCAACCCAAACTCGAGTCACCATGGCTCCCGCTAAGAAGCACATGTCTTTTGATTGGTACGAGTCGACCACTAACGAATACATTCAGCCTGTCGAGGTGGCAGAGAAGCCGGTAGTGAAGGCGGAAGAGGAGAAGGAAGAGAAGGTGACGATTTACATCACCGGAAAGCCCACTAACAAGCGATTCTGTCGTTCTTGGGCTATCACCCTCTACGATGGGTCGACCAAGGAGTTTCGAAGCTACGAGGTGCGAAAGCCGTTTCGTCACACGCCCTGCACCCTAAAGTCCTCCACCGGACACCCTGGAGAGACTGATGTTCAATACATCACGATTGGTAAGGTGTCCTGTGAGAGGGCTCAAGAGCTCTTGGACCTATGCGAGACGGTCCCGATCAAAGAGTCCAACAACGCAACCTATTCCAACCGCCAGTATATCAACGATATGGCGCGTTTCCTTGTTGCGGGAGACTTTGTGAGCAAGTCTCAGCGTAGAAAGGCCTTGGGCCATTTTACAAACTTTATCAATGCTGAGCGGCAGCAGATTGAGGCCGAACACCAGAAGGATGAGCGCGAGGTCAGGACTCAAGAGCGGAAGGCCAAGACTCAGGGGCAAAAGTCTGAGAGTGGGCGCCAGAGCCAGAAGAAGGCCACTAAGGCCGTCTCTCAAGGCAATGGCTTCCCAGCTTGGTTCCTTGACACTGGCAACTGAGACCTTGTGGGTTGATGTCGAGTGTGTAGAGGTGCGTGACGAGATGGAGATGTCTCGTCTGATTGTGTAGTTCTGTCAGTGCTTGTTTATTTGCTTTGTAGTCTTACATCAAAAATCAAAACTCCTTTAACACTCTTTTAAACAACGAAACGTGCCCCAGAAGTGATTTGAGTGTTTGTATCAGCGACGTCCAAGAAGAGGTATCAGGCTTGATATCAAAGAAGATAGCAATTAACATATGCCAACATTAGAATAAGCTCTATGCTATAAACCACCGTCGTAATTTAGATATCTCGACCGAAGAGCCCGAAGTGTATTGGGGTTTAAGAGCTACAGCCTGCAACATCGCTTCTAATTAACTTGACCCGAGACAGTATCGCTACCTATACTGATTAAATAAGGTTTTGTGGAAATGTGAGGCACGAAACCTGTTGAAACCTGTCACCAGGTGGCCGTCACTGCCCGCCACTTATAGTGCCCCCCCTTAAATACCAGGCCGAGATTTAACACTCCCTCTGTTCTTTTGATTTATTCTCCTCTGTTTGTGCTTCACCATTCCAATCATGGAATCTGAACCCCCAAACATGGTCGTACCAAAGCGATCCGCAAGCCCCCTCGAGGGTGACGTCCTCAAAAGCACCAAGAAGCCGTCAAGCCGCAACTCTAACTCTACCACTGATTCTACCGAGACACCAGCAGATGTCCCCGTCGGGATCATTGTGTCTCTACGATTGGATTCTAAAGCGAAACGGAATGACCCCGAGTCCAACCAGCATGTCGACCGACGAGATGACCTGGCCGATGGTTCGGAAGACCAGCCTATTCAAGAAAACCCTGGTACTATGTGAGTCACATCTTTCAGTATCCTTTGTAGCTTCAACTGGGTGATGGCCTGACAGAACACAGCCAGGGAGATGATGACGCCGAGTTTGAAGAAGAGATCAAGGCGCTATCCAACCTGAGTGGTCTACCATTCCTCGATGACTTTGCCCATTTAAAGTGGCTTGAACGGATCGATCGCCTTGCCATTTTAAAAAGAACCCGGATTGGACGTTGCGACGCCATGTTGATTCGACGACTGCAAATCCACCACAAGTTTTGGACAGCGATGGAAGAGCCAACTCGACAAACCTCGGAACTCGCTTTCGAACTGTTTGATCGGTATGGTCGTCTTCGCAAAGAGTTTCGAGAACACCCTGTCAACAAAGGCACGGGCGTTTGGGGAAGAGAACTCGATGGTGAGGATATCCTTCTCTTTGAGAGCATTCGAATCGAGCCTGGGCATCGTCGCCAAAAGATCGGGACCAAGCTTGTCAATGCTGTTCTTAACAAGGCTCGGCGCAAGACGACAAAGTTCTTTGCTCTGGCCAAACCAAGATGCCTCGTGGATGAGTTTGATGACGAGGATACTGAGCAAAGGGTAGTGGCCACTGAGGCTGCTGAGCAGTTCTTCCTTTCGATAGGCTTCAGACGTGTCGGAACTTCTGGCTGGTTTGCATTCACGGACGACACGAGCCATTCCTCAAAGCGTCTGGAGACTTCAGATGACTGGAACCAGCCTCGCCTCACTCAAGTGCCACAGTCAACAGTGGAGACCTTTGACAGGCTCAGGGGACCTGATATGGTTGACTGTGAATGCGTTCGACTACTGCAAACCGACTTGCGACTTGAGCTCGAGGACAACCCCGGAATCTCACTGGACGAAAAGGAAAACACGATTCTGCATCTTTTCGCATTGCGGACCTGGCCCAAATCAATCGCATATGCTATCGACAAGTGGCCCCAGTTGAAGAATGCCCGAAATAGAGAGGGACACACACCCCTTGAAGCGCTACAAAGATTGCTGGAGATGTCAAGAACAACTCGGATCGAAAAAGGCAAGACGCATGTGGTGTCTGACGATTTTCGAGGTTTCAGCCCTGTGCAGATTGCATCGCTCGGTGCCTTGGAAGATGTCAATGTCTGTGATCTCGACAAGGTCTCAAAGGACATCATCTCCCGGGTTTTCACTACACCAAAGCAAGAATTCCAACGCATCCCCGGTGCTAGCGAGATTCAGAAGACGTTGAGATTAAAGTACGGATGTACTTGTGGACAATGCCTCGGTGGATTTATGAGCCCGAGAATGCAGCATGCTCTTCGACAACAGGGTAAATTGCAACTGGGGGCTCTCTGGGATCAGATCGACGATGGCCGTCTATGGCTCAAGTGGAACAGAACAGAACTGAGACGAGTTTCATTCACGACTCAACACTTGATGGAGGACCATAAGAGTCTCAGGGTGGGTTTCGTCACGCTGAGCAGACACTTCTCAACTTGCATTGAACGGAAGCGAGTTCCCGACGAGGCAAACATACTTGAAATTTCTCAGGGGAGTGGCGAGTGGCCTCCAGTCACGCAACTCTATCTCCGTTGTGGAGGGACAATTTCTGCAGCGGTAACCATGATCTTTCACAAGCTAAAGGATCGGAGTTCCTGGGCTGCATGCAGCTCAACTTGCCTGACGAATTTGGCACCTTGGGCGCCTTGGGCGCTACCGGATCCTATGCCAGGGATGGTTGAGTGTCGCAATGATTTGGAGTTTGGGTTTGTCACCGGAATGTGTGGATATGAAAGAAGCGAGGAGTGAGATGCTGATAGGTGTCGTTTGGTTGAAGTTGATCTCTAGTGGTTGGGTGTTGCAGGTTGAACTGGAGGCAGCCATGCACGACATGGGTGAGAGGGGTTGGAGGTGACAGGGTTGTCAGTGTATCATATGTAAAAAAAAAAGTAATGTCAGGGTTTTACCGAGATGTGACTTGAGGAAGGAATTTCCTTGGGGATGTGTTGGGCATTCCGGATAGTTATCCGTTGTCAGTGTGCTGGTGATCCCCTCGTATCGAGCAGCTAAGCCCTACGGCTCCCTATGTACAGGCAGCAATTTTCTTCCCCCGAAAACATGGAACCTCAGGGGGCTGATATCTTTAAGAATTGGTAAGACAACGGATAATTTCCTTTCTCTCGATTTTCGGGCTCAGTTAACATATCAAGTGCCGGCAAAGTAGTTGCTTGTGATTAAATATACCCCATGATGCTGCCCGTATCTTATCCCACAGAGAGACACAAGGCAACCAGTTGTTGCCGTCAGATTTGCGGGAGATAGACATGCCAAGATATTTAATGGTGCCAGTGCCCTCACCTGGCTCGGCGACGGAGCCGTGCCTCCTTGAGCGCATTGAACAGAAGCAATTCCTTATCAATGTCTCTCTCTATAGGTGGTGCTGTCTTGAGCCATTCCTTCCAGTCAAAGGCCTCGTAACGGGGAATCTCTTCCGCAGTCATCTTTTGAACCTCCCTCTTCCCGGCTTGAACCCTTGTGGCTTCAATACACGTCTTGGGCCGGACATTGGCGTCAAATGGGGCGGGCGAAGAAGTCCTTGCTGAGCGGATGCGTTCGACACCATCCTCATCTTTCGCAAGAAAAGATATGGGGCGACCCTGAGCCTTCGACTCCTCTTCAAGCTGCTTGAGCCTCTCGATGACGGCATTTCTGATCGACTTTGCGCTTCGTCCCTCGTCACAGGTGTAGGCCTTAGGGTGTTGACCCTCAGTCTTCGCAGTGTTGGCAGAGGGGATAGAGGTCGCCGGTGCGGCGGGCATCGCTGAGGAAGAGGATGGGTCATGTTGCTCCTTTTTCTAAGAAATTAGCCAAACTTCTGGAAAAGCCCTTGAAGAGAACATACATCATCTCTTCGAGGCAGGCGTGTGACAACTCGCTTCGACCTGAACTCGACGCCCTGGAGTCGAATCATGGCGCGATCCCGCGTGGGACTGTCAGGAAACTCGACGATGCAGTATCCCATGTGCTTAGTTGATAACTGGAAAAGAGGATTCAAGCCATCCCAGTAGAAGGTACAGTTGTTGAACCCATGTCGTCTTAGGAGATTCGTGACCTCTTGCTCCTCTGCGTGCTTGTCCAGCCCGAGTAGGTACGGCAGCCTGTCTTCGAGGACGGCCTGCTGGGGGAGATGGCGGTAGCCGAGATGGCGAGACATTTATTCGGGAGAGCAAGAGAGTGAATGTGTGGCAGAGGATGCTTACTCAGTATGTGTTGATGTTGAAAGATGAATGTAGTGGTGAAAATCGAAGATGCTCTGTTTATTTTTCGTGTATTCCTCATCTTTGTTTGTTTTTGTCTAGAAAGTGAATCCCCTAGCAAACCCCACCTGGCTTCTCAAGCAAACCGCACGCTGGACCTGCTGACAGAAATGTCTGGGCAGCTTTTTCCAGAGCAGCCACATGACTTGCACGGCCAATTTCTTCCTGCTGGTAGGTTGTGTATTTACCCGTATGGGACCTACTTGCCCCCCCCGGCTTCTTGAAATCTCCGGTATCGAGATGTCGCCGGAAATTAGCACATGACAAGCAACTTAACAGAGGGTCATGAAGTAGGAGTAGACAGGAGGAGGTAATCAGGGGCAAGCTACTTTCTATTGTACATTGATAAAGTACCTTATCAGATGTTCTAATTTAATTTCCTGCGCCTTAATTTAATTGGTAAGTACCAACATGATAGTCAGTAACTATTTGTATAAGCTTTGAACAACTAGACGCTCTGCCTTCGCGCCCGTGTGCCTTGCGGCTTGATAGACTCAGCTCTAATAGCTCTTCTATACTCTGGAGAGAGTCAGTGTCGGCGAATACTCCCGAGAGAAGAGGGCATACTTACCAGAATATCCCCTGATACACTCGATGCACGTAGCCGCGCACAGTACAAGTGCAACAATCTGTCTAAAACCCCAATGGTTCTCAGAGTCTCCCTCAAGAAACCTCTCATTGACTTTTCTGATAGCGATGGCCATGTACAGGTGAAGAGGGTATTGTCCCATGGCCAAGGGTATCAGCGCCCATGCTCGATACTCAGGTCTGGGGTGAGCCAAGAGGGCAAAGTAACCACCTACTTGGCGCAGACCCGTAAAACCAAGGATGGTGAAGACCCAAAAGGGGGGGGTTTTCAGTGGTGAGGAGGTGCCAAGTTTGCGTATAATGCACTGTAAAGCCCCAGACTGGAATAGTTGCTTCAACAACCGAGCCAAGGCAGGGATGGTGAAGCCACTTCTATAACAACTCAGAAGCGCACATATAGAGTAGAAACAAGTGACACCCAAGTATATCATGTCGCTTGAAGGGTGAGGGTCATGGGACAACGAGATGACCCAGTGTTGTAACAGTTGCCGGCCACATTTTCGTCCCATTTGTTCAACTTTATGCCAAGCACGACGGAAAATGATAAGAGGAGGCAAATGAAGGCGACAATGGAAAAGGTTCTGGTCCTCTTGAGGTTGTGTGCATAAGCGGAAACGTTGATGAGGCTTGCACAGATTGAGATGCTGCGTAGACTATCAACTTGCGTGGCAGAAGATGGGTTTGTGATTAGGCATACCCCGTGAGACTGGCCGTATCGTATACCACGTGTAGATGATATAGGCTCAGGCTTTTATGCTGCATGAGAGCAGCTAGAAGTAGGCCAATTGCTGTGTAGATGTTAGCGGACCTTTGCCACATGGGAAACAACCAACCAACTGACCGTTGACGACTTGTACGTCACTGATAGTTGCGAGTATATCATCTATGCATTTCTTTTTCATAGTAGCGTGATCTCCCCACCTCCACCTCCACTTACCAAGGGGCGGCATGGGGTTTGGAGTGGCATTTATTGGTGCTCGAGGCGGACCTTGGGTGAACATCTTCGAATGACACTTGCTCAGTACATTTTTAAAAAACGTCGACTGGGCGTGATGAATTTCTTGCAAATGCATGGTGATGGCTTGGTCGAGAGCCAATTCCTTGGGGTTGTCGCGAAATACAACCGCCCTAACCCGGTCTACAGATAAGACGGGGGACTGCCATAGTAATAAGGAGCATATCGAGAGGCAAAGAGAGATGCCTGCTTGAAAGGCAAACGAGATCATGATCTAATGAAGGGTTACTTGAGGTTGGGCTCTCGGCTTCTGTGCACTTACCCCCAGTCCCGCGATATCAGGATTAGCAGAACCGACTTTGCAAGTCATGGTGGACGATATCCCGAGAGCATGGACTTGGGTGAGAATTTTCAAAAATGGGAGGGTTGGGAAGAGAATACCTATCAGTCAGACAATGCGCCTTCGCGGGGTATTGCCTGCAGCAAATGGTGGTGGCTTGAATATTGTCCAACCAGGCTGCGAAGGACACCATCAGGCTGGCTATAAATAGGCAGTTCTGCTTGAGAGCAAAAGAAGGCAAGAGACCAGCAGCCAGCCAATGTCTTTTTCACTTTACACGCTGCAGCTGAACAGACTAGGCTCTATCTGTCTGTCTTTGCATCCAAGTTGAAATGAGGTGACTGTAGAGCACTGATACTGTTTAAATTGAATCGGTTATACAGAGGTGCTAATCCCTCTGGTTTCTACTTGACGAACGAGAACTACCTATGAAACTCTAATCTTGAACTGCCGATGTAAAACCTTGTGAGCATAGTGGCCAATCATTGATTGCATGGTCCAAACTCGTTTCCGACACTTATTGCCCCTAAACTGCGAGGGGAACCTGGTAGCTGTACTGGGGCAACCCGGCCCACTGAGGGAACGACTTGACGGTGCTCTGATACTGTTCAATCGGCAGGAAACTCTCCAGATCTGTCCTAACACCGCCCTTCTTCGCAAGAGGCTTCCCCTCAAATCGCTCTTCGATCCATTTCAGCCAGAGGTGTCGAGTTGCATCGAGGTCGGGAACATGGCTCACTCCCGAGGCAACAAGAAATTCGAGGTCGTGGTCGGGATACAGCTTCCAGGTATCTTCAACCGTCTTTGCCGTGATGTTGTACAAGACATAGGTGTCTTCAACTCCTTGGAGGACAAGTATAGGACCCTTAAAGTCCTTGCGCCCAGCGTCGCCAAGCTTCGAAAAGGCATCGACGTACCAGGACTGATCATAGTCGGACCTGAAAACAGTCTGGGTTGTGAGGAAGAGTTGCTGAAAGAATGCGACGCCACCTTGAACTTCTCTAGCCAGTTCAATCCGAGCGACGCCCAGGGGAGTCAACCAATCCTCAAGTTTGAAGTCAGGGAAGATGGAGCTGAGCATTTGACCAACAGAGGGGAGCATGAAAGGAGAAGGGCCGCCAAAGACACCAGTGGTAGGACTTCCGGCAACGGCTCCCTTAAAGCCGGGAGAGAGGTCTGCAAACTTGTCCTTTTCGTTGGCAAGAGCCTCAGCGACAGCCCAGGCGACTCCACCGCCTTGACTGTGGCCCATGACGATAAAGTCATGACTTAGCTTCTCGGGGAAAGCTTCTATTGCGGCACGTAGGCCGTAGAGGGAATCGCGAGCTGTGGTGGGAGAAGCGTGGTACTGATGGGGGATATCGCTGCCGTCCCATGACTTGGAGATACCCAGGCCTGCGAAATCGGGAGCAAAGACGGCGTATCCAGCTTGAGCCAGAGTGAAAGGTGCCGAATTGGAGTACCAGAGGCCGCGGTCAGCGGATGGTGCCTGAGAGGCGAAGAAGCCAGACGTGCCATGGGCCCAGATCACGACAGATGCTTTCTTGCTCTTGCCGAACTTGCGGGGCGTATAAGGCCAGAGGATGAAGCCTGAAGCAGGGATGACTGTCCCGTTAAAGTTGGTCGTGGTGTAGATGATGCGCGAGAGTGCAGTGTTGGAGGGGATTGAATAGGCAGTTGGGTCAGTGAAGGCCTGGATCTTGAGAATCTGACCAGGCTCGAGAGGTCCAGTCTCGTTTTTGAGAGGAGGTAGGGTGTAGAAGTCATCCTCTAGAGGTCCACCAAAGGCCAGTTGGGATCTCTCAAAATTGAGGACGTTCTGAGCGCTCTCGGCGAGGGCGTCACTGAGTTGGGCAGCCTTGATCTGGGCTGGGGTAAATTTAAAAGACGAGTTAAAGTCGGTTCTAAAGACTTCTGCGGGAGGAAGTTGGGCGGTAGCAAGTCCCACGAGAAGGGAGAGAGAAATTGCTAAAGATGCTGGAGATCTCATCCTGGGCGGTTGAAGTGAGTGGAGTGTTGTCGTCCATGTCAACTCTCCTGGAGCAAGGTGCCATTTATATACACCACCACCGGCGCGCACATCATCCACCTCGCTTTCTAAGCTTTCCGGAACCAAACTGATCCCATGAGCTGTTCAACACCTCGGACAAGCCAAGTTTGCCGAGATGGTGGCATTTTCCAAGGATTGATCGCTCCGTGGCTCCACGGAGTTGAGCCAAAGTCCGTAATTCGCACGATCAACGGACGAAAACTTGACGTGCGTGTAAGCCACGGACATAATATGGGGCCTATCAATGTCGGTTATGTAAGAATAGAGGATCTTTTGAGTGCTTACTTTGTTTGCTGAGTGAATTGCGTGTTTAGCGTAAGCAGTGGCTATGAGTTACCGCGCGGGTGATATAAACGAGACACCACCAGGCAAAGGCCCAAACTCCAACAAAAGGCTGACTGTTTGCGTGAGTAAACATCTCTGCAAGATATTAAAAAAGAAAGACACTATAGCAAGAGACAGTATTAAACGTTTCTTCATAATGAGATAAACTTATCCGTTCACCTTGTTGCACATCCCATTTTCGTATTGATCCGCGCAGTCGGGTGGAGATCATCACTTGCAGCATCACTAACATGGGAAAATGTCAGGTATTCAAGAGGATAGTGACAGTAAAAGCCATCCATTGCCTCGACTTCAATTCATTCATTTACGGTGCTCACCATCCGTGGCAACCTTTCTTGTCAACTTCGCCCGACTCTTCTTGGTCATTCCTTTCTTTCCCACTTGTTCCATACAATACAACACTCGCCACCTAGACCGGGCAATCAACAACCTCACGCCGCTTGCAAACACCAACCCGCCTTGCACGATCTCGAACCCAATACTTTTGTTAACACAATAGCTCCCGTATTAGTGGAACACAAAGAAAAAGCCTTAGATCTTGGCCTTCTGGGCGGTCCAGCTGGCGATGGCATCCATCAGAGGAGGGTTAAGAGCGTCGTAAGTCTCGAGGCCGATCGACTTGAACTGAGCGCGCACGGCATCCATCTTGGAAGGATCAAAGCCCTGCTCAATGATGGAAGAGACAAAGGCGGCGAACTGAGGCTCTTGCCAGCCCTTCTCGGAAGACAGCTCGGTGTGGACAAAGTCGAGACCCTTGAAAGGGTGCTCCTTCTCAATACGACCGTATAGGTGGACACCGCAGCCGCTGCAGGCGTGTCGCTGGATGGCAGCGCTCTCATCGACAATGTACAGCTTGTCGGCGTTGGCGGTGACGCTGACCTGCTCCTTAGGGATGACACCGATGACAGAGAAGATGGCACCCTCAGGCTTCCAGCACTTGGAGCAGCCGCAGGCGTGGTTGTGAGCGACGTTGCCGGCGAGGGTCACCTCGACGGGGCTGGAAGAGCACTTGCAGCGGAGCTTGCCACCAGAGAAGTTGGCGCTGCCCTTGGTGATGCCGTTGTTGAGCGAGGGGTGGAGGGGGAGAGACATGGCTGCGGCTTTGGCTGTGGATTTGCGGTAAAGTTGAGTGACGACGGCGGCTGCTGAGACGAGGGCTGCTGCGATTGCGATGGGGGTCTTGTTCTTGGAGATGGTGGATCGAGGAGTAGACATTTTTGGAATTTGGGGGTTGACGGTTTCGCGAGTTTATATATACCTGACTAGATTCTCCACGAAGAGGACACTGCTACCAATTAAATAAGATTTCAGCCCGTTCCGTTCGTCTCTCCAGCAGCAGCAGCACCGCAAGGGAGAATGGTTTCCGTGCCCATGCGGCTTCGTCCCCGCACGGCAATGTTTACTGCATGGAGCAGGAGTTGGCGTAAGCGTAAGCGCAGGAGACAACATCCCCGAGATGCCGAGATATCACCATCTGCCGTTGTGTTTGGGCTTTGTTTTGCGGGGAAGCCGGGGTAGGAGTCACACCGGAGGTCGGCCACGGCTACCGACTCCGTGCCCACTTTACGCCATTTACATGTAAAATGACACGGAGATTAAGAGAGGCATAGATAAATGGAAGAACTATGCGATTGTTAGCAAGATAAGAAAGAATTGATTCTTTCACTGTGAAGCTGAACATGATACATGGCATCTCATTTCTTGACTTCGTGTTAGTCCAACTCCCGATCGGCACCCCGGCCGCAGAATTGAGGGGTACAGGAGTGCAACACACACAGTGACTGCAACCCAAAAGATACTTATCCAGTGATTCAAACTTGGAGACGCCGCAAGTACTCCGTATCGTCTTTTCCTTATCATCTGATCGGATCAAATAGGGGGGGGCGCCGGAGGCTGGGCACCACATCCCGGAACCCGTTCCGATGGCGCACCGGAGAAGCCGCTCGAACCTGGACAGAGATAGGCTTCTCTCGACGCTATTGCAAGGTTATAATTGCGCCATTGATTGGAGTACATGACGAATAGAAAGTCCACCGCTCTCAGAATATGTACCCTTCTCGGAAAAGAAAAGGAGGCTCCTCGCAGTAGATTGCCCGTCTCGGCGAAAATAAAAAGTGTCTCTAGCGTGGGCCCGACCGCTTGCGCTTGGCTTTCCGACTCCTCCACTCGGGAGTTCGGGGATAAAAGGAGGCGTTGCACTTGATGAATCCGAAGACGGGTATGATTGTCGGGAGTGTATAGTTATTGAATGGTCGAATGGCGTGCCATGTGGTGTTTGGGTGACATCCGACCGCCTTGAGTTTGAGTCTGACTCGTCATGAGGCATTGTCGATTTCCCCGCTTCGTCGGATGAAGGGGTCTATCGACGGGTAGCTGCTGGGCGCGGCGTCGACATCGTGATGGTCAATTGAAGGAATGAAGAGAATCAGGGCCAACGACTGCCTGGGTGAGCGGTTGTTTGGACTTTTGGATCAATTGACAATTCAGGTGCGGTGTCGTCTATTTAAGCTTGTTTCCTTGCTACCTTGATGGAGTGATGGATGGCCAGAGATTAGTAATCTTTTTTTACCATCAAGGTTCTCGAGCTCTTTTGATTATATAACTATCGATACCTCCCCGAAATGCTCATCGTTGCGTGAATGCTTCATCGGGTCTGTTACGTTACTCTCCCGTGTCAGCGAATTGGAGATGTGCCGCTGCCTTGGTGGGCTCCATCCCAGTCTACTCTACCCTGGACTGAAGAGGGGAAAAGGGACGATTTGTCGCAAACATCACTGGCTGCTATAGATTTGATCATCTGGAATCAAAATAGCATAAGCTATGAATTTGATAGCTGATTTCTACTCTAGTAGATCCATGACTGTATGGGCTCATCAATACTCTGAATCCCGACTATCGCTTGCATTCATCCAATGCCTTGCCCAAGCAGAGAATCTCCGCCGAGTCCCCTCAAGATTCAAGTTTCGGAATTTTAGAAAATCATGAACAATACCTCGAGTTGCCCTGGTTCCTTCATCAGACAATTCCGCCTATTATGTCACTAGTCCGAATATTTGAACCGAGGCAGATTATCATAGCAATAAGAAAGGCAACTCGAATGTCGAAGCTGGAATAGGCACATGCGAGTCTCCACGTGTGCATCGATCGGGCCACTTGGTTCGCATTGATTCCAAAGCAGATCGACCTATCAGACCACGGGGTTCAAAAGTGACCCCGAGTATTTACATCATCTTCCACTTACATAGACACACCGCGGATAATTTATGAGAGAAGAACCTCGAACGAGCATCCATCACTATTCCAGCGACGTTTACCAGCCATGTCTTGCCCAGCCCGCATTTATCCCCTCCGCAAACCCAAGAACCATCGACTCCCGATTCCGAGATGGAGGCTCGCCTTGCCGAGAGATACTACACACGTTTATACGGCTTACATCGGCATACAGAAACACTCAAATGATCAAGCGACAAGCGACGCTCAAAAAGAAGCCACATCTGCGATCCAAGCCTGGCTCAAAGGTCACCATGGGCCCTCGGCATTCGAATCGTTCACCGTGATAGATGGAAGCGACGTGGAGGAAACATCGATATGGGTCAGCTACTGGCTTGAAGAATCAAAGTACAAGCTCAGCATCGAGAAGCTCTCTCTTCCTTCAATCTACTCCAGTCTGTCAACGCCAGGCCGCGCTTCGATTGGCATCTGGCGTGAGGCTTTTACAACCGAGGTTCCTAGGTTAGAGACCAACTACTCTGGTCTTGATTACCTCCCTGGTTTAGCAAGACTTCCCGGTACTAGCTTTCCCGAACATGAATTCTCAGCATATTGGGGAGCCGCAAGAGATCGCATCCCATCCTCTGCCTACGACCTATTTCCTCAATCGGCCGACACAGTACCTCCGACAACTGTGCCTCGCGGAATCGGACAGTATTTGACGGGCACAAATGCCGAAAACATTGCGCATATTCGATCAGGCCAGTTTTGGGAGAACTGCGGCCAGGAAGAAGCAGATGCCTACGACAGCAAGCTCGAGCCAACACTGCGGTCGGGGCTCGAATACCTATGGGAAAACTCTCCAGACACTGGTGCCCTGGGACTGCGATATCTCAGGAATCATGATATTGATTCACCAGATGAGCGCTTACGGAAGGAAACCTGCGGCGCTGGGTTCTTTACGAGCTTGGAAACACTCGAGAACTGGGCCAAGTCACATCGTTCACATCTCGCTATATATCGTGGTGCAATGGCGCATTACAAGGCCTTTGGGGATAGGAGGAAGATGAGAACTTGGCATGAAGTATCTGTGCTGAGGGGAGGAGATGCCAAGTTTGAGTACCTGAATTGTGTGCCCAAGACGGGAGTTATTCGAGGGATTTCACTCACGGCCGAGGATATTGAAATGTGAGGGGGATATGTGTTGCTTCAGGAGGAGGCCGGTCCTTCCGTTCCAGCCGTTCTTCCCGCTCACTTATCCTTTGCTATACCTCAAGTTGCATATGTCGGTCCCAGAACAAGCACCGATTAACCGAAACCCCGCTCGCAGTGAGACAGAGTGGACGTTCAGAAGATACATTAGAGCGCGGGCTGTGCGGGCAACTCAGTCGAATATCTTCTACATCCACTATTTACTCTTGAGTCCCACCCATTGATACATATCAACTTCAAGCTCGTTCGCCATGGCATTGCCAATCCGAGTTGCCGCGTGCCATGTCTCCCCCGTCTTTCTCTCGGCTCGGGACACGACGTCCAAGGCCATCTTGCTCATTGAGAGGGCAGCCAAACACAAAGCAAATCTAGTTGTTTTCCCAGAGACCTACATCTCCGCATTCCCTATTTGGAGTGCATTGCGGCCTCCCACCGACAACCATGACCTATTCAAACGAATGGTACTAGAGTCTGTTTACGCCGATGGAGAAGAGATCCAGGCCATCCGTGCCACAGCAAAGAAAGCACAGGTCATGGTCAGCATTGGCATCTCAGAGAAAGTCCACTCCAGCAGCGCGACCTTGTTCAACTCCAACGTTCTGATTGGGAACCAGGGCGAAGTTCTAGTTCATCACCGGAAGCTCATGCCTACGTTTTTCGAAAAGTTGACCTGGGCACCTGGGGACGGGCATGGGTTGAGGGTCGCCGACACGGCTTATGGGAAGATTGGGAATTTGATATGCGGGGAGAACACGAACCCCTTGGCTCGGTACTCGCTCATGGCGCAAGGGGAACAAATTCACATTTCTACTTGGCCGGCGATATGGCCAACTCGAGTTCCAGGCATCAGTGCGTCGCAGGATCAGAGTAAGGATGATGGGAAGTCCAGTGTGGCGAAAGGGGCCAACTACGACAATGTCGCAGCCAACAGAACTCGCGCAGCCGCCCACTGCTTCGAGGCCAAGTGTTTTGGTGTTCTCTGCTCGGGGGCCCTAGGAGATGACGCTGTTGAGATCATCTCAGAGGGTTCTTCTCACCTGCGCCAAGCTTTGGAGCAATCTCAGCGCGGCGCGACCATGTTCTTGGATCCCACCGGAGCCCCCCTGCAAGGGTTTGTGGTGGACGGCCAGACACAGGAGCCCAAGCCTACAGATTTTCTACAGAGCACAGAAGATATTCTGTACTGTGATATGAACGTCGAGGATTGCATCGAGGGCAAGCAGTATCACGATGTCGTGGGTGGATATCAGAGACTGGACGTGTTTGACTTGAAAGTCAACCGTACCCGCCAGTATCCAGTGACGTTTACCGAGGATGTTGGTGAGAGTGCACCACAGGATCAAAGGTTTAATACTGAGGCAAAGAATCAAGTCGAGTAGTTATTTAGGAAGAAGCAGTCTCTGATCAACCCCTTGGCACTTCGTCCCGGACCCATTGCTCAAATGTAGTCGGTTCCAGCTGGCTCTTCAACCATGGCAGATCAGCGCCGTAAGCTCTCTCGCCGATGAAGCCAAACATGGTCCTCAAGTCTTTAACCATCCAGATGATAAATCTGGCCAAGAGTCCATAGGTAACAGGCACAGCCTTTCCAGTGTGTCGAATAAAGATGTCGTCGATATCCTTGAAGCTAAGTTCATCGCTGGCGATGGAGAGAGCCTGGTTCCTAATGCCGGTTCGGCCAGGCCGTACTAGACCCTCGACTGCCCATCTGCCAATGTCCTTGGTCACGGTGACCTGCATTCTCTTGCCCTCCATATTCTCCCTCCAACCTGTCATGCAGAGCTGACCGGGGAAGCCCCACCAGGCATTGTCGGCGAACCAGGTTGGTCGAAGGATGGTGTACTCCATCTGGCTGGAACTGCAAACACTTCTCAGGTGCTGTTCGATGTGAAATTTGTCTGAGAAAGTCTTGCAGTATGACGGGTCCTTGTCGCTGAGTTCCCTTCCCCCGCGGTCGACAGAAGAGTAGACAAAGTAGGGGACCCCATTGGAGGCGGCGGCATCGATAAATCCTTTTGCATCGTTCAGTTCGGTCGGTCCATGAGCCTGTGCGAGAAACACGCCAGTTTTGGTGATAATGTTCTTGTCCAGGTGTTGGAAGATGACCTTGGGGTTATTCAGGTCGCCGGGGACAATGTTGATGTCTCTGTACTTCTCACGGAGCTTGACAGCTCCCGGCCCGGTGGCGTTTCGAGTGATGGCATAGACTTTCCTGTGTTCGATCTTGATTTCGGGGTGAGATAGGAGAGCATCGACTGTTGCGCCGCCTTGACGGCCAGTGGCGCCAGCGATAAGATAGTACTCTGTCGGAAACATTCTGTGGCCTGCGGAGCTGATAATGGATGCCACAAGTCGTTAGCTGCGCCGGGCTCAGTCATATTTATACAGACGTGAACTGCGTTCTCTTGTCGCGTTATCTACTCTGCTTGTGATGCCTGCTAGCAGTCAAGCTCCCATCATCACGACTGCGAATGTGCATGAGGGAGCAGGGTGTCAGTGAACGTCCAATCAGGACTCATGGTGATTTAACTCACCTTTGTCTATCGAGATTGATAGAGGGTCAGCAGAGCCGCGCGCAAAGCCACATCAAGGTCGCGCGCGCGAGATCTGACATCATCATGGCGGGAGCAATTCATCGATGCCGCGCGCGAGAATCCACACTTTGCAACTTTGGGGGCATCGGCTTGATTTGTAACTACCGCGCGCTTACTCTCGTTCCAACGTATTTCCACATGTCATATTTCCAGCTCACATGATTATTCCCTTACTCCGATCAAGCAAATCTTCCACAGATATAGACCTTCCAAACAGTTGTGTGCCATATTCCCCTAGCGCCGATCCTCCCCCGTGTGATATGTTTGCCCCTCCTTCAAGTCCCAAGCATCCAGACCATTAAGAGGTGGTGTTGAGACGGCAAACTCGAAGCCGATCAAGGAGTCTGTGCTTCAGAAGCGTCTGGGTCTCTTCAAAGAGAACCTTGTGTCCTTCAAGAAGCTTGCCCTGAGGGTCGTCGGCTCGGGCCTTCCACTCGAGGTGGATGAGGGAGCTAGGTCTGTATCCGCCGAGTTCGGACCAGTAGAGACGGGTCATGTCGACGACGACGGCGCGGATGGTTTTATCGTTCCAGTAGACGAAGAACTCCATAACTGGGATGTTGGGGAAGATGATTCGCAGGTTCGCTAGAGACTCAGTGAGGTGATCAGCGGGTTGAGGGAGTGTTGATACCTTGCGTCAGAGTGCGAAGAGCGACGGCATCCTGATATTCGCTAGCCATCTTGCCTATTTTTTGTTTCGTTGTTGGATCGCTGGTTGGTGAGGCTCGAAGGCTGTTGTGTGGATGTGGGCAGAGCTGTAGATGCAGTGTTGAAGAGGGAGTGCTTCACAAGGGTACGAGGACTCGAATTTTGAGGCCATCGGGGCATGAAAAACACCCAACCCTGCCGGCGGCACCCGTGCTTGTTTGCCAGCTATTGACCTGCGTTTGATTGAATTTTCGAGGCGCCAACTCAACTCGGCACATAGTGTGTCCTGTCCCCAAAGGGCTGTGCCCCTCGTGGGCGATGGAGGGTAGCTTCATGCCACATGGATCGCCGCGCATTTTCTACGCTGTTACCTGAGGTACTCTGACTTCTTCAAGTACTCCGTTTGATTACCTTTGGCTACTTAAGCATCGGCCAGCCTTTTGCCTGGCAGAAGCCTTTGCCGCTCCTTGGGCATTCTAATATGGAGACATCACGCACGACAAACTGGCCATCTGCCTCGAGTCATTTGATTTTGATGAATTGATGGGATGCTTAGTTCAGATTTCTCAAGCCATTAATGATTTCCATGCGCTTAAATCCCCCATTTGAGTCCTCGAAACCCAGTTTGGTACCAGATCAACCTGCTGCACTGCTTCATCCATCCCCCGTTGACACAATCTTCATCCCAAAAAGTACATGACATGATCAGTCAAATCCTCAACTCATGCCGTTCTGTAAGTCGGTGATCTACAGGTGGTAGCGGGTGGTGGCGAGAACCATGACCTCGCGCAGGATGCCGACGAGGGGGATCTCGAGGTTGGGACCCTTGGGGCCGCGGAACAGGACCTTGTTGGTGCGGAGAGGGTCGTGGATGACACACGCGTAATAAACATCCTGACTCTCCATGCACAAAAGGACCTCCATGCCCGAGCCTGGGTACACGACACGCAGGTTCGCTGCGACGCAAGGTTAACGGGTGTTCGGGGGGAGGTTTTTTCAGCTCAAGACTTACTGAGGATCAGTTCCTGGAGGGCCCGGATCTGGTTGGGAGGAGTGGGTAGCATGAGACCTTCGCAATGGATCGGCATGATGATTTCTTTCCAGGTTTCGTAAAGGTTGGTTTGGGTGACTTGATGCCTTGTGAGCGGATGATGCGCTGTGAATGATGAGGGTGAAGGCGAACGAGAGTGAAGAAGGAAAAGTTCGCTCAAGTGGAGGTGATGGCGAGGAATAAAAGAATTAGAGGAGGCCCAGCGAACTTTTGGTTTGTTATCCTTCCAGCATCGTCTAAGGCTTAGGATGAAGATGTTTGTGCGTCTGATATCTAAGGGGGGGCATTTTACAGGCACCTGGGTAAGTCCTTTGTTCTATTCTTCAAACGACCAGGTTTGCTTTTAAACAATGCCTTTAATAAAAGGAATAATAAAGAAACAAAACCTACTCTTGTCGTAAATTTTCTTTGATTCTTTGTTAAGTTGAATCACTGATCCATCAAGCGTTATTGTCCCTGAATCTCAGACTGACCATCACGGTTCAACGCACAAACCAACTCGGCTAGGCCTACTCCGATGACCTCAGTGCTCTATCTTATCTCTACAGAACGCTCTATTCCCTCCCTGTAAAAGCCCCCCAGAGGATCAACTGGTGGGGGACGGGATCGAACGACGAGTGTACCGATTCTCTCGAATTGCCCTGCTTCATCGACTGCTCTCAGCACCAGGGAGACCAAGTGGTCCGTCGGCCCTTCTTGTATCACGCTCATTCGAATACACAGGACTTCTGTTCCTGGAAGAACTTGGTAAGGACCTTTGTAATCCAGCTGATAATCGGCGTGCATCATTAACCGCAAGGTTGGTGAGAACCTGACGTAGTAGGAGCCAGATCCCCATTTCGTTTCCTCGCCGACATCGCGCTCGATTATACCCTCCGCAGAGAGACCCGTTAGCTTGATCGCCCCTCCATTCAAGTGTCCAAACTCATCGACACCAACTGCGTCAACATTCCAACTCTCGACCTTGCTGAGATGTTGCCAAGGAGGCCGATCCTCATCCGTCACCGTCTCATCCGGGTTCCAGAAAACGATGCTGTCCCAGTAAAAGACGTGTGCCTCGACGCTCGCCCAAGACCACGTCGGCGCCGCCAGGGGATCATGCTTCGGCTTCTTCTCCCCTTCGAGTTCAAGAACAGTCCAGATGAGGTCGTCGTTCAGAGTGTTCCCCCACAAGCCTGCGACGTATGCTTGTTTCCGGGAAGCCCCCATCTTCTTTGCCAAGCCTCCAATGGCAGGCAACCTGTCTGAAGGCTTGGTTATTCCGAGGGAGGTGTATTCGTTGACCATGGTGCGCCAGATCCGGGCCATGTAATAGGCGGCATACTCGTGCCATTCTACTCCAGGTGCGGTTGTGAAGAGTGCCTCGGCGTAGAGGAGCTTCATGAGACCTGACGGAGCAATCGACGAACCGTCATGGTCGATACCACCACACTCGCACTGCATAGCCGAATGACATTCGAAGAATAGTTCTTGGGGACCAAAGTGTATCACACGCGGTGATAGCAAGCGCTCTTGATAGACCCAGGCCCTTGTCAGGAGTGGGTGTCGAGCAATAGTCCCATGGCCTATAAGACCAACATCGGCACCGGACCGGTCGGGTTCAGGGACAGGATCGAGGTGATGGTCGATCCGCTCTCTAAAGAAGAGACGGTACTCTTCTCCCTCTGGAGTCTCCCCAGAGACTTCAAAGTCGGGCGTGTCTGTGTAGAGGCCGCCTCTGCCGTCTGGCGAATGTGTAGCCGCGATGGTTAAGAAGGCTTTTGAATAGATGGACGACATTTTTGCCGACTCGGTCTCCCAATCTGTTCGACTGTCCTGGATAATACACAAGGAGTCGATCCAGATGTAGCGAAGCCCCAGCTGCCTCGTCAAGAGTATCGCGTCTCTAAAGGTATTGGACAAGTCTCGCATGTCGATCCCTCGTTGCCGTTCTTGCAAGGTATCTTGGGTTGTCGTGATGATCTGTGCTAATCCCCAACAGTGACTGAGACAGATGTATTTAGCTGATTGACCATGTGTCTCTAAGAGACGAATGACTCCATCTGTATCGCCAACGTCAACAACTCGCTTAGGAAGCTCGGGGTCCTCTGGTTCGATGCAGTCTACATGTTCGCTGTCGTCTTCGCAGAGCTGCATCCAAGACTGGATAGCCTCGACTGCATCAGGCGAGTCTGTCCTGGACGATGTACGCTGGGATACTGGCATGGATTCCCATTCATCAGGAACCGGACAATCATCTAGATTATGGGTCAGCCTATCCATCAGATAACGTTGTGGATTACTGACCTTCTTCAGTAGCAAACAGCTCAATATCAAAAAAGGCGCCGTCTTGCATCAGAAAGCTGACAACCTTGTCCACTTCAGCATCCTCGTCCTCGTAGTTCGGGTAGAAGAACCTGATGCTGAAGCTCTCAATCTGTTCCTCATCGACTCCATGTTGCATAAAGCACCCTTGACAACCAGAAACCAGGATCTCGCAGCAGTGACATGTCTTTGCCGAGGTTTGCAAGTCTTGCCAAGAGAGATCTCGTGGGACGTGCTTTCGGCTTATGCCTACCGGGGCGTCCTCCTCAGAGCGTAACTTGCCCACTCCTTTGAAGTTGTTGCATATGCTACACGACATTAGGCATAGATAAGGAGTTATGTAGTGGATTTAGGTGAATAAGCGTTGTGCAGCCTCAGAGCAAGCAGGGAAGTTTTGGTCTGACGCTCTGCGCTAATTAATGACAATGAACTCGCCTATCAGTTATCCTTGCAGCGCAGCTGACAAATGACTGGGGGTTCTCCACGTATTAGTGAAGCCATCAGCTTGTCCCACGAATGACCTTGTTCGAGCTGATAGTGCATGAACTTCGTGCGGTGATGGCATATTTGACACCAAAGTTATTTAGAGAACGTTCTAGCTACTGTGCGGTGAAAGATAAGATTATCATTTCTTGGGCCACTTTATTAGGCCCTTTGTGTACACCACAAGTAGTCAGGTAGTCAAGGAAGTCGAGAGTTTGAGGCCATGTTTGTGCCTCAAGCAAAGAGAACTAGGGATGCAGGCCGCAGGTCCTACCATTTATGTCAATTTAGAAGCCATTAGAGATCCCTTGACCCTTTCCCTTGAAATTAGACTTTCTGTAAAACTACTATTGTTTTCAAAATGGGCGCCCGTCTTGACAGGAGTTTGAGTTTGCATTGCTTGACTGGCAAAACACCGCTCCAACGTGCACGCTTTCAACATCGCCGCCACGCATCCAGCACGCTTGTCGATGTGTGCGATCGACATGCAAATCTTACTACAACTGATTGCTAATCTACATAACCTTTGAATTTGTAATCTTTTGCACTATCAGTTCAGACGAATCCTTCGCTTTGCGGCTCTCGGCTCCAAAGTCCCACAGAGTGTCTTACTCTTGACAAAGCATTCAAGGGATGCAGCAAGCGTATTATTGGACATTGCGTTCCACCCGCCATGATGGAGCCTGTAAGCCGTAACATCGTAATCCCTGCTTTTCTCGAAGGGGTTGCGGAGTTATATAACGTTATGCGGAGTTTGTATCTGTACTTGTAGCCCATTTGTCATCCCCACTCTTCAGCTCGACGATAGTATGAGGATATATATATGCAACGATGAACTCTAATTGATGAAATAGAAATTCAATCAGTCAATTTCATCTACATCTTTGAGAGACATCCATCATGAACGTCACTGTAGTCGGCGCAACTGGCGAAACTGGCCGCTCTATCATTGATGGGCTGTTGAATTCATCCACCAACTTTGTAAGTCCGTCCATAACACTACGAGGCTGTCACTCACATAGTGCCTCATCCAGAACGTCACTGCGATTGTTCGACCTGCCTCAATCAACAAGCCCGCGGTTCAAAAACTCAAGAGTCGCGGCGTTTCCATCACTGTCGTCGAACTTGTCAATGCCCACGAGGAGCTTGTAAAGGCTCTGACAGGCCAGGATGTTGTCATTGACGCCCTTGAGCCCTTTAATGTTGAGCCTCACCTGGCGCTGGCATCTGCCGCCAAAGACGCTGGAGTCAAACGTTATGTTCCCAGTGCCTTTGGACCAAGCTGTCCTCCTACGGGCGTGATGATGATTCGGGAACTTGTACGTAAAGCCCGTGAGCTGTACTGTCTCATCTAACACCATATAGAAAGAGCGTGTGATGAACCACATCAAAAAGATCTATCTGCCGTACACCGTCATCGATGTCGGCATGTGGTACCAGGCCGCCACACCACGCCTCCCTTCTGGCAAAATTGACTACGCTCTCACGTATTCGTCGGACCATATCGCCGATGATGGTCAGAGAGCCTCGAGTATCACGGATTTGAGGGATATTGGCAAATATGTGGCCAAGATCATCACAGATGAGAGGACTCTTAACCAGTACGTGTTTGCGTACAACGAGGTATGGACTCAGAACCAGATCTGGGACCACCTTGAGAAGATCAGTGGTGAAAAGATTCCACGAAGCCCGGTAAGTCAGGTCGCTACAAGTCTGGTTTAATCGTTATGCTGATTCAACTTTAGGTGTCGAGAGAAGAGATTGAAGCTACTGTTGCTGCCGCTCAGACCAAGTACGATGGAAAAGACAGGTCGTTCCAGGATATTCTCGGGCTCGCCGTGCCTCAGTACTTTCGCAGCGAGTGGCACAGAGAGGACAATATCCCAGAGCGAGCCAAGTATCTGGGCTACCTCACCGCAAAGGATCTATACCCAGATCTCGAGTACACCAAGTTCGAGACATACTTGGACGAGTTGATCAAGGGTTCAGGAGTCCCAGTGTACGCCAAGAGTGATTAGATAAGCGAGTTCCGGATTAAGATTAAGGAAATGAGATTGACGTCATTGTGACGTAACAGACTAGCCCATCTTGTCGTGATGGCACTAGGTGCCTAAACACAATTGATGGAAGAGAATTCTTACGCGATCACGAGGTTCGCGTCGCCCGCTACTTGGCGCGACCCGAACACTTGGACCCTTAATCTTCTCAGGTCATCTTCCCTTCTCGCTAGATCTCGGGTGCAATGCAATGGCACCGTCGTCCCGTCCCTTGCTTCCGAGGCCCGCGTCGGACAGGCCGAGGATTGGCAGAATCCAGGGTCCACCCCTTTACAAACCCCCCAAGACGAGAACGGCATGTCATCACTGTCGGAAACGCAAGGTGAAGGTCAGTCGATGAGTCTATTGGTCCAAAAAGTGGTCTCCAGGGGGCTAGTTACGCATGCCATGGATGAGGATGGGATCGGATGGATGGGCGGGCATCGGGCTGAGCTGACACTGACCTCTCATAGTGCGGCGGCCAACGTCCGACCTGCCGGGCCTGCATCCAGCGAGAGCTCAAGTGCGAGTATCCCGTCGAGAAGAGCGAGGTCCTCGAGGCCAGCTCCGAGTCGAGGGACCTCGTCGCGCGTCTGCGCAGTCTGCCGTATGGCCAGGCTCTGGAGCTCTTCCAGCATCTACGGGAAGGGCAAGGATCTTCGTCTTTGGCTGCAGGAGAGTCAAGCGCACCTGCGAGCAGCCAAGGGTCAAGTATACCACCGTCTATACCTGAGACGTTTATTCTCAGGAGTTGTATGCCTGGGACCCCTAATTCCCTCGAGTTTGAACTTGCCGTCAGACATCCTATTGCCTACCCAACATTGTATCCCATACCCATCGCCTCTCTTCCTCCTGACCGGATGATCAGACCAACCAGAGCCATCCAATCACCGTTAGACGCTTCTCCTTCAGCAGATTCCGGCGACTCTCCTCCTGGGCAAGACATCTCACCTACGTCCAGTTTCTCAACAGCCCAACCACCGACCACACTACTCATCCACGATGGTCTCAAGCAACTCGACATATCCTACTGGACAGATGTACCCATTAGCAACGAGCTGGCCGCGCGGGTGATTTCTCTTTACCTCGAGATAGACTACCCAGTCTTGCCCCTGTTCCATGCCGAACTCTTTGTTCAAGATCTCGTACAGCGACGAGGATATTTCTGCTCTCGCCTCCTTGTTTCCGCCCTTCTTAGCTGGGCTTGTGTAAGTAAATCCCTCACACCTTTCAATGTAGCCAAAACCAACATTTCCACAGCAAGCATACACTGCCCTGAAGCCAGAGGTCGCCACATACAGCGTCGAGTTCTTTTCCGAGGCCGAGAGATGCCTCGCCGCCATGCCGTCAGCCAACACGCTGACGGCTGTCTCGGCACTGCAGCTTCTTTGTATGAGTGCTGTAACACAGGGCAGAGATGACGTCGCCTTGAGGTTTCTTCAAGAGAGCGTCAAAGTCGGCAGGACGATGGGATTGTTTGGTGTACAGCCTGGTAGACCGTCAGCAAACAGCTGGCTGGACGGTTACCACGACTGGCGAATCGCTGCGTCGTATACAGCATGGGGAGTATTCAACTGGGTCTCGTCCGTCACCCCTAGCCCACTCAATGGGCGCTGAAACTGATGCATGAGAAACAGTGTTCACGGCCTTCATTACCAAAGAGCAGAGATCGAGATTCCTCCTCAGCTTCCGATGCCAGGGGACGTTGAGTTTATTCCGGATATGCAGGGGGTCTACTCTACCCATCCTGACCCCCAAAAAGACAGATTCAGAGCTTGCTGCCAGCTCTGGGTCATCTTTCATCAGGTGCTCTGGTCATATTATGGCCAAAAGCAGACTGGAGTACCCTCGCAACGCGTTCCGGTCGAGTTTGCTGAGGGGATATACCGTCGACTATTAACGTGGGCAGACGACTTGCCCCTGAACCTCGTACGAAGTGATTTGAGCAACCACGGCGTTATGATGATGCAGTATGTCTTGCCAACCATGCTCTCATATTTCGAAAGGCTCCCGGATGGTGATATCGGCATGCTGACCTTGATATAGTATATACTTCCACGCCATCGTTACCGACGTATTCAGGCCACTGCTCATCGATGCCGAAATGAGCAAGCCGCTTCGCCTAGGCTCGTTCACGGCACCTAAGGCCACTCCCGAGGCTGCGTACTCGGCTTCTGTGAACCAGCTGAAGCGTCTGCTACTCATGTATCGGCTCAACTTCAGGACCGCCATGTTCTCAGTCGTCTGGCAAACAGGACTTATCTACGTTGCCAACGCCATGATGAGGGAGGTCAAGTCCAATAGTAACGAATGGCGCTACTACCTTCACCTCTGCATGGCAGGGCTAGAAGATCTTTACGCCTCCTACCGGGTATTTGGGTCCATTGCAAAGGCCATTCTGGGCATAGCAATCGAACACGGTGCTCTCAGAACCTCTGAAGCACGGCGTATCACAAACGAGTTAGAGGACCTAGGTCGCCATCACACAGTCATCAAGCCTCTGGGCGATGGACGAGAGGTGGCCAACTGGATCATCGATCTGGATCTTGCCATGACAGATCCCAAGGCCGCGCAAGGTAGTAACCTTGCGGAACGATTCCAGGAGCTCATTATCGAGGACACCACAGAGGAGAATCAATCTTAGACTTTGGGCGCTCTGCATATTCAAGACTCTATGGTTGATCTCTAAGGATGGATTAGAATTGGACTGCGCGGTTAGATGCATGATTCGGGTTATTTTGGACGTCATCAGATACCCTATTCACATAGAATCTCTTTCAACGCTCCTCAGGATGTTGTCCAAGACGTGCTCAGCCCATTGAAGATCTGGTGCCTCAGTTGACCACCGATGTATCGTCCACCGCGCCATCTCCAACGCTTCCTTCCAACGTTCTGGCATTGGGACCCTCCCGCACTTGGCTGCGGCGAGCAAAGTGAGCGCCTTGGTGATGCAAGAACGCGCGACGTACCACGTCCCATGATGCCGGTTATGCCCAAACGTCCGGAACAGGTGCGTAACTGAGAGTTCAAGACACTTCTGCGCTAGGGGGAGAGCCTCAGCATAGTGAGGATCACTAGGGCTCTGGTGGATGACGTAGAAGAGGAGCGGTCTGTGAATCCATTCCCGGCAGCTGATGCCGCGATTCTTGACAAACTGGGCGAGCTCGTTGTTGGACATTTCATTATTTTTGAGGCTGATCTGGGGCGGGATGTGAGAGTGCCTATCTCTGTTAGCTTTGTCGTTGAAATTCAGGGGCTCTCTTACCAAATGTCAATCTGCTCGCTGAAATCCCTGCACTGCTTGATGGTATCTCCAATATTATCGATCCAGCCTCTTTCTCCGTCGCGAGCCATGACGGCCAAGGCACGATTCATCATTCTTCGGTAAGAGATCTCGGCGAGATAGTAGAACCAACTCTTTTCCTCTTCGGGTACGATGTCGTCTTGGAGAGTGTCTAGAGCTGGATTTTGAGCTGTTGGCGAGGCAAGTTCTGTAGGAGGCGAGGGGAACATGTCGGGATAGTCGCAGTGTGCGATGCCGCTTGGTGGGAGAGGTATCTCTAGCCTCAACTCGCTGCATGATGTCAGTTAGTTTTGACATGATGTTTTAATGTTTGACTTACTATTCTGACTTGACGCAAGACCAGTATAGTCTTTGCTCTAGTCTATGTGTTTCGCGGGATACAGCGTGATTTTCCGGCGACCTTCTCTGACTGCGTAACCAGAGGAGGTTGCGAAGGTCAACGCAAGCACGATTAAAATGAGACCATGCTTCAAGCGGTCGAAGGCAATACATTTCGTATACGCCACAAAAGAAGAGGCATTGAGTGTTGAGTAAAGAAGGTTGCAAAAGCCCCAACCGCTTCTTGGCAGCCAGGTAGTAGGATGATGCGGTGTCTTGGTCTACGTAGGCAGACATGGAGGATCTCACGGACTCTGGTGTACTGTTGATTCCGGGATCAGACTGGAAAGGCGCTGAAAGACATGCAAGAGCGCAGGATATCAACTGAAAATCATCAGCAAGGGCTTCGACGAAGTGTCAGGGTGGCATACCACAAGGCACGATGGTCCGTCCCACCTGGGTCCATTCTCCGCGGCGTCTCTGACTTGAGCTTTATAGTCTGCCACGTCCAAGATGGGGTTCTTGACGTGTACATAGGCCAAGAATTTCTTAGAGAGAGGAATGAAGTCATCTTCTTGGACGCCCCTACCCAAGGAACCAGTTCTTATAGTCTCTGCCTGGCCGCTGTCCTCTTTTGCCGACTCCAAGATGAAAGAATGAACATCGGGCACCAAGCCCTCAAAGATTGGCCAGCGCAGGACTCCCTCGCAGTTGTTGGCAGCTGACGGGAAGCCAGGGATATCAAGCGTCTGGAGGATGTCGATCTCGGGGAGACTGGTGGTCGTTTCAGCAGAAGGAGCAGCAGAAGGAAGAAAATTCACAGAGGTGGAACTCCCCGAGGCTTGTGGTGAAATATCTGAAGGCTGAGCAATGACTGCTAGAGGTCGAGACTCCAAGAGTGTGACAACATGGTTGAGGCGATCCAGGATGGTCAAGCTGGCCGGGTCGAAACTGTGTAAGGAGTATCAGCAAGATGTAACCACTTCCGATAAGACTCCGAAACACTGACGTCGAATAGTCCGATGTTTCAGGACCAGGGTATATGCATTGTGCTCCATTGTTGGAACAGAAACCACAAGCCGGCCGAACATTATCACACTTTGTCTTTCTCAACCGACAGCTCTGACATGCCGTCACTGCACGCTTTCGTTGATACATGGCGGCCGTGCGTGGTCTCTTGTTTCCCTGACCCCCTGCGGCCCCGGACTGGGCCTGGGCCGCTTGATCTGCTCCATCTCTGTAGTTAAACATGGTGCAGTCTGGACAGGGAGATTGAAAGAGTCGGGGAGTAGCGGAAGATGTTTCTTGATGTCGGGGCTTGTTCTTTGTGGGGTAGTCATGTCTCGGGGAGTGTCGGAGATAACTCCAAGTGCGGGGAAGTTGGATGGTCACGAGAGCTGAAGAAGAGGCCCTTGCAAATTTTAGGTGTGGACTAGATGCGAATAGCTTCATTTTGTGGCTGACATTGCGACTGACAGATTTTGACAAGTCAGCTGGGGATGCTCTTCGAAGAACTGCGTAAACAAGGATGACGTTTAGGAGACTGCTTGTGTTGTTTGCCTAGGTACCCACTCAGCGTTCTATGAATATCTCGTGATCCTAACTTCAAAAGGTCCCAAGCTACAAAAGAAATACACGAGAAACACAATTTAGATGCTGTCCATTTTATTTATATACGTGATTGGTCTAATCCTGGGGAAACTTGGCTCCGCCCTGTCTCCTCACTTCATCCAAAATCTCCAACACACGGACCGTCTCAGCCCAAGGCATAGTTTCACTCTCAGTCCTTCCCGCCGCAATATCAACCGCCACAGAGTCAGCCTCCCAGTAGAAGCCCTTTCCTGGTCGCTCAAACTCATACTTCTTTCCTTCAGTGTCTTCGTTCTTGTACACCGTGAATGAAACAGGGACAGAGCCTGCGGGTCCCTCGACGATGATGTAACCGCCAGTTCCTTCAATGCGGCAGAAGGCAGCAGGGGTCTTGACAGACACGTTGGATGTCAGAATTCCCTGCTTTCCATCCGGATACAGCAGAATGATCGAAGATGCATAGTCGACACCATCAACTAGTGTCTGAGCCGCCGCAATCTTTGGTGTCTGCGCCTTCTCACCAACTCCAGAGTCGAGATTCACAAGACCCCATGTCAAGCTATAGATGCCAATATCCAGCAAGCTTCCGGCTCCAAGGGCAGGATTCTTGAGTCGTGATTCAGGACCCAGGGACTCAAGGTGCATGTTCATAGCAAAATCGCAAAACACGCGTACGACGTCTCCAATGATCTTTTCTTCGTGGACGAGCTTTTGGAGAGTCCTGACCAGAGGGAAGAAGCGTGTCCACATGGCTTCCATGACAAACACTCCTTTTTGCTTGGCAGCCTCAAAGACTTCCCTAGCGTCTCTAGCATTAAGAGCAAAGGCCTTTTCGCAAAGAACATGCTTGCCCTGCGCAATCGCGTCAAGACAGTTTTGCTTGTGAAAAGCATGAGGAGTTCCGATGTAGATGATGTCGACGTTGGGATCCTTGTATGTCTGCTCGTAACTACCATATACGGTAGGAGCTGGACTTTGGTTTGGAAGATTGGTCTCGACAAATTTTGTGCCTTTTTCGACTGAAGATGATCCAATGGCTTGGATGTGGTGTGTTGCTTGGGCGTTATCTCGCTTGAGGGAGAGATCTCCCACGAACCATGATGAGATGAGGCCGGTTCCAATGATTCCCCAACGGAGGGATGGCTTTTGTTGAGACATGATGAAGATGTACTAATGTGTTCTTTGTTGTAGTTGGAGCCCAGCCCTTGATGGGTTAACTGAGCCAGAAGATCGATGGAGATATAGGAACAGAGCGAATGTTTAACGTGAGAGCAAACAAGAGAGGAGGATTAAGCTCATAAATAAACAGAAGAAGGGAATAATTCAACCATCGTCAACTAAATATTCAGGTACTACGAGTTAACGCCGACACTCCCCGATTGTTTAGACGCTTCCCCTCATCCCCACTTCCTGTCAGTTTAGAGTCGAAAGGTTACCCACAAGCTACGGTTGATCTACGGATTCACATCGGGCTGCTATTTGATCTTTAAATATAGTCTAGCTCTTCTTACTGACCAGTGGGATTTTACTTACGATGCCGACGGTCCGGGATCTTATGGGAAGCCAAGTAAGATATGTTTATAACTCCAGCCACGACGAAACGAAGCAACTATCAACAATAAATGTGATTACAGAAAGGTAATGTTGCCTAGATTATAGTATATCCTAAGCTGTGATGCCTTGTATGATTGCAAGAAGGCTTGTTCAACTATCTCCCACTCCACTACACACAACCACCATCCGTCCTCACCTACCCAAACCACAAACACCTCCTTAAGAAACAACTTCAAGCTGCTTAGCCCTTCCATCCTTCTCTCGAGACTCCTCTTCATCCACTCCGGACTCAACCTTGGCCAAGCGGTCATGGTCGTTTTGCTTGCCCTCAAAGACCTCCCTGATTTCCTCGAGGGTGTGACCCTTTGTCTCGGGGAAGAGGAACCAAATCACGACCCACAAAATCGCCAAGAGACAACAGAAAACGATGTAGTACTTCCAAGCGATAGCCTTCATAGCAATCGGGTTAACCTGGTTGCCAACAATGAGACCGGTGAAGGACGAGATGTAGGTGATGGAGAGACCGCGGGCACGGAGGGTGTACGGATAGATCTCGACGGGATAGGCCTGGAGAAGTGGTGTCCAGGCAATATCGTAGAACAGGTAGTAGATGAAGATGAAGGCAACAACTGCCCTTCCTGTCGCCTCGTTGTGTGTGTTGACGAAATGCGAAGTAAGCCCGGTCCACACAACATAAGCAGCCAACATGCCAGCAGTGGAGACGAGGAAAAGAGTGCGACGACCAAGACGATCGACCATGAGTGCACCCAGGAAGGTAGACGCAAGCCAGTTGAAGATCTGAAGAAGACCGTTGATAAGCGTCTGGTCCTTGACCTTTGTGATACCGATGGTGTTGAGGACGAGAACGAGATAGTAGCTGACGACTCCCACGCCGTTCCACTGAGCGAACCAACCGACAATGACGGCGATGAGAGTACGTCTGCGGTTGGCAGGTGTGCGGACAAGCTCGACCCAGGAAGTGGCGGAGAGGGCTTCGGATTCTTGAGTGATGACACTTTCAATCTCGTCCATTTCAAAGTTGACAAGAGGGGAATCTGCATCGCCGCCGGCGTGAAACTCTGCGAGGACCTTGCGGGCTTCTTCCTTGCGTCCCTGAGAAACAAGCCATCTAGATGTGTTAGTTGGGATATGACAGTGGGCAGAGTGAAGGGCAAGACATACCTTGGTGACTCTGGGAGAAAGTACCAGGCCAACAGCTGAAGCGCTGGCAAGGCTCCCTGCAGAAGAGATGGAATTCTCCAGCTCCAAGTCGACTGAATCTTGAATGTGCCGTATGTGCACCAAGCAGCAAAGATGGAGCCAAAGTACTAAAAGTGTAAGTATGCGCACGAGAACTGGAATTGTAAGAAACTTACAAAGAAGGTGTTGTACAGAGCAGTCAACTTTCCTCGCTGGGTCGGATAGGCCAGTTCGGTGATGATGATGGGGCTGGGCTGGCTGATGAAGCTGGTAAAGAAACCCAGAAACGCTCTGGCAATGATGAAGCTGTGGATATCTTTGGAAAGACCTTGTAGAATGGCAAAGGCGATGCAGGTGATCAAGCCAATGAGTATGGGCAGCTTTCGTCCCCAACGGTCGCACACATACGACACGACAAGCAGAGAGACTACCTTTCCGAGAGGATAGACAGAGTTCATGAGGCCGAGGAGGGCACCCTCTGGGTTGTCAAAGTATTGACGCCATTGAGGAAGGGTCTGGAGTCCATTCATCATCGAGCCTATCAATATGTTAATAATGAAGACTCAAATATCTGTGAAGAGTTGGAGTGTACCATCGTAGCCAACGGATGAGGCAGAGAACAGGGGGACCAGGAGGCATAGGTTGAGCTTCAATATGTGCCAAGTTCTGTACCACGGCTTTGGGTTTTGGGGCAGAACCTGTTTGACATGGTTAGATCTGGCCAACAGTTTGTGCTTAAAGGCTACTCACTCGGGAGAGTTCTGTGCCGACGGCGAGCTCGGCTCCCTTCTTGCTGAAGATGCCCATGATTCTCAAGTTCAGATAAGATGTGCAGAAACGATTAAAGAGCCCGACACTTGAAAATGTGCTTGAGAATCTCAAAACGAAGGGATCCGAGTCTCAATTTATCACCGTCGATCTCTCACCAAAATGTACCCCAGACCAGTCCAGATCTTTGCTAACCGAGAGCAACCCTCTCCTCATGACCCCATGGGGAAGAACCAACAGAGAGGCACACGAACCAAGGGGGGTTCGCGGGGGAGCGAGTCATAAAAATCCTTGTCCGCGGAGTATCGGCAACAACCTCTAGCGTCGGGGAGTGTCGGTATGCGGGGATGACTTTGCCAAGTCGGCTGTGGAGAACGGGACTGGTGTTTTTGGTGCAGGGAGAAAAGAGGAAAGTAGTCAGCGAATTATACTGATGAAATAAATGTCTAGCAATCTCGCATTTGCGAACTTGCTTCTTTCCAAATCACATCTCCCTTTAAGAGCCTCAAAGTTGTCCTTGTGGTACCAATTCACAGAATCACCGGCTCTCTCTCTGTCAATTTCTCAAACCCCCACCACCAGGCCCAAGCCCAGAACATTCAAACACAATGGGCAGCGTTCCTACCCAACAGCCTGAGACCTCACAAGGCGACTCTCGCATCCTGCGCGTTGGCATCATCGGCTGCGGGGAAATCTCCCAGGTCGCACACATTCCCAACATCAACTTTCTCTCCCACAAGTTCCAGACGACCTACCTCTGCGACATTTCCAAACAAGCCCTAGCTCATTGTGCCAAAAAGGTGCAGGGGGGCACGCCAAAGACAACTATCGATCCTGCAGAGTTGTGCTCTTCCCCAGATGTTGATGTAGTCTTGATCGCCAACGCAGACGCGTACCATGTCGAACACGGCATCATCGCTCTTCAGAATGACAAGTACTGTCTCATCGAGAAGCCAGCAGCCCTCTGCTTCAGAGACCTAGACAGACTCGTCAAAGCCGAAAGCACCTCAAGGGGCAAAGTGTTTGTCGGCACGATGCGCCGCTACGCAACCGCCTTTATCGACGCCGTAAAGGAAGTCGGAGGCATGCAAAACATCCAATATGCCCGCGTCAGGGATATCATCGGACCCAACTCGGTCTTTGTCGATCAGTCGGGTACTTTTCCTCAAAAGTTTAGCGACTTTACTGAGGCCGATGGCGAAGATCGGGTGAAGCGTGAGACGGACATTCAAGAGCAGGCTCTTGGGAAGGAGTTTGACGTTCCCATCACGCCCAAGTCGAAGAGAATGCTTCGTGTGCTTGGAGGGTGAGTTTCACTTAATCCTGAGATGAGAGATGACTGCTAACAATTACTATAGTCTTGGAACACATGATCTCTCCGCCATGCGAGAGATTCTTGGTATGCCCAAGCGCGTCGCCGGCGCATGTCTAACCTTCCCTGGCATCTTCAGCGTCCTCTTTGAATATGACGGTTTCCCCGTTTCATACGAGTCAGGACTCAACGGTGTGCCCCAATTCGACGCACACATCGAGGTCTACTCACAAGACAAGATTGTGCGCGTCAACTACGACTCGCCCTACGTCAAGGGCCTTCCCGTGACATTGACGATCCGGGAAAAGATTGGAGAGGATGGCTTCCAAGAGCGGGTCATTAGAAAGACGTACCAGGATCCTTACACGTTGGAGATGTTGGAGTTGTATGACTGTGTTGTTGGAAACAAGACGCCCAAGACGAGCGCGGCAGATGCACGAAATGACATTGAGTTGTTCCGGATGATCATCAAAGCCGATGAAGGAAGATACAAGGCCGAGGCAAGCTCCTAGAAACTAAATAGACAACAAGAGGGGCGTTGATTCTGGTTCACATTACCCTCCCACCCCGTGAACATGACCCCTTCCAGCATCATCCTCTCCCACATACGACCATACCCACTGGAGAACTCGGGATCCCGTCCGCTCTCCCATAGATAAGCCAGTGAGGGGCGGATTAGTAGTTGGGTCGGTGACGACCAGCGAATCCCCGCTGTTGTATGTTTTTTGCTCTTGTTGACGATTTTCTTTTTGGTGTTGAAGTCCCCGTTTCGTGCAGCAACATAACCCCAATGCCTCTGCGTCTATTGAAACGCGTCATTTTCTTTTGCTAGTATCATAGCTGCCCCTTTTGCTTGGTATGAATTGATTGAGTATCTCAATCCACCTGGAGGAGGCGTCTTGAGTTGTCGTAAACGAGCCCTCCATCACAACCCACCATCAAGATGGGTCTCAACACCACAGCGTAATTGGTTTAGTGGTAAAATTCTCCGTTGCCATTCGAGTAACGTCGGGGAGCCCTGGGTTCGATTCCCAGATTACGCATTAGAACGGGCGTCTGAGACGTCTGGATGGTTTCTTTTTGGTGTTGTGCATTTTTGGTGGTGTTGTGGGCGTTACGGAACAGCCCAGTAGTCGCTCGCCACATAGGCGTATAGGCACTCACTGGACTCTTTACTAACTCGTGACAAAGTCGAGGAAAACCACTGTCGCTGTGCCGGTTCCAACGTGTGCAAACCTGAGGCGAGAGACATGGGCCAGACGACGAGACTGGCTAAGTAGGGTTTGAAGGGTTCATCCGAAATTTCCACGCTCCCTTTTGCTGTCTTGCGGATGCGACCCAGACAGGAGGGCACGAAAGATGCGAGAGAGTCAGCTGATGAGCCAAGGCAGGTCAAACATTCGAGCGTTTCCGTTGGGTTAGGTTGCGGTGCAAGATGAAGTATTTGGAAGCGAGTGTGAGAAACCAACATCCGAAGAGCGCAGTATTCGTTCCACACTGCAGTGTATCCGAGTTTTGCACAAGTTGAGACGGTGTTGGAGTAAGAATCGTCTGGTGAATAATCGCAAGGCTCTGGCAGAGTGTGTTTGGTGTACGACCACTTGCTTGGAAGCCGAGTAGCCCAGGTTTGAATGTCCCGGTCAAGTCTGCGGAAATCGTCAACCAGGCTGTCGGCTTTCTGAGCAGCCAGTATTCCTTCCTGGGATGATTGCTTCAGTTCCAGGTACTTGTGGTGCAGATCAATGAACTGAATCGTCAAATGGTCAAACTCCAATGCCAGGTCCCTCTCACCAAACACGCCGCCATCCGCTAGCCAGCGAGGAAGCGGTTGCTCGCGTAACAAACAAGATCTGATCAACTTCCTCCTAGTTTGCCTTATAATTACTGTCGGAGTATAACGGTATCGATTATCGTACCAGATTTTCAGAATTGCTGCCGCGCCATCGATATGGAACCATACCTTGGCTTCCTTGAGAGGCTCCAAGTCGGTCTTTTCGCCGTGATTTTGCACAAATGCCTCGTATCGGGCCATGAAGTGAGCCCCTAGTAGGTACTCGTCGATCTCGTCCGAGCTCAGAATTCCACTGCTGAGGCGTGGGATACGATCCTGCATGTGTCGGAGCAGACTAAGGTATGATTGTGATGCCTCAGCGGCAGCGGGTCGACAGTTTTGGAAACGAGCAAACACTGAAAGTGCCACGGCTGAAAAGGCCAGGTCGACGATAGGTGAGCTTTTGCCTCCTGCCTTCCATTCGTGAAGACATTCAGCCCAAGTCAAGGCCACGTTCGGCATGTCTGGGAAGACTTGAAAGTGATGTTGGACATAGTATGCATGGGCACGTGTCTTCAGGTCGACATTGGCTTGTATGGGAACAAGACTAGACCGGGGTCCTCTCGGTCTTCTCTTCTCCCCGGCGGCATACTGGTTCTCGATGTGGATGGCAAACAGCTGCTGCTTGGCCGCGTTGGCCTCGACGCAAGTTCGATGAGATTTGATGCATTTCTGACAAATGGGCTTTGCTCCATCACACTATTTTTCTGTTAGCTTTTCGCTTGAAGTTCGGGACAAGGCAACTTACCTTGATGCGCCGCGTTCTGCAGGTCTGACATGATGAATTTGATTGCATACTCAAGTTTGTGTCTATGATAAAGAGGAAAGGTTGTTGAAAGTCTCCAAGATGATGCCAAGACCCCTGTCACGGGCTGCTGATTAAAAGAGAAACTAGTCCTAATCTGGCGAAACCCTGCGAGAACTCCCAAACCCCTGCCTGCGTTGAGCTTGGAGCTAATCTGCTTCTGACGAAACCTCACGATGTGTAAATGGACCAGGGCGCAAAACCAGCCTTTTCATATGAATTAGTAAAGCAAAGTTATAGTATTCGGTGATTTTTCTGATATTCTTGGTCCGTCGTTCGGACGAACAAGTCGTCCAAAACTGCCTATTAAACCCATCTCCGTTCCCTCTTCTTGCTTCCATGTGTCCCCCTCGTTATCGATTCATCTCCTACACTGCACTCTTGTTTGACACAATGGCCAAGAATTTTGTGATCCTAGGTGCCGGTCTGACTGGTCTTCCTCTGGCTCATTATATTCTCAAACATTATGCCACCAAACACGATCTCAAAGTCATCCTCGTTTCGCGATCCGACGAGTTCTACTGGAACATAGCAACTCCACGGGCTGCTATCCCCGGCCAGCTCACAGACGACCAAGTCTTCTTCTCAATCCCTAAAGCTTTTTCCAAATACCCCTCTCAGAGATTTGAGTTTATTCTCGGAAATGTCGAGACCTGGGACCCTGACGAGAACTCGGTCGCCGTGAACCAGAGTGATGGGCAGACACGAGCACTCCACTATGACACTATCCTTGTGGCCACTGGCAGTGACTACAGCGATAAAATGCCGTGGAAGCTAGTCGGAACATCTCGAGAAACCCGCAGTTCCCTCGTCAAATTACGGGACGCAGTGGACAAGGCAAAATCAATCATCGTGGGCGGTGGAGGTCCCACGGGCGTTGAGTTCGCTGGTGAACTTGGCCATGAGTATGCAAAGGCAAGCAAGAAGGAGGTGATACTGGTTATCGCTGATAAGCTTCCCCTCGAATCCAAGAACCTTGAAGCAACGCGACAGGCAGCAAAGAAGGAGCTTGAGAAGCTCAAGGTCAAGGTCATTACGAGTGCCAGGATCACAAACACCACCCACAAGGACGGAGGAGGAAGCATCCTGGAGCTCACAAAGGCCGATGGAACCAAGGAGATGCTCGAGACGGATTTATTCGTGCCTACTTGGGGTGTAACTTACAACACCTCCTTTGCACCCTCTTCCCTACTCGAACCAAACGGCCGCCTCAAAGTGACATCCTCTCTCCGCGCACCAGGCTACGACAACGTCTTCCTCGCCGGCGACGCTGCAAACGCTGACTCGTACGCTGCCACGATCAGAGAACCTCAGGTGCGCTATCTTGCCACTGCGATCGGCCAGTATCTTGCAGGAGGAAAGGTGCAAGACTACTCTCCGGAAACAAAGGTCGGACTGGCTGCCTCAGTTGGACCTAGTCGTGGAATTGGACAAATGGGAAACTTTAACATGTGGAGTTTTCTTGTGTGGTATTTCAAGGCTCGGCATATGTGCACGAATGTTGCTGCTGAGTATGCAGCGGGCGAGAGTCTTATCTTGGGGTCCTTTTGAGTGGTTTTTCAGTTGTGTTATATTTGATCTATTTTTATTCAAGATAGAGTCGTAGTGAAGACAATTATATCTTGGACTCTCTGCTTGTCTCAAACGCAGTGCACTCAATCTCAACATCGGTACCCAGAGGCAACTCGAACACGGCCACGCAAGTTCTCGCCTATTAAATGTCAGTTAGAGGTCTCGCAAAAGACATCTTTCGTATTGTACTCACGGGCTTAGGAGCCTTGGTAAAGAACTCGTCGTACGCCTCGTTGACAAGAGCAAAGTCGGCCATCTTGGTGATGAAAATGTTCACCTTGACAACGTTCTGAAGGCTGCTGCCAGCCTCCTTAAGCACAGCCCCGATGTTCTTAAGAGCTTGTCTCTATCAAAACAATCAGTCCCATTCTTTCAAACCCAGATTTCCGCTCACCGTTCGGTCCTTGACAGTTCCCTCAACTAGCTGAAGCTTCGTGCCAGGGATAGCACCGATGTTTCCAGAGCAGAAGACCAATCCATTGTGCTTGATGGCCTGGGAGAACTGGGGCAGAGGCGCCGGCGCAGCCTCGGTGAATACGGCTTCCTTTTGAGAAGACATTTTGAATATGATTGTTGGTGAAGTAGTTGACAGTTTCAAGATGACTCGACAGAGCAAGGTTGAGCTTATTAATGAAGCGGTTATCTGCGGGGAACTCGGTTCGGCCTCAACTTCTAGCCTCCGATCATAGACCAACGCGATTACCATGATAAACTATCTATGCCCAAGAACAAGGTGTACTCCATCTCGAAAACCTCATTTCATACTCGTCATCTTATAATGGACGCAATTTGTGAGCGCAGTTGTGGAGATGGACCAGGCGACGCCGTTGTTTCCTCGGGTGGTGCATGCCTCTCACAAATTAATCGGCTTCACTCAAGTGAAGATATATAATAGAAAGATCCTTATTGTAGAGAACAGCTGAAAAAGAATTAATAAATAGCCACATTGTACTCGCGGCCATTTTCATGGTCGGTAATCTCTGCTTCCAGGCGAGTGTAAACTGCCAATTGAAGAGAAGACGGCAAAAAGGCGTGTAAAGACCATCCTTCGACCTCATGAGGAGGCGGAAAGGATCCTCCGCCAAGGCGAAATCCGCATCAATATAATACTACATATCCGGAGGGAGGTATGCTGCTCTTTCCTTGGCCTGGAGACGCCCATCCATACATCATCTGCTCAACCAATCGTACCATGCAGAGTACAAATACCGAACTCTAAGCCAATAAAGGAAAAGAAGTACTGATGAAGTAGTAATGATAGGCTACCCTAACGTGATACCCCTAGGACTCTCTTCCAAGCATCACACGCGTGATGGCATGGACTGTTGGGGCGTAGAAATAAACGCTGGTTTGCCGTATTTGTCCACAACCACAAAATGCGTCTCTTCTGTGCCCAAGTCATTCTCATCCAGGACACCTTCACCGAACTCCTCTTGGATGGCGTGAGGCCGGATTCCATGCCATCTCCAAGCGTCGAGGTGATTAGTTGTGTATATACGCCAGCGGCCTCAAGTTTGAGATTGTCGATGACCGTCAATCTTGCCGGCGCCGGGCCATTAGTGCCAAGACTTGCCGAAGGGTACAGATATTTCTTGAAAGCACCGTTTATCGATTCCATGTTCCTCATGAAAAGGTATATATACCAGAAACACGTCCCGGAGTCCTGGTGAATCTTTGTTCAAACATGGCTGCACATGGTACTCCAAGACTTGGTGACAAGACACCATTTCCCCTATTTTCGAGACTCCCGCGAGAGCAGGATTTTTCAGCGCCATCCTCAAGATATACGAACCTCAATCGTGGCAGCTGAGGTAGAGAGCCACGGCTGGAACTATCAAAAACTCCAATGTATATATAAGCCGTGAGCTCTTGGGGTTGACTGAGTTCACCACCTAGAGAAACCCAAGCTCTCCAAGGTGAATGAAAGGACTACCCAGAGACAAGAATCCAGATCGCCGTCAAGTTTTTGATGAGGCAACTGTCTGATCTTCCGAGGACTGTGATACCAATTCCTTATAAAGACGCCGTGAATAGCGAAAGAAACGAGAGATAGATATCGCATGTTGGTGCAAAATGTCGTAGATTATATATGTCGCGTTATACTGCCTCCATTCTGTTCTCTTCTGTGGTCCGTCGGCGCTCGATCTCGTTTAATACCATGGCTCTCAGGCCTGGCGTATCGCCTCTACCATCGCTAGGGCCGGCAGTCGTCGGTTCTTCTCACGTTTCTGCGGCCGCTTATGAGCGACGCCACACTTGTTGGCAAGAAAGGTGTGTCAGGTACACCGCTGTCTAGCAGTACGAGTGTCCATATTCCACAGCACAGTTCGTATCATGGTGGCGGGTTGATCTCTTCGCCAAGTTTCTGAGGATCATCCGGCAAAACATACAACTTCTGCGTTCCACTTTGATCTCCGGCTGACTTCCCTGGCATGTCTGTAATTATATGCCTCTCAGTCTTCAGAAAGGAGTTGTCGCCTTGGCGAGGTAACTTGATGACGAAGCTGCGGCCTCTCGTTGCTGTCCACGGTGAAGACACGTCCTATAGGGGTATAGAAACGATAAATGAGGCAGGAATCATATATGCAACATGTGATCGCTTAATATATAGCGTCGGTAATAATTACACTCCTTACAAGTATCTCTCGTGCAGTGGTGATAATCCCACAGCAGAGAAAACAGCATGTCTTGAGAGAGAAATGATCTCAATTTTCGATCAACTTCCTTGACGTGTTCGATAAAGACAAAACATGGCTATACGCATGGACTCTCCATCGCCATCATTTTCGGTGGCAGTGAGAGTAAGGAATGTGACTTGGTTCAAGTCAACAACACGGGAAAACTTCTGGTGTTGTTCGGTTCAGTATATATTTAGATGCTGATATAGGTATGCTGGTGAGGGGCGGACTGCGAGGAAGGCAGCAGGCTTGGGGTCTTTATATAAATAGGAGCCTCTTGTTTGCGTCTGACCTAGTCACAGGATACTAACAGAAACCACTTCACAAAGAGCAAATTAAAAAGTAGCAATTAATAGAAAACATGAAAAGAAGTTTCAGTAAACGAGCAAACTCCAATAATTGCCCTAGCACAAGTTTGTCCTTGATTTGTTGCATCTCACTGACAGACAAGCACTTCAACTTGGCCTTCAGGAGTTAGTTTAAACAAAGAAACCTTCACCCAAGAATATCATCCAGGGAGACAGCTTGGTTTTAAGTCAGGATCTTGAAACAATAATGAAGTTGACCCCAGTAAACCTCGCCAAGATTTAATCATTCACCGCCAACCCCAGTCCCCCACGACAAACCCTCATTGCTCAATTTACGCTTCATTTTTAGCCGCAATCCTTCGTCAACCTATCTGACAAGGGGCTGGAGCTCGCCAAACTGTCAAGCCCTTCGCTTCTGACCTTGGTTCATGCTCAGCCCCTGTCAAAATAGCATGCAACCGCCAGCCTGGTCTTGGCACCAGGCTGAGAAGCACCGAAACTGTGCAGGCCAAGGGGTGCTGAGTACGTGCCGCAGAGGTGCGCACGCTATCGTGGGTCATTAACGGCATGCTAGTAGGGGCGAAGGCCCGTAATTATGCAGATTCGGTGATCCTACGAGGCGGAGTTCTACTTCTGGTTATGGGCTGAGAGGATTATACCATAGGCAGGACAAGCAGATCCTAATCCTTAATTTATTCCATGCCCATTTTTTGTCTCGTGTCTTCTTCCATCTCCTTCTTTTTCCGAATCTCTTCGGATGCACTGTCTTCAGCCGACGTTATTTGCCCGGATCACTCGACAACGACGAGCTCTCTTCACACGATCAAAATACAATGGCCAAGGCAGGTTACGCAGAGCTCGTAGCTCCTGAGGCTCCAGCACCAACAGCCATGGCCACGATAGACTCCAGACGCCTCTTCGCCCGTCAGGAAGATAAAGACCTCTGCGGTCTATACACTCAAAGTGAAAAAGGTATTACCCTCCTCGCAGTGACAAGGCCATTTCTCTAATAAGATAGCCGGTACTGTCTTGTCCTTTCTCTGTAGCAAAGATACTCGGTGCGAGACCACCGGCGCGTTCTTTGGCTGCAGCAAATCCGTATACACAACATGCTACGCCGCGACCAACAAACTTCCAGCCACGAGGGATGAGCAAGGCGCATACTGGTATGATACCCATCTATCACCCATATAAGATGACCTGCTGACTGAATCCGGTCTAGCACTGGTTCCGTGTATTCTCACTGCTGGACAGGAATCAAGGAGATTGACGGCGAAGATATCACGGCGTACAGATGCGACAGTACAGCTGTAGACGACCCCATTTCCGTAATGATGACCATCGAGAGCGAAGTGACCCAGACCAAGACGAACGACGAAGGATCACCAACAGTTATCGTGACAACACTCCCGCCTGTGACAGCTACAGTCAGCGTGACGGGTGAGCCCGCCAGCGGAAACTCGGATGGGGGTTCCCAAACGCCAATTGGTGCCATCGTCGGTGGCGTGGTCGGAGGTGTATCATTGATCGCTCTTATAGCATTCGGGCTCTGGTTCATTCGCTTCCAGAAGCGAAAGGCTGCGGCGGACAATGCCAAATACAACGCTCAGTCTCCTTATGGTCATCCCTCGATGATGCAGCAGGCCATGTATGAGCATCCCTATCCAGGGAACCAAGGAAATCCGACACCTATATACCACCAACTCCCCGCTGAGGATTCTGATCGACCAAAGCCCAAGACACCGCCGCCTGCTGAGCTGCCCAACAATTCGGTATGACATTGACGATTGCTGTGGGTGGGAGTTTGCGAATAAGATGAATGTCGTCAGGGAGAGGCTTGAGTGGACAATAAATATCCAGGGCGTTACAAAAGATGGGTTTACAAGAAGGATATAGATTCACGGATTAATGATGATAGATATATAGTTATTTTGCAGTATTTAAATGCCCACTTCACGACCATATCGTCAAGGTACCCTCGAGTCATAATGACACATATAAACTACGAATTTTGTCAACTCCCGAAAGGTCCCAATCGGGCGCCGCGGGACAACTTCGAATTTTTACTCTGGGCATGCGAGAATCGCCCTGCTTCGCAAAGGCATTCACAACGAGAGACAACCACCAGAAATTTCTAGGCAATCAAGTAAGTGCCCAGCTTTATATGAGAATTGGATAAATGACATTGTGCATCACAGATGTGAGTTGGTAACGCTGGCTACTCAGCCTCAAAATACATTGCTTATTTACATGTCAGACGCAACTATCCGCCTCATTTTCATCGCATGGAGTCATGACCTCAGGCTTCAGTAACAGAAACAATCCATCGCCTACTCGTGATAATTTATAATAACCCTGTATATAAACGTCAAATCTTCCCACCCTTCTCGATCCAGGTTTCTTAGCCCATCGTCTCAATACCAAACTTCACGCTATATCCTACAACGCAACTTTAACATTATGTCTATGTGCGATGTATGCTGTTACGCCGTGTTCCAGGACAACCATGGCCACAGACAGGTGTGCTCTGAATGCTGCTCAAATATCAGAGATATCGCCAATGCCCACGGCCAAGGTGAGGCCGTCCGACAAGTCCGAGAGGCAGCGCAGAGGTATTTGGACGTCTGGCTGACAACTGAGACCGTGATGGATGTGTTGACGGCTTGGTTCCCGGATATCTTTGAGTCGAGTCAGAATGGCTGGGAAGATCAAGGGGTATGTATATACCATGTGGCAGGATAGAGAATTGTAAGTGTTCTAACTTTACCAACTAGATTTGTGACGGGTCAACCACCACAACTTTTCAGAAAGTCACGGATGGTCAAGTCTGTCATCAGGATGCATCAGCAACTAATATTGTAGAGATTGGGCCGACGCATCTCCCAGTCACGTCTGCAGTGGTTGTGGGTTCTCGTGGGTAGACAAATACGCATGGGTACCCACGGGTTGATAGATGTGCGAAGCTTGGCCCGTGGGTACCCACGGCTACCCATTGATCGCTCTGTGATACCCATGGGTTGTTTGGGTAGATTGGATAGTCAGGTACCCATGGGTAAAGCTTGGGTAGATGATACCCATGGGCATATCATGGGTGGATTAATGCTCATGGGTGCCATGGGTACCCACAACCACTCATACCTCCACGGGCATATACTAGTTCGGCAGTGTTAGTTAAATATTCTATTATAGGCGCTGATCATATAGTTTGCTTTGAAAACATTCTCGATCAAGGGCTCTGCAGCATTGCCTCAGTCTTGTCTGTAAACAACCATATTCGCTATAAAGTTTGCTGCACTGCCAGCAGTGCAATCCCAAACCAACGTTTCACACTACATAAGAGACCAAAGATACTCCGAAACAGGATCCTTCCAAAGCGTAGGACAAACATGAGCCTCATCAGCAGAGGCAGCAAACTCAAACTCCGACCAGACATGATAACCCTCAAACCCCTTTACCAAAAGAACCTCAAAGGCGCTCAATCCAACAACCAGCGAAAACGAAATGCACACCGGCATGGCAAGGATAGAGCCAAGGTATATCGCTGGAGGTAGTAGGACATACCCCAACCATTCCTTGAACCCAAGCCTAGGGTTCGTTTTGGGGCTGGTGCGTCCTTTTATCCAGGCATACGTTACGAGTATAACGCCGAGGATTCCAGGTATAAAGACAAATTCGGAGAGGAAGATACTGTCTTTTAAAAAGACCTCGAGGAGTCTCCAGTGTGAGCGCTGTGTTACCACGGGTGTGCCGTTGGACATGCAGGCTAGGTTGCACAAGGCATAGATTGGTATGATGCAAGTCCGTAGCCCATGTTTCTCGGTGTATCCCAAGAACCACCATCGGCAGGACCTTTGAGGATCGCCCGCAAATAACGGCAGCGCCGCGTCGATGTGTCCACCTGATACATCTTGTGTTGCCTGGCCAAAGCCAGGGAAGTTGAGCAGCAGCGCAGCCGACAAGACTGATACAACAGCACCGCCGATGGCAAGTTCAAAAGTGCGAAAGTCGATGGCACTGAGCGACTCCCAGCCTCTTTCATCAACTCGGCGGGTGTAAAGAAAAATGGTGGCGACGCACTGGAAGAGTGTCCCGAGCACGAGGAGAAGTCTTCCAGTCGTGACGTACGCTTTGGCAAGCCTTGAACCTGCAACTTTCCCTGCACCTCCAGACTCGAGTGATCCTGTAGGAGAACGGACCAGCCCTGAAGGCGCGTATGTAATGGTTTTCTTGCCCAGAAGGGTTGTCAGCCGACGTGTGTATGTCGACCACTCATCGCCGAGAGATGAATGGCCAGTGACGATATTCGCAATACACACGCCAGTAATGAGCAACAGGCCCAAGAAAATCTCAAGTGGAACAATAAGAGGGCAAAATAGAAAAAGAATAGGCTCAATAGACGCCAGCTCTTGGTTGCGAAGTGAGAGATAGTTGCAAAATGCGGCGACAGCAGTAAAGTGTGCGATGATGAACTTGGCCATCAACTCTCGCGCGGTGCGCCGATCATCAATCGGACACAAGGTTTCAAGATCCATGATTTATCTGCCATATTGAGAAGAAGATGAGTTGTCGGGGCTTGGGGAGGTAGTGACGAGGTTATCAAACATGTTTAAGCGCCCAGGGGCAGGAGAGCTGAACAGCCACAAAACCATCAACATGTCCTTCGGCCAATGAGACTATGGTTGCTTCATACATCATGTTTAACAGGGCAAAATTGAACCACGCCAATCCAATCATAAAAGCCTGGTTAGCGACGTTGACAGTTTTATCCTCCTAGTAGAAATAGCCGCTGCGGCTCTGGACAGTAGCCGGGATGGCAATTGTATGAACGTATTGTCGTTGCAAACTTAAATAACAAAGAATTCTCAAGGCACAAAAGGGCCAGAGAAACGCTCGACAAGAGCATCAGAAGCACAGGATAAGACATTCATTAAGCCCAGACTCCATCGCAGCATCCCTACTGAATTCCACCTCATGTTCCCCAAAATACCCGACGCCCGGATGGAGAGTCGCCGTATTTACGCTGGGCCTCAAAAAAGGCATCATATTCTTGCCATGACCAACGCGACGTAGAAAATTCCGCCAAGTCGAATTTTTCATTGCTATCCGTCTTCTTGCATCCTTGCGTCTCGTTGAAAACAGTCTTGGCCATCTTCATCCATCGAAGCTCCATCCCCGTGGCGCAACCGGGGCTGTCGCACCACAGCACGTGTTTTGTCCCCTTGTCAAACACAGGATGTCTCTTCTTCTTCTTGTAAGAGCCGTTATGATCAAATTCGAGGTTAAACAGCCATACAGGGCTGAGTGGATCGACTCTACTCCAGCAGATGTTCATAGAGAGATAGATATGAGCTTTCGGAGACCCGGTTTCGCGTCTTTGATATTTCAAGTTGTAAATAGCACCACAGTGTCGACAGATGATGGAGTGTTCCTTGCATCGTATAGCCGGATCGGAGAAACATGTACACGCATCCGAAGCCAAGCTGTTCATAACCGTCTCACTCAATAAAGAGATGTGCTTGCAGAAGTGCTGCCCGTCAGGCGAACGTGCTGCCCTTTTTAGGCTTTGCCGAACAAGGTCAATATTGATCTTGCAGGGGTCAATTTCGAGTAGGAGAATGCTCGTCGTAACCCTCAAAAAGAACGAGGACGTTGATCCCTCAATCGCGCTTGCTGTGTATTCGGGAGGCGGCGAGAATCGTTCCTGAACCTGATTGCCTGAGCGAGCCCGAAGCCGATGAGAAAAATAGCCACAGGGCGTCTCCCGCCGGGTCAAGGGGAATCTTGTCAGGTCGAATGCAGAAAGTGAGGTGTGGGAGCAAATACGAAACAAGCCGGTCCGTCCCAAGCAACGTCCACCGCCGTTCCGTTTATAACGTCTTTCATCTCGTGCAAAGAAGAGTGCAGCATGATGATCGTCGCAGAATCTGCAATACATGGGCTCATAGAGCTCCATCATCTTCTCTTTCAAGTAGCCCGTCTTCCGGAATCGGTTGCAGTCGTTACAGTGACTCCGGCGTACCAGTATGTTCCTGATCATCTTGCGCTGTTCGTAACCAGCTTGGGTCATGCAGGAGTTTTCGTCCAGGGGTTTCGAGAACTCGAGATTAAAATCCCTGAAAGTAACATCCTTAGATACCCGACGAAATGTCGTACAGGTTTGTCGCAGCAGATAAAGGGAGCTATGCGGAAGGTGTTTCAATATTTCGAGCAGTAACTCTTCTGGCAATCCGAACAGCCAACAGCCCCTGTCCCAGGCAGCCCGCATGAACCGAGTCATTTGACGCATCTTGGAGGAAAGGTATGGCGCCATCGAGGCTTCCAGTTTCGAAGCACATTCCTTTATCTTGTTCTCCCGTGGCGACCCAAGGGGGAGACGGTGCCGGTTCTTGATCTTCCAGAGAAGACGAGAGTGCATATCGAGGTCTGATGAATGGCTGGAACGGTGCAGGTGTCGGAACGATTCGGTAGCCTGTCGATAGTTCGAACGTTGGCAGACCACACAGTGGAAGACAGGGGAAATTTATGCTCTGAACGCTCGAGTATAATTTCGAAATGTTGATGTAATTCGACGCAGGTAACCCAATGCTCGTGTCATCTACTAAAGTTAGTTTGCATTGAGTCCATTCATGACCTTCCGGCCGCATGTTCCATGCATATTCAAAGAAGACAGATATCTGAACTCTCTGCTGCATTGTACCGAAGCTATGTAAAACGAGGCTCAACGAGTCAAGGATAAGATTGTCGACATGTATTGTCGATTTCAAAACGGATAGGCACAGTCAAATTCATCTTTGATAAATGCGTATTGCCAAGGCCAAGTCAAGTAAGGGGAAAGGGAGGGTTTGAAAGACAAGAGAGATTCTAAGCCTAGCTTAGATGATGGGAAGTTGAGGGCAAGTGCATGACGATGCCATGCATAGATTGATGAGGCAAAGGAACAGAAGAGTATGGCCGGCTGCTTGCTGCTCTGGGATATCATGACGAGATGGAAGCACATCTATCCAGGGTAGTGCAGAGGCAGATGTCCAACAGTTCAGACTCCTGAAAGGGATCCAACGAACATTGGTTGTAGCAAATATTGAGAGGGTTCGAAAACAATATCGTTGGTTCGTACCAACGTTGACATGATACTCGATGGGGAGAGGACGAATTCTGCGGAAGAGGTTCGAATCAAGGTATTGATGACGATTGGATATGGACGAATTGACGGCAGTAATTGACGTATCCGTATTCTTGTGGCAGTTAGCAATACACATGATGAAGCATCACTCTCCGAAGCACGACCAACCCATTGGGTCAGACCAATAGGTGATCATATCAACATGGTCGATGCCTGAATGGTTCAGCCAGCTGTGACGGGATGAGCAAGGCGAATGGTCCTCGACGAGAGAAAGGCATCCGATCCGTTCTTCGCGAGGTCTTCTCCGAGTACTGGAATCAATTGGCTCGTGCTCGAAAGCCGTCGTCGCAGAGATGACTGTTTCCATCCCATGCAAACAGGGAGGCAGCTCGACAATAAGGCATCCTTGACATGCCCGACGAATTGAATTGGAACTCGCCGAAGGCAGATTTGGCCGATAAGCGCCGTCGAGCGCCATAACGTTCTCTGACGCAGAGACCGGGCGAGACCAGCTGATGGCTCCCCCTAGCGCAGCGCCATGTCTTTCAGCTGAAGTGGGTTTTTGTTTGGGGCTTCGGCTTGGGCTTGTGGTTGAGTCGAGAGGAAGTGAGACGGGGGCACGGGTTGTTCCAGCTCCGATGACTCTAGGGAGGGGGCTGAAACAGTGGCAGCGACGCCTCGTTCATCCTGTGGCACATTTTGGTGAAATTCGACCCGGTGCTTGGATGAGAAAGCCCGACGACGGGAGTCTCAGCCATTCCATCAGATCAGTCGAGAAAAGAATTTTTTGGGTTTGGCCGTGAAACATGGTGAGACTCGGTGTCTCGGCCCAAGGGTTTGTTTACAGTAATTCCGGTAAATTCTGGATATTCTCCCTTACGTCGGAGTAAGAGTCCGAGATGACAAAGATCATTTGTCAGTCCTCACACTATAATTAGTCTACACGATCAATGCATGAGATGAAATGCACCTTTGATGGATTATGTGTATGTACCCCTGATCTCCGTTCCGTCTCTTGTTTTTTTTGCCTCCCCCTTGGCAAGGCATGTAAGCGGGGATCATACGGAGTTCATCAAGTCAATTCAGGGGCACGCATATTTCGGATGTAGGGTACGGCATCTTTTCTTTTTCGTATGGATATCCTTTCTCAGCGGCTTTGCAAGTTGACGCCGATTGTGGAAATTGGTCTGACATAAGAGAGGGGAACGCCATGTAGAGTTTAATTGGGTGAGATTGATAAACTAGAACTCTTCGACAGTTGGTGCAGTAGTAGTCGTAGTAAAAAGGATCGTTGTGTTGCAGTTGCAGGCGCTTGCTTAGGCTCTCCCTGCTTTTGGCTTGCGGGCGGCGGCCGACTAGGACTTTGCCCGGTACAGTAGTTGCCGACCGATAAGGACATGGGACATGGTCAAGTTGGGTTGCCTGATCTGATCTGATGTGACAGCCTTGTAGCCGTACAGTAGCTCCCAGCTTGGCTCACCCGGGGAGGGAACAGGACAGAACCTGTCGGAGGAAATGTAATTTCAGTTTACGAACTCTGTTGTCATTGGATTTGTTTATTTTTGGCCTCGTCTGTTTTATTTCGCTCAAAGCCGAGCCGAGCGAGGGCGGGCGGGCAAGCCAAGGCCGACAAATGCCTGTCAAGCTCAAAAGCCCAAAAGTCAGAGTTTGGCTCGCTTGGGAGAAAAAAACACCAGCTAATACGGAATAGGATTGAAGCTTATTTTTCTTTTTGGGCGTTGGCCAGGCAGAATGAAGAAGAAGCGGTTTGATAAGAGAAAAAGACTGAAGAAAACCGGGCCGGAAGAGAGACAGAGGCAACCCAATGGGGTAATTGATGGACACCAGCTGAGAGAGAGAGGACTCTGAACCTTGGCGGACGAGAATCTGCAGGTTTCTCTGTGTGACCGCTTCTGCATTACTGCTGACTTGGCTGCTGACTTGACTTTTTGTGCCCCCTGTCAAAATGCAAGCCCTTGACTGCAAGCGTCAGGGGTCGAGGGAAGCCATTGGGCGACCCGCGGGCTCCCCGAGCGTCCGACAGTCTCGCACTCCTCACCAGGCAGAAAAAAACCTGTTCGGATGATCCCCTCCCCAGAATACGGGATTGGCTCCCTGGCACGTGGAGACCCAACCAGACGCAGGTACCGAAAGAGTGTGAGTGAGAGAGAAAAAAAGCCCATGGTCTTTGCCACGGCAAACTCGGAAGGGAATTTCTGGGTCCCTCCCTCCCCCTACCTTGTCCACCCCAGCTGTGTGTGTTGGTTGATTGCCAGCAGAGCAAAAGCCCAAAGCAACGTTGCCCGCTTTGTCGCTTGGACAGCTCGTATAGACTACAGTTCCCCCCCCTGTCACACTTTCATGCTGCCTCTATCACATCTGGTCGATCCAATCACCAACCACCTCTAAAACCTGGAGCGGTGTCGAGCTGGCATTGGATATCCGGATGCTGTGATAAGTCGAGATAAGAAGAAGTATGAGTGTGTGTGTGTGTGGGTGGGTGAAAAGGCTGACAGGGGCGGCTGGGCTGGGAGGGGCAGAGATCGAATCTGTCTGTCAATGGTCGGCCCCTCTCTCGCCTCGTATTTTGTCGACTTGAACCGATCAAGAGCCCTCGAGCTAAGAGTCAGACGGAAAACCTGCCAGGGCAGAGTTCTGACAGGGGTAAAAGGAGTGTGTGTGTGTGTGTGCTAGGCTGCCTGCTGGGGGTCAGGGGTCAGGGGTTTACCGTCGTCTAGACGTGCCTTGCAGTTTTGCACAGCTACGCGCGCTGTGGAGCAAGGACCCAATCGTAGCGCCGCCTTGTCTGCTTATTCCAAAGGTGCCGTTGCCCAGAATCAGCTTAGCATACCCCGGTAGATCTAGTCATGATCTCATAATGGGTGCACTACTGCGTGAAGAGGGAAATTCCCTCGTATTGGGGCCCATGTCCACACTCTCCACCCTAGCCCCATGCCGCATCTCGATGGACGGACAACACAACACACAACCATCAGAGTCAGACAGAGTCAGTCAGCCCGAGTCGAAAGACATAAAAACCCTCAGCCTCTTCCCACCTTCCCTTACCCTCCTCAGCTTTGCTCTGACAACTACACTCGCTACAGTCGTTACTACTGCTTGCTGAACTTTGCACTTAATACTTGTTTTTGCAACCAACCAACTCAAAACTCAACCAACCAAAAACACCAAACCAGTCACAATGGGTTTCACTCGTGCTACCGTCGCCGGCCTCCTCGTTGGAGCTGCCATGGCCTCTCCCCACTACGGCTACGGCAACGGCACCCAGTACACCACCGAGGTCGTCACCGCCTACACCACCTACTGCCCGGCTCCCACCACCCTGACCTACCAGGACAAGACCTACACCATCACCGAGGCCACCACCCTGACCATCACCGACTGCCCCTGCACTGTCAGCCACCCTCTCAAGCCCACCTACCAGCCTCCCAAGCCCGTCTACACCACCGAGGTCGTCACCAAGCTCACCACCTACTGCCCTGAGCCCACCACCCTGACCTTCAACAACAAGACCTACACCGTCACTGAGCCCACCACCCTGACCGTGACTGACTGCCCTTGCACCGTCACCAAGTCTCACACTGGTCCCGCTCCCACCGGTCCTGCTCCCGTCAAGCCCACCGGCGAGGCCCCCGTCCCCGTCAAGCCTACTGGCGAGGCTCCCGTCCCCGTTGCCCCCACCGGCACCGGTTCCACCCCCGAGACCCCCGCCGAGTCCGAGCCTGCTGTCGTCACTGCTGCTGCCGCCCGCTTCGCTCCCGCCGGTATCCTGGCTGCCATTGGTGCCATTGCCCTGTTCTAAGCGCCTTACCTCTCATCTCTATCTCTAAATCTCCCCTGATGAAGCGATGATGATGATGTGAGCCTCTTGGTTCATTAATACCATAATCAAAGAAAAACGATGGACTTTGCATGTAACGGAACAACTGGGTATATAATTCATTTCTATACATTTACATATGTAGTCTTGCACATACATGTCTCTGGATAGAGTGCATAGATGTTAATTAATAAAGTTCATCACCAACTGGTTCACTAAATGTTTGAGTCTCTTTGAAAGTGCCTATCAGTGATCATCTCTGCAATGCAACCCATGAAATACCGCATTTTGCCGTATTTACTCCACTAGTGTAGAGATATTCCCTCATCCCTACCCAATTCCTCAGGTGATGTGTGTGTTGGCCGTATCTGCGGCCAGCCTTGGTCACACCGCTTATCAAGGCTTCGTCCCAGCCTCGCCTTGTTCACTACCTAGACAACTAGATGCTGTTCTGCATACAGCCGGACCCAGTATCCAATCCCACCTGTCCGACCCACAGTCATCTGGAGAGTAAGCTGCGATGTTCCCTTCTCGTCCTTCGGCCCCCGGCGGATCTTGGCCGAGACCACCATACTCTGTATTTTGACTGAATACTTGACCGCACGGTCCAGTATAGTTGAGGATAAATAGCCAGAACCCACCGAGTCAAGGTAGTTAAACGACTGTCTCAGGTCTTCAAGTGTCTTCTCCCGGTCTTGTTCGTTCGCCCCAAGCACCTCCTTGATCGAACACCATGGGTTTCCCTCGTGTATACCACAGCTCACCATGAAGCGCGTGACACCACCATCTGTGAAGTTGTTGGTGCACTCTATCAGCACTGTGCCATGGTCGTTGGGCGCAGAATGGCAGTAGATACTTTCATGCTTCCATCCATAGCTGGGGTACGTCGAGACAATATGGGCACTAAACATATGAATACTAGGGGGCGCGACCGACAGCTTCAGCCATACACATGATTTAGGCACAATAGGTTCCCCCAAGTCTAGCTCTGGGTACAAATCCCAGAAGCCGCTAGGAGGTAGAAACAGGTCTGTCACCCTAAACTCGGATAGGAGAGACTTGTCCACACTGATCAGCACCGGCGACGAGAACCTAGCGTGAATACTGATCGGATCGCTCTCATACGGCTTCAGAAGCACACAGACGAGCCGTCCATCCACTTCGCAGTATATCCATGCCATCGCCGACAGCCATGTATCCGGCGCCGGTCTCACGGGAAGGCTGATAGACACTCCCCGTGCCGTGAATTCCGGGGGCTTCATGGGCATCCCGATGCCCAAGCCTGGACCAGGTCTGCGAAAGAGTTCATAGTTCCTGGCTCTCATCACCTGGCACTTATCGTTGTTATAGTACGGCTCGGAGGTGTGGCCGGGTATCGGCTGTGGGTTCTTAAAGGCTCGTAGCCCTCCTCGCCCGCTCGGCTGAACGAGGCCCTTACTGGCCATGTTTGCAAACTGATTTGGCGACGAAGCCAAACAGCCTGTCAAGGTTGTCTCCAAGCAGTCTTCCCGCAGTGTCCATGCAAAGATGGTGTAGTCCTCCTCCTGTCTGAGGATATGCTCCTGAAGGCGCACAAATGCCTTGTCTCCTTCGCCGTAGAGCAGCGGCATATTGATTTGAAACAGCCCCATCAAGCTGTATGCTCTATCTTCTCGTCTCGTTGTCTGTCTCTTTGACGCCCATGACATGCGTTGTGCAACGTTGCACGTTGACACGCTTTCGCCATGCAGTATGCGAGCCGGTATCCCTGTAGTGCCTTCGATTTGTGCAATGAGGCTCCTCTTGGTACCGATCTCTTCCCAATGCGTCGTGTAGAGCTCGACTATCCGTGGAGCTATCAGTTCCTGTAGCGTCCACCCTCGGGTGAACCATCGGCTATTCGTGAAGCGCTTTGAGACGTTCTCCACATCTTCCAAGTAGGCATAGCATATGGTCGAATCTCTGTACCACTGGTACATTGAGTTGATGGCCTCGGAGAGCTCAGCGCTACTGGATTTGTCGATACAGCAAGTGTCAATCCACACCCACTGGAAGCCGTCCTCCACTGCTTTTTGACAGCAGTCGATCATTTTTCTAAAACCATTCTTAGATTCGGCTGTGTTGTTCTGGATGTCGTGAAAGAGAACCTCGCCTTCTCCCCATGTGTGACTTAGGATCACGTAAGGCGGGATTTTCTCCCCATGGAACTCGGTGAGTTTGTACGACGAGGTGTCGAGTAGCCTCATCTCGGCGATAGATGTGATGATAAGAGTTTTCCTTGATAGATAAGAAGTTGGACAGATGACTGGGTCGAGCGAATAAAATAAACTAAATGAAGAAGGGAAATTCCCTCAGCTGAATGAAGGTGAGCGGGGGTGGCTAATCCGCAGCCTCGTGCGAACCACCCAAGACAGATTTCAAGGCGGACGCATGATGTGATTGGGGGAGGGGCATGGCAGAGGCCAACTTGACCTTGATGATGAGAATCTGGTCTTTTAAATGGAAAGGGACAACTCGCCATTAAGGAAGGGCCTGCAACTGCCTGGGGTAACACAGAAGATCGAGATACTACTAGACATAAACCATTTGAGAGCCGGTAGAGGTATCACATGAAATAATAGGTACCTAACTAGCGTTCTCAAACGTCTGTATCGACATTATTCATTAAAATCACAATCAAGTTAGGGTCAAGCAACTTTTTGATATCCTACGGTATATAATCCTAGGGTACCTCGGGTCTATTCACATATTTATGTTGACATCATTCGAGAATGAGTTGCAGGTTATTGCAGTGCTCTCCTCCAATAACTTGAACGATAATCCCCAAGGTTATTTTCTTTCTTTCCGTCATATATAGTCATAAAAACCAAACCTGCCGTCTCGGAAGCAACGCCATCAAATCAACAAATCTCAACAACATATCAATTCAACTCCTAGACGCCAATCAAGCATCCTTAGCCATCGTCAAAGCTCCTACAAAATTAAAGTAACTAAACAACCTAGACTCGGACCTCTTTTGAAAAGTCTCATACGTCCAGGGCCTAGTCCCAAACTCTTCCCTGTCCGATTCAAACAACCAATCCGACTCTCGTTGTCCGAAACCCATGACGATGCCAACAATCACGTCCCCTTCTTCCGCCTTGATAACTCGCATGTGGTTGTTGTCCACAGTCCACCCGGATAACTTGATTCTGGTGTTGGAGTTGTTCTCGCCGACAAGGGTGTCTAGGGCAAATAACACTGTACGATTTCGGTTTGTTCGAAGCTTCAAAACAATGTTAGCAAGTTCAACTCGGCGGCTTTATCGTGACTCACATGGAGGAGTTCGGGAGATCTATCATACGACTCGATCCAACCGATCTCGTCAATAATCTCCCCTCCCGGTCCGTCAATCTCAAACTCCTCCCAGTTCTCCTCTGGCCACAAGAACCCTTCCTCGTCAACCTCCCTCATAGTACGAGTCTGCTGGCCATCCACGAACGAGACCCGTATATTGGTAACTGTGTTGCTGAAACACCTTTTGTTGTCACGCTCACACATACCCTTGCTGTTGATACAAGCAGAAATGCTCCGAATATTTGCGAGCTCGTTTGGTCGGTTACCCAGCATTAGAATCCTCAGTGGTATGAGTTCACGATCGATATCGATGTTCTCGACCCTATCAAAGCCGTCACATATGAACTTTAAAGACTCCGACTCCCAGCTAGGCTTGCCTAGGAGGGCCAGAGACGCACTGCTCCAGCTCATCTGCTCTTCGTCACCAACTTCGGGATAGTAGCCCGGATCTGGCTTTTCCTCGTCACCGGGATACGCCTGCAGGAGTCCAAATCGCAAGATCCAGGGAGTGACGCCTTCTTTTTCCTATTTGTATTCCAACTTTAGCGAGATTCTGGCAAGTGGGTGCATATTCTTACGGCGAGTTGGCCTTCAACGCCCACAATGACCATATCCTCGGCGGCAAATAGCGGTCGTTGCATCAAAGAATCACCAGTGTCACCATAGCTAACTGGGAAACCGTCATAAAAGTAAATCTAGTTGGACAGTCAGTTTCACTCCTCGACTGGATCTAGCATGACGCACCGTGATTCCCTTGACACTGATATAGTTCCACGGCGCATGTTCCCATTCCAAGAGGGGATTGGTCGGCCAAAGATGAAAGACAAAGCCACGGAGCCATGTTTCCGGTGCCACCTCTTTCGAAGTTTCCCAAGCACCCTCTTCTGTGCCTCGTTTGCCAAACATCCTAGGTTCTTCGTCTCCAAAGCTAACAGATATCCCAGTCATGTCCCAGTCCGAGTTCCAAAATGTCCTGAGCGTCCAAGGCCGGTCTGCATCGTATTCGTCCCAGGACCGGATCCAGTATGACCGCTGTGTATCAAAGACTGGCTTGACATTGAACCCGACAAAGTGCATCTTGTTGCACACGGCGATTGACTCCATCTTGCAGCTCGGCTCCGAGTCTGGATCGGGACATTCTGCATGATAGCGACGTGCAATCTGTTCACACACTCCCCAGATTCTCCGACGGTTTGCCACAGCCATCAGAAGGCCCGAAATCCCAACTCTTGGTTTCGAAGCCTCTTTTGCCCATAGAAGGATCTTCCGGAGGTCCTGGCCTCCAAGAGACTCGCGCCTTGTCGTAATGGTTTCACCCAGCTCCTCAAAGTATGGCGTGTTCTTGCGGATGCGGCTTTCCCAAAAGTTCCGGCTATGTCGAATCAACTCGAATATGACCCAAGAAGCTTTGCACAGGCTAAAGATTGACTCGTTATCCACGAGGTCTAAGATATCGCGAAGAAGCGACTCCGGTATTTCCCGGAGGGGATCCCATCTCACTTTGTGTCCCAAATTCAGATTCGAAGGTGTCTCCACGAACTTCTCATCCTGAATAACTTCAAGAATGTCTTGCACTAGAGACTCTCTCTTTTCTGGGTTGATAACGGTGTACTCGTAGCCAGGTATGGCTTCCCACGTCTGGTCTTGGCCCTGTGTGGCATGGCCATAGTCGAGGTCCGAACACCTCGATTTTCCCGATATCAGGCCGCCAAAGATCTTGTATAGAACGGCTCTGTTGATTTTACCTGTGTCTTCTGTCCCGGTAAGGACTCGGGCAAGAACAGTGTGGCATTGTCTGTGAAAGGGAAATCCGCGCTCTTCGCCGTCACAGTCGCCCCAGGCTCGAACGCCAGCCAAGTCAAAGTCTTCGATGGCAGAATCCGGCTCCGAGCCTTCGTCTACGTCAAAGATGCCAGCTCCGAGGTATTCCCCAGCACCAGACACGTAGAATCTGCATCGTCAGCGTCATGAATCAGGTCGAGGGCCGGAGGTGTCAGTACTTGTTTGCCCCTGAGGCGTCGGGGTTGAAACCGAGGAGTCGGGCTTGCCGGAACCACTCCATGTCCTCATCACCAATCACATCCTCATCATATCTGTTCTCCATATAGACATCCTCGTCATCTCCAGGTTGTTCTCTGGGCCCAATTTCAACCTCGGTGGTTGTAGCGCCACAGATGACACAATAAACATGAAAACCTCCCATATCGAGAGAGGTGATGATAAAAGGTAAGTGAATGAATTAATTGACCACACTTCGATCAAGGCAACTTGAATTATTTGTATCTCTCTTACCCCGGCCACTTTAATGAGTGGTATGAGGAATAGGTATACATCTCCGCGCAGTCAAAGGGTGGCAGACCACCTGAAGTAAAAGCAACAAACTGCAAGGCATTAAGAAAGTTTCCTCAAAGAATCATACATCTTACGAAAGCATGCAGAAAACAAACTTCAGGGAGACTGGCATGACACGTTTGCAAAAGGCTAAATGCCCAGATGTTTTTATAAGAAGCACCATCCTTACCTCAAAAGTCAGTTACTGATCACAACCTTGAGTCATTATCGCATATTCTCGACACGATTTCCCTCCATTGCATCCACCTCTAACACACCTGAATAGGCCAGGAGAGAAGAAGCCATGGACTCTTTACACTTTGATACTTTTGGATCGATCGTTGACAACGATGAAGCTACCGATTCTCCAGAAAATCTTTGTTTAACGTGTCGGATTTTAGGTCGATTGTGCAAAAAATGCCGACAGAAACTGGAAGCAGCGGGAAAGGGCAGTGCCGGTAAAAAGATCAAGTCATCACTCGAAATTGTTTCTTCTCGCCAGCAGAGAAACGATGGGTATGATGGGCCTGCCGAAGATTCTCGACTCGCAGAGGCCACCATTTCAGACACGACTCTTCCCTCACGCACGACAATTCCTGCACGTATGACTATTCCCACACGTACGGCTCCTTCATCACACACGCCACAATACGAACAGCGCAATACCAACACCGGTAACCGGTCGAGGCGTCATGACCACTGTCCCTGCTGCCATCACCAGTGCTGCCGGGATTGGCAGCCCTGCCAAACTTGCGAAAAAAGAAGGGAGGCTCACTTCTGCTATGCTTGCGAGAGAGCCCGGTCCGGCTACGCTTGCGGGAGAAGGGTGACAAGATCCTGCTATGGGTGCGAGAGAAGAGGGCCCCGATCTTGCTATCCCTGTGAGAGAAGGGAGACCCAGTGTTATGTTTGTGAGAGAAATGAGGTCCGGTCCTGCTATACTTGCAGGAAAAGGAGGGAAAAAACAAAAGCCAAACCAAGCCCTGAACTGGAGATCTTCTTGTCTGATCCCCCTCAAACTGAGAAAAAGCACCAATACGCCAAGGAGGCATGGTCCTGCTTGACCGGCAAAGGGCAACTGCTGTGTCGACGTCGCCCGCCAATAGGTCGAAAAGGGTTAAATATCTTGATACATTATTCCCCGGGTGACCCTGGATATGTTATTTTGGAGATGGTCATCCCTGGAATCAGCTTGCTGGAGAGGACGTTTGCTCTAGTCTGCGAGGGAGTCGAGCATGGAAGGATAGCCGTCGAGTCTATACTTTGGGGGGAACAACGTTCCGAACTGGATTAACCAAACTCAGTCGCCATCAACCATAAATGAGTGCCTACCTGGCTGTTGTCTACGATATACCATCTTCACAAACCATCCTCAACAAAATCATGGTTCTGGTTAACACTGGTCAAAAGTGAATGGAAACCTCATCCCGATTACCATCTGAGGTCATTACTGTGTTCAACATAAGATGAGCATCGTTTAGATAGCCATCAACTAAAGCTTGATAGAGCCCTTATCTAAATTATGAATAGGAAAATGATTATGGAACTCAGCATCGAGTCTCCGTTTATGAGTAGTCCTCGTCAGAAACAATCTTTAGGTCATGGCCTCTATCTTCACCAGGAACCTCCACCCAAATCATGGTCCGTCAGATCAGCGTATTCCTTTAAACACAGTCCTGAGACTTTTCGCCCAGGAACTACGATCTAATTACGTTCATCAACTAGGACCTTCGCTCAGGTGCACCCTCGTCGACAACAAGAGCATCAGCACACAAACTTCACCCCCGATCATATCGTAGTTCAATCCTTCCGTTGAGAGAGTTCAATTTCTAGTCACTGGCTGTTGAAACGCCGCCTCTTGATCCCTCTCCCAGGCCCTGGCTGCCAAAGATGTCCATCAAAATCCTTGGTGGCCGTTCACCTCAAGCTTTTTTGGTACGAGATGCAACCATCCCTCGCTCCTTGCAACCTCGACCAACAGAATTCATAATGTGATTATCCTAGCAATGTTGCCCAAGTCCTCGTCAATTCAGGAAATTCTAAGGGGCAGGGTTTGTCAGGGCAAACTTGGTTGACAAGCAGCTGAGATGGAGAGACGGTGCATCCCGAGTTTGTTTGAACAAAGACAGCATAGACCGATCTAGAACGTCAAGATTTGTTTCAATTTAGCTATCCGATAGTGAGGCGATTGGTCGTCCCATGAGATCAACATTGCAATCAAATGGTGATGGGATGCTCGGCTTCTGATTGGGTGCCCCCCTTGCTCAACAGTCTTCAAATGTGAATCACACGCTCACGTCTCCATTCTCGATGAGACCAACCAGAAGCCACCAAAATCTCAAGAAAATAGAAAGCTGAGCATTTTATACAGAAAATATGACCACTACGTAAATCTGCCATTTGAACGAGCCAAGGCGGAGCGAGATATCGCCATAGCACGTCAATGGCAGTTGCTCGTTCGTCAACAATTGACGTCAGCACGCCCGGCCCCATACAGTACCAATTCGGTTCCGGCCGGAGGGGCTATCGGAGGCGGGCCGGCTCATCTCGGCCGTCGGCCATCGGTAATTAGTCGCCAGTCCCAACCTGCCCACCGCCAGGTATACTCTGTATGCTTGGGGGTCTGATTTCGTGTAGAACCAGGGTAAATTGAGGAGAGTTAACAAACACCGTCGAACCACAACGCCACCGTCCCAAAGAAAGTCCAGCCACAATAACAGGAAACCCATGAAAGAAAAGAGGCAATCTGAAGTCAAGGCCCATATGAAGAAGAAAACACCCTCCTGAAAACCTGCGAAACCAGGCATCTACCCTCCGATTCCAAGCCCGGTCCGGTCCGGCCCAGTCCACCAGATAAGATATGCTGACTGCCCAAGAGTCATGAATGCTCCGCCATGTCTGCGATACTCCGCCAAAGCCAATCCCCGAAAGGGAGGCTGTCAAGTCAATTGACCAGGGATTCCATATCCCGAATACTCCGTCAAACAGTGCCGACAATCCATGTTTGTCGGTAAGCTGGGGAACAAAGCCCTTTCCTAACGAGGAGGTAAGAAAACCGCGGAACCAGAGACGCCGTAAGAATGTGTGTAGTCGAAGAATAAAGAGCTAGCGTAAAACTGGGAATCTCGTGAGAAGGAAATGTCTAAATCGTCGTGCGGTCGGTCCGGGTAAGCGTGAGTGAATAAAGATGCTGTTCTGTTTAATGCGGCAGCATGTTCTTGGACTCCTCGTCGGTGAGGAAGATCTCGTGAACGGGGTCTCGGCGGTTCTCGAGGGGAACGTAGTCGCAGTCGATGTACGAAGGGAGGAAGATCTCTGTGGAGTCGTTAGCTCATGCCTGAGTGGGCCACTTCACGACGTCAGCGAAGCATACCGGGATTCCAGGCAAAGCCCTGGCTGGAGGAAAGGTAGGAGATCTATAGCAGGAAGTGTCAGAAGATGCCGGAATCAGATGCCCCGAAAACCGGAGAGCGACGGAGTCGAGTCACTTACCAGCCGAGGAGGGCCGTCCGGCTCGCCGATGTTAATGACGGTGCATTCTTGCTTGGAGAGAGAAGAGCCTAAATCATGTCAGCAATGTCGAGGCAGACAATCTTGCGGGTGTCTCATAAGGCAATCGTATCATCGCCGCTACAGTCACGTCAGGTGGGGAGGGTGCATTCAACGTACTCAGGAGGCTCGGGCGGCGGTTGTGCAGGGCCTTGTGCTTGCCGGCCGAAGGCGGGGATGAAGAGGGCGAGCTCGAGTATGGGCTGTTGGAAGAGGAAGCGGTGCCCTTGTGATATAAGGGCGTGGCCGAGGGGCCCGCGGGAATGGCGATGGAGGAAGACATGGTGCGAGGTCGTGAGAACAGCTGAACAGGCCGAGACGAAACGAGGGGCACTGTGTGTGACGATGGTCGGCCGAGTAGGCTGGCGGACAATGAGGAGTGAGCTGGCTCTCTGCTGAGTGGGATGACGCAAGAAGGACGCCGTATGTATAAAGGCGGAGTGGACGACGAGACCCGAGAGACTTTGGGGGAGGAGAGGGAAGGAAATGAAAAGGGAGGACAAAGTGAAGATGGAGGTCGAAAGATGGCGAGGTTAGGTTTACCAGCAACGGTATTTCGAAATGCAAGTGACGGGTGACTTGTCGGCCAACGACCAGTGAATCACTGCCGCATCATCCCGTGACAGGCGAGTGACCCGACGCCGATAAGCCACACTCACAGCGCCGCAAGAGGGGAAAGGGAAGACCATTGTCGGGGTCTTGTCTAGGCTGTTCTTGGACGAAAGGTACCTCGCTTTACCTGAGACGCCGCATGACGGTACTTTGGTCAATTCATTCATGGCCTTGATCTTCATCTCCCTTGTCCCCCGTGTCAAACACCTCATCTCCCCAACAAAGCTCCATGTGAATCAATCAATCCTCACCGAGCATCGCGGGGCCTTATCGTAGCAGGTATCAGCCTATCGTCCATCACATGGACCGAGACCTCACCGCAACCGCCGCTGTCGAGCAAGCCGCCAAGGCACTCCCCGGGGCTCCGTCCGCTGAGCCAGAGCCTCAGAAGGTCAAGCGTCAAAGTACAGAGGCCGGGTTCCCACTGTAGCTCCTTTGTACCCAGCGTCCTCCAGGGTCCCCACGCATCGTGGAGGCCAGCCATACTCCGATAATCGGCCAATCACGTTTCCCAGATCACGCATTTGGGGTGTTGGAGCCTGGAGCCTTGCAGCGCTGCGATCCACCTCGCCCTGCGTGAGTTGAGGCTCGTGGACCAATCAACGTTGCCAGGGATGGGCCTTGATGGACTGGCTGTTTGACGTCGCTGGGTCACGTGCTGGAGGCAGAGCTCCAAGCTCAATGGAGGATGACTAAGCTCCTCCACGCGCTAGGTGACCTTAGCTTCTATTGTCGTCGTCGTCGTTGCTGGCGCCTGGCATCATCTCGAAGCAGCTCCATCTCTCAACGACGACCACACTCCATCTCCCCCGACGACGATCGCATACCAGCATCAGCGCGCATCCCTATATCTGCTCTATTCGTATTTACCCTCGCACAACCTCTCGACATAGCCAAAGCGCAAACATGGGTGACGCCGCTGTCGAAAACCCGGCAAACCAGGTCCTGCCTCACAAGAGGACCGCGCACTCGACCATCCCTACCATTGACAACTTTGAGGGCGTATCAACCGACGGCGGAGACGATTATGCGAACCTCAAGAAGCTTCAGAGGCAACTAGAGTATGGAACCCGGCAGTATGGATCATGGAGTGGTGGGGGCTGATTGTTTGTTCAGGTATATCCAGTTGCAAGAAGAGTACATCAAGGATGAGCAAAGGTAAGCAGATTGGGAACTCGAGTCATTTTGCTCCAGACATACTAACAACTCGCAGGAGTTTGAAGCGTGAGCTGGTGCGAGCTCAAGAAGAGATCAAGCGAATTCAGAGTGTGCCCCTCGTCATCGGCCAGTTTATGGAGGCTATTGACCAAAAGTATGTCTATCACCAGCTACATAGCATCCACAAGCTAATCATGTGCCTTCTCAAGTACTGGTATCGTCCAATCGAGCACCGGCTCCAACTATGTCGTCAGAATCCTCTCTACCCTCGACCGCGAAAAGCTCAAGGCTTCCTCCTCGGTCGCCCTCCACCGACACTCCAATGCCCTCGTCGACATTCTCCCTCCCGAGGCCGATTCCTCCATTGCCATGCTGGGCGCCGACGAGAAGCCCGATGTGACATATGCCGATGTCGGTGGTCTGGACATGCAGAAGCAGGAGATTCGTGAGGCTGTGGAGCTGCCCTTGACACACTTCGACCTCTACAAGCAGATTGGTATCGACCCTCCTCGAGGTGTGCTGCTGTACGGTCCTCCTGGTACCGGCAAGACCATGCTGGTAAAGGCTGTTGCCAACTCCACCACTGCCAACTTCATCCGCGTGGTGGGCTCCGAGTTTGTCCAGAAGTATCTCGGTGAAGGTCCACGAATGGTCCGTGATGTCTTCCGCATGGCCCGCGAGAACTCACCTGCCATCATTTTCATCGACGAGATCGATGCCATTGCTACCAAGCGTTTCGACGCCCAGACCGGTGCCGATCGAGAGGTGCAGCGTATTCTTCTCGAACTTCTCAATCAGATGGATGGTTTCGATCAGACCTCTAACGTCAAGGTCATCATGGCCACCAACCGAGCCGACACCCTCGATCCCGCTCTCCTCCGTCCCGGCCGTCTCGACCGAAAGATCGAATTCCCCTCCCTGCGCGACAGACGTGAGCGCCGTCTCATCTTCAGCACCATCGCCAGCAAGATGAGCCTCGCCCCCGAGGTCGACCTCGACTCCCTCATCGTCCGCAACGATCCCCTCTCTGGTGCCGTCATCGCCGCCATCATGCAGGAGGCCGGTCTGCGCGCCGTCCGCAAGAACCGCTACAACATCATCCAGAGCGATCTCGAGGACGCCTACTCGAGCCAGGTCAAGGGCACCAGCGACGAGAACAAGTTTGACTTTTACAAGTAAACAAATCACATGGTTTTCGCGCACATGTATGTCTCCTCAACTGTACAACATGCGTCTCATCTTCCGGGCCGGTGCTGGGAAACTACCGAGGGAAAAGCCAGAGGATGGGGCGGGCATAGGATTTCGAGGAGTAGGCTTGGAGGATAGAATAGGTTTAATCAACTTCCAGCGAGGCGGGAATGCCGCTGAATCTCGTCGTTTTGGCATAGAACTGTTGTGTTGGCTCAATGTGTCATGTCTCTTGCTTTTCATGGTACTACTCGGGGATCATGATTGAGAGGTCCACCCAGTAATTACTACCTAAAACCAGAGAATTAGGAAACTAGTAAATTGCCAACAGCATGTTGAGCTAGGACCAAATCAAGCATCGAGCCGAGATGAAATCAAGACTCTTGGGTATCATTCACCGGTATCAACAAAAGCAATATACAAAGACGGCCTCAACATAAACACAATGAAACACTTGATTTTCCTAAAAGGTACATCAACTCCCAACAAAACTGGTATCTAGAACAAAAAAAAATTTGCTTTCCCATTCCGTTACACCCTGTCTATATTTGCTGTAAGGTATCTATCTATGAACCGTTTCCCTTCATCAACCCAACCAAAATGAAACCCTTCACATACACAACCCATCCCATCAATCCCTTCCCATTCTGTTCCCGCAAATTCTCTGCGAGAGAATCAAGGCCAGAAAAACAGGTGCCGCTATCGTAATACACTGTGTCCCAAAACTCCCGCTTTTCTCACAAACTTTCGCTTGGTTTTGTTTTTCCCTTTCAACTGCCTGTCTATTTTGATTCGCCCCCTGTGGCGAGTCTGAACCATGAAGAAAAAGAAAGAAAAAAGGAATCGAGCAGCAAAGCAACGAACAACGCTTAAACTGGGGAATAAGTCCCGGCCAAGAAGATGAAAAGCCGGGAGAGAAACGCCGCGTAACCCTTTCAGAAGTAAAAGTACAGTCGCACGAGGCTCTTGCCTGGGTCGGCCGCTGGGGTATATCTTTCTTCCCTGTCTCGCGGAAAGGTGGACGCAGCGCGACCAGAGAAACCTCGTCGAACATTTGCAAACGCAACGCACAGAACAAAGATAGGCCCGTAGGCCTGGTGGCGACTACAGCTATTCGCTCAAGTCGCTGCTCGTCATCATCATTACCCATTAGCCATTACCATTACCATTACTCATGCGTCCTCCTCGTTATCTTGGTCCAAAGCTGACAGGAGACGCCAGGTTCAAAAATGTGAACCGGATGTACACCCGGCTCAGAATGATTGGTCAAGGAGGTGAGAGTAATAATGGTGAGGCTGTGGGAAACCTATAGCAAACCGAGGCCCTCAATAAGCGATGTGATATTGTGACATGCCAGGGATCGCCCAGGTCAAGGGGTTGGTCGGTCAAGCCAAGGACAAAAACGTATAGAGCATGCCCGTGGGCATGAGCTGCTTGCTCATTACGAGCTCAGAGTAACACCAACTTCAAACAGGAGGTGAACAAAGCGGCTGTGCAAGTCAAAGAATATGTCGGGGCGTCCGACAATCTCCGCCAGGCCACGGGCTTTGGGGGCCGAGGCACCAGGGCCACCTCCCATCCTTCGGGTGAACCCGCTGCCGCCTGTCAGAAAGCTGCTTCCGCCGCGATCAGGGCCACCAGCCGACTCGACAGCCGATTGCGGAGGTGCATAGCCACCCCCGTACATGTTGCTGCCGATTGGCGAGGCTTCTGCCGCCCGTTCGGCCTCAGCTTCAGCGAGCTGCTGGATCCATGTAGCCAGATCGCGGAAGGCCGTCGAAACCACAGCAAATGTCTTCATGGCAAGTCTTTCCCTATGAGTGCTCAGGGCCAGAAAGGCGTAGACCCGCTTGTGGCCGCGCGCGTGGACATCGGGAATCCGGAAGATATAGGCCGTCGTGTACCCGGCCAGGGCATCACCGAAAAAGATGGGGCCGCCCGTGACAGCCGAGCCGGCGCTCTGCGTCGTGACAAACGCCGGAGAAGTCGCCGATAGGGGTGACACGGGTGTGGCCGTAGCAGGAGCCCGGGGTAACGTTTCAAACGACAGAGTACGCAGACATGAAGCGCGGATGAGGGAGAAGGAGTCGGGTAGGACCGGATCGTGCGTCGAGGTATAGTCGACATAATGGACGTGGAAAGGAGTTCGGTCCGCTGTCGACGAATTGCCCGTACCGGCGCTACCGCTGGAGCGAGAGGTGTTCCGCGAACTGACCGAGGGAGTCGTCCTCATCCGCGCCCGGGGACCCTCATCCCGCTCGCCATCGGTATCACTAGACGGCTGGGAGTTGGGAGGCGACGCCTGGCCGCCGGCACCAAAAACCCGTTCCGCTGGAGCGCGTGTGCGCAGGGTCGGTCCGCGGGCGTTGTTGGCGAAATGGACGTTGTTTGATCCCCCCTGTTGCTTGGGCAGGGTCATGGCGCAGTTTTCGCAAGGACCTTGCTTCTTCGTAACCGTCTCGTCATAGGTTCTTCGGAAACTCGAATCGCGTCGGGGGTGTTGGGGCGGAACCGGCCGCGGGCTATCG